ACCTTATGGCGAGAGATTCACCGCACCTAGGTAATACATCTAATTTCTTCCTATTTCTCCCGTGAATGAAGTTTTGTGTTAACGGATATAAACAGCGTTCGAAGATATGTGGCGCTTCACTCCAAAGGCGCCTATCGATTTGGGACGATCCATGAGGTGATGGAGGAAGGGTCAATCGCGAGTCAAAACGGCATAGAAGGGAGTCTTCGATTCCTCACAGATGATCCTGGGCGTCAGATGATTGGGAGTTTCCACCCCTTGACAGACGACGATTGGTATATCATTCTTCGGGTATTCCCTACACGCATCGAAGTTGATCGCTAATGACTTTTCTTCAGGACGGACATGGCGTACGATATCGGGGCGGAGTCGCCGGGTCAAGAATCTATCAGTATATGATTGTTAGCCGACTTTGATTCTGGCTCCTGGATACATTGGCAGAGTTTGAGAGGGCATTGTGAAGGTTATCAGAATCGGCGAAACCAGTGCCGTGTGTTTTGTCCACATTGTGTATACGGAACGGCGAGTGAAGGGTTTCTCATCATCGGAAGAGCTCATGTCCAAGAAATATCGGGGGCTTATCTTACTTTTGATCTTTGTCGCAATAATGAATTCGAGCCAGGCAGTATGCTCGCTCTTGGAAAGGAAAAGGGTCAACATTGCTCAGCTTGGGGGGAGGGAGCCCCTTAAATAGCTAGGATTATCAGACGTGAAGTATATCACTCAAAATACATTCAACCGGTCGATTTGGATCATTTCTGTACCAACATGCGCCCTACTACATGGGCACTGTCTCAGCTGTGTCCTCATTGGGGAACGTGTTGATGCTACTCACCATTTGTCTTAATGAGTCACTGTGACTAACTACTCCAACTACCCACGTACCCAGTAGCTAATAGAATATGGCGCACCGAAGAATACGTCTTGCCCTCTCATATACGTGTGATACCTACTGGTCCTCTTTCATTGGTAGTTGATATTGTATCTCATTTCCACGTCAAGGGCCTGAGTGTGTCACCTTGAATGAGAAGCAAGCACGATATCCCCACGTATCAGACAAGGAGGTGAGCAGAATTAACCTACTACCGTAATACCAATCCTCGATGCTACGTTATTGCGTTGATTACTTGCTCTCCTCAAAGTCCTGGCCCCTGGCTGCTTTACTTTCCTCCACGTAGCTAATTCAGTTCACTCCAGCCCAGCAGCAAGGAAGGGGGCTATCACGACTGCGGAGGGCGAGATATATGAGTGAAGAGAAGGGGAGGAGCTGAGTCAACTCAAACAGCTAGAGGGAGACATTCTTAGGCCACACACGATATAGCCACCTTGGAAAGGAGGTTAAGTGTTTTAGTAAGCCAACAGCCAACAGCATAACGTTTGTACCTAAGAGCAACCGGGCATTAAATAGCTCGTAAGTCCTTGATCCATTTAGTTATTTTGGCTCCCTACAAAAAGAATCAAACCTCTAAGATCATCTGAGGAATAAGTCTTGGTCTAGAGAGAAGATAGAAATCCTCAGACAATTATCGTATACTTCTCCCCAGCCTGTGTCCCGAAAGCTTCCTCATCCAAACCTCTGTATTCGCGGCCATTAACCTTATATGGCACGCCATTTCCTATTCGAATCTTGAGCGGACTGCCCTTCAAGGAGGTTATGGACGCTCCACGGACCTTCCCATCCTTCCACTCCATGTCAATCTTGAAGCCGCCCCTTCCAACCCATCCCTTGAAGCTTCCAGAAGACAAGCCCTGGCCGGCCTCAGGAATGGCAGGGCCCAGATGAACAACACCGGCGTGACTCTGCAGGAACATCTCCACCACACTCGCCGTGTAGCCCGAGTTCCCGTCGATCTGGAAGTAGCCCCCGTTGCGGCTGAACAGGTTCTCATGCACCCACCGATCCTGAAGCTCAACCAGGTACTGCAGCGCGTGCGCAGAATCAAAAAGCCGGGCGTGGAGCACACTCGCCCACGTCACGGCCCAGCTGTTGCCTCCTCCCGCGTTGTCCATCCTCCACCGCAGGAGGGTGTACGCCTTCTCCGCGTCCTCGGGCGTCGTCAGCCGCGTCGTCCACGTCCCCGGGTGCGCGCCGACCAGCGGCGAGAAGTGCCGATGCCCGGGCTGGTTCTCGCGGAACTCGCGCGAGTACTCGAGCAGCTGGCCAAACGATCCCGCCACGGGGCCCTCGATACCATCGCGGAATTCCTTGGCTCGCTGCACGCCCTCCTCCAGCCCGAGGGCCTCGGAGATCTCGACGAAGCCCTGCATCACCTCCCACATGATGGCGCGGTCGTTCATGGCCCCGGCGTCGATTCCCGTGTTCTCCCCGGCCACGGTCATGCCCTCGGGGATGTAGTATGAGTTCTCGGGGGAGCAGCTTGGGTTCGTGATCCAGTGGCCGTCGCGCTCCGTCGCCCAGCTGTAGATGAAGTCCATGGCGCCTTTGAGGATCGGGAGCGTGCGCTCCTTGGCGAATGTCTTGTCGCGCGTGAAGCGGAAGTGCTCGATGGCCTCGAAGGCTACCCAGGCACCGCCGAGGGGGTAGGGCGCTGCAATCGTCAGACCATGGTATGGTGTTGCGTCGAATGTGATGTCTGTGTTATGGTGGGCACACCCTGTAACGAGTCAACACCCAGTTCCATCAAGCGACTATGATATTCCAAGGGCATGTGCTTACATCCATCTGCACCGTACATGCGAGTCGCCACATCGCGGCCGACTACGGACAGCTTATCCAGAAAATCAACAATGGGCTCCGCTATCTCTGGGAGGTCGAGAGGCTGCGCAAGCCAGTAGTTCATCTGCAGGTTGATGTTGAGCGTGAACTTGCTGTCCCAGGCAGGATTGAAGGCCTGGTTCCATATGCCCTGCAGGTTGGCGGGCAGGGTTCCGGGACGGGACGACTGGATGAGCAGATACTTGCCATAGTTGAACTGGAGAGACATGAACTCGATGTCATTCACGACGTTGCCTCCGCGCTTCCAGTTCTCGCGGCGCTCGGGGACAGTCTTCAGCCCGATCTCGTCTGATGTTCCCAGGTCAATGGACGAGCGGTTGTAGTAACTCTGGTAGTCTTCGATGGATTCGCTTCGCAGTGCTTCGTACCCAAGACGAGACGCTTCCTCCAGCCTTTCGGCCACTATTTGGTCAAGGTCGTCATAAGTTGCATCAGGATGGTGGTAGGCGGTCTCGGCAGAGTAGAAGATCCAGACCTCATCCGCCCCAGTGATCTCGATGGCCGTACCATTGGAAGATACAGTGCCAGTGTCTATTTCAAACATTAGACGTCTTGTCCCAGTAAAATGGAAGACCAAGATGCTTAAAAGATGTCATGACTTACCATTTGCGAGTGCAATCCGCGCCTTGGAAGCAAAGCGATAGGTGTCATCCTCCTGGCCCGTTCCATGAAGCGTCAACTGTCGGGGACTGAGCTCAGCCGACACGTGAGTGGCATTCAGGCTCCTTGACAGCCCAAGGCTCAGATTCAGCGAACCGGGCTGAGCTGCTGAGATTTTGAAAGCCAAGACATTGTGCGGATAGTTGGCAGTGGACTCCCGAGAATATGTGATGTTTCCATGATTGTAGGAAACTGATACAACTCCATTCGAGATATCCAGCTCCCGTCTGTAGCCCGAAATGGCGGCCTGATCGTGCGGGAAGTCAATACGCAACTCTCCCGCGGGCTGATAGCGTCGCATGTCATCGTACTCGGGGACAAAGTGCTGGCTCCATGTCTCCCCGGCCTCTGTGAGAGAACCGTTGAGTATCTGTTGGCGGAGCGTCTCGAGATTGTCCTTGGCGGTAGGGGGAACCTTGTCCATGGGCCCTCCGCTCCAGATTGACTCCTCGTTCAATCGGATGAGCTCCTTGTCAACGTAGCCATGGACAACAGCCCCGAGCCGCCCATTACCTATCGGCAATGCATCGAAGAAGTCACGGACAGCCGATGCATTGTAGTACAGCTTGTAAGAGGCCTCGGAAGCTCCAGCCACATTATCAATAATCGCGAAACAAATCACAGCAAGCCGACGGAGGCTAAAACGCCTCATGGTAGGCGATTAGAGTAAGTAAAAAGGCAGATAAGCGGGCAGCACTCGACGAGTCCATGATGTTCATCGGCAACGAGGAGATGGTCTATGATCTATTGATTGTTCTTTTGTCCTTGGCATCAGTCTATGCTCGGTCTATCATTGCGCAAAAAAGTGGTAGCGAAGGAGGAGAGAAAGTCCGTAACAGCCTATTCGAGCCGACGATCACGGGTTTTCCAGCCAAAATTTCCCCGCAACAGTCCAGGAGCCCCTTTTCCATCTCTGCGGATAATACCACAGAGCTACATCGGCTCGAGGTCTCCTCGGTTACAGGATATGAAGCCATAAAAATCCATCCAGAATGCGTGCGGTGTAGTTCGTAATCATTATACATCAGTAGCGTTGATCTGACCACCGTCGCGTAGCTATATATATAGCTGATGAATATGGGGGCCATATCGTGAGATTATTGTGTAAATTATCATCTCTCCACCAGTTCCACTTCGCGTTTGGGCAGGAACAGTCTATTTCCAGAGAGTAAGACCTAGGCCTAGGTTCTCCCACCGCTGACCGTTTGTGTCACAGCTCGGTGTAACATGAACGATCAGCCAACGTGTGTGCTATCCATGATGTTGGATCTGGGTTGGGTAACATGGCCGTGACAGGTGTCAGACACTAAAGCTTGTTGGGAGCAGTCCCAATTAATCCGTCAGTCCTGTGGTTTTAGCCGGCAGGGCATTCCTTCCAGGGGTGTGATTGATGCAAATCCTCCGAATTATCGCTTGCCGAACATATTGAGCTTTCATCACGTGCCAGGAGTGCCATGGAACGGACAATTTGATGCCAAACCTAAACCAAATTGGTGTAGAATGTGGCATCTCTGGCCCCCAGGTTGCTCTGCATCCTTGGGAAACTGATGACACTGTACACCCATAATCAAACAGATTATTTGAATGAGACAATGGCGGTCGCTCATGGGGCAGGTGGCTGGGGGTTGTTCCCAACAGACTTGTAGAGATCGCGTAGTTCGAAATCCTCCAGACTCCCACCCTCAGGGAGTTCCCCAATCAGTCTGGCAGGCTGCCCAGCGACGATGGAGAAGCTCGGTATGACCATGTGAGGGGGCACAATGGTGCCGTCCAGAATCCGCACGCAATCCTTGATGATGGCGAACTCCCCGATCGTGCAGTCCCTCCCAATGTGGACGTGGTTCCCGACCGTCGCGGCCTGCACCACCGTGCTCTGACCAATATACACGTGGTCCCCCATCCGCAGCGGCATGTACGTGAACGTCCCCTTGTAGATCCTGCCAGGCGGCCGCAGCAGCGCGCCGCGCGCGAGGAAGCAGTATCGACCGATGGCGACGGCGGTGGAGCTGGCGGGACCTCCGCTGGAGGATGACGAGGGGGCTGTTCTGACGAGGTCGCCGCGTATCATGACCTCGGGTTGGATGACGGCCTTGCCTCCGAGCATGATGTTCTGCGTGCCCTGCAGCATAGCCTTCCGGGAGACTTTGTTTCCGCTGTCCTAGACGGCGTCATCGGGTCAGCAGCTAGCTTACAGAAACGATTGGGGGGGGTGGTTGTGGCGGTGTCGCTAGACGGGATGGGGTCATACAGTCTCGATATAGTCGCCCTTCGCTTGTCTGCGTGACATTTTGGCGACTTCTGGCGAGGTGCTAGGGGCAGGCACCTAGAAATTCGAGTAGATGCGTTATTGTGTTGGGTATAGGTAGCTAGCAGGGAGTGAAGAGGAATGATTTGAAGCTGTGGAGAGCTACGGGTAGCTTCATAATCGCAAGCTACCCTAGACTCAATCGATCAGGCAAATTGAATAGTTGAGGCCAAAACACCCAGAATAATCGTGAAAATATCGTACGAAACATGTAGAATAGAATTTGCGGATTTTTGGCTGCTTATGTTTGATTGAAAATTATTTTCAGGGTTTTGTAACATCTCTTCTGCTCAAGTGTTCAGTGCCTGAGATGTGTATTCATACTTAATGCTTTTTCAAACACCTCAAGCAGCCCAGCCGGATAGCAATGATGATGGGCAAAACGAGAAAACTAGCCCGTATCCTGACCTCGCACACTTGTTTTCATTACGTATAGTCCATATACATCTTACAGGCGAACAGGACTTCTCTTCCAAAAAATAGATGGTATAAGACAGTCTCTCATCACACGCCGGCCATCCCACCATCTTCCCTGGCAACATACCTCCTATTACCACCCTCTTGGTCATTCGGATGCAAATTTTCATTTTCTGAAACTTTAGATCACTTCTAATTGGACTATCTCGGCGTGTCACACCGGAGAAGGGGGGAAGCGTAGACATTTGGTAGGGTTGCGCTGCTCCGAGCCGCTGAGAACTGTGGGAATACGACTCCATTCTAATACGAGAAGCTTCACTTAGTCTGAAAAGTTTGAGGTAGATGAGTGATCATCCAGAAGAACTTAACGGTTAGCGACAAGCCCGTCGTTCAATGAAACAAAGAACTGGAAAGCACTAGGCCCCGGCCATTATCCCAACCCATGACGCTTCGAACTGATGCTATAGTCAGCCGGACTGCGTCCAGTTCCACTCATCTGTCACTTAAATGCATATTAACACGTCACCAAAGCTTTCTAGGAGCATCGTGGGTTGCGTTGGACTCAAACACTTACCGCCCACGGCGCAGAATGCTTGTGGTTTGTTTAAAGCCCATGCTTATGCTCCTGCGCCGACATGGCGCATAGAAAATCCGTGCCGCTGTGAAGTGTGACAATGCTCAAAGTTTGAATGTGACCTACCTATGGTAGACTTGCCGCTATGAGAGCGAACCGTAAGTACCTTCATCCTTGGTAGATAGTTCCACGCGGTCTTTCTGTTGGCTGCTCGTCCCAAGTAAGCGCCGCCGAGCTTGCCAAGAGAGTATGACCAGCGCAACGTGGGAGACACAAGCGAGGACATGCTTAGGTGGTACTGAGAATGCAGGGTGGGAAAAAGCCGAATTCTCATTCGCTTGGGGAATTATCAGGGACGTGAAGTAGCATTGTGGGGGCGAATCTGCCTCACACGAGTCGCACCTTTGGGGTTGCTTCGTGACCAGCCCTGAGCCCGAGAGGGTCAGGTGAAAAGAACACAGCAGCTGGGTCTTACGGTCTCGACTTGCACAACCAGGGACGCGGAAGGGCAAAGGGCAGACCCAGACAAGGGCGCACCCAGACGAGGGCAAGCATGTCAACCTTCCCGGCTGGTGACGCCGGAGTCGTTTCGGAATTGTTGATCAGTTCAAACCCGCCCATCTTGAGCTTGGTCATTGGTGAGTCAAGATCAAGCCACGCGCTTCTGTCTGTCTTGGCTTGTGTTGCAACTTGCGCCGACTTTACGACCGATATATTAGGCTTCTATTTTGATGGGAAGGGGTTATGTTGATGGCAGCCGGCGTATGATTGGAGCATTCTAGGGGAAATCGCGTGCCCAAACCAGGGGGGATGGGAGCTGCAGGAAAAGAAAGGAAAGAGAAGAGAGAGTGCCGCCATTGCAACGTACACTTGGAGCTGCGTTTCCGAGGCTGGTACCTTGGCATCTCTGCTTATACAGATGGCAACTATAACGCATTCTAGGGGATTTTAATGGCTCAAAAGCTGGGATCAGACCACTGTGTAGCTGTTTGAGATGCTGAAAGGCACTCGGCCGGCTGAGCGTTGCCGTAAGCCATGACCATGAGGAGTCGAACTCTGACATGGGTGGGTTTGGATCGGGAAACCGCCCTTGGCACACGAAGATACGCGTGGTTACCCCCGACGTTTCCATGCTACCACATATTAGTCGTAGTATGTCCATATTCAACGCAGTTCCTTGCTGGCTGGAATACGGCAGACACTACCTACCATGTTGGTAGCAGACGTGCGCATGGACCAATGGTGGGCCTTGCAGTTGGGTTTATCCTTGTTCTCCCTGGCGCGAGGGCAGAGGGGCCGATCAAAGATGATCCGCATGAAATTAAGATTTCCGTCGAGTGTTCCTGGTGGCACAGAGGTGCGGTTGGCCTTCTAAAGGCGTTCGAATTCCAAGGCTGATATCGGGAAAATGATCGTCATTGCGTATCTGTCTGTGAGCAAGAGCAGACAGCGAGAGCCAACCATCTGAATTGTTTCCTGTATTAGAAACATGGTTAAGGTCGCACTTGCCTGGGGGCTAGACTTGAAGAGCCGTAGCTCCCATTTGCGACCTGCCTTGGTAATTGTGGACCTGGACCCTCGCACTTTCCCTGGAAGATGCGGGCAAGTGGAGCCGGTCTGCACGTTCAGGGCCGAGGAGCCAATAGATTGGTGCTTTCTAAGCGCGATGGGCGGCAAGGTGCGGGGCTTTATCTGCCAACTTTGTGGAAGCCATTCCTGGCATCGCCATTGCCAAATTGCCATGGCAGTCCAAGAGTCCAAGCCCACACCACCACCACAACCAACTGCCTCCCCTCCTACGCTAGCAATGCACCCGCCGGTCCTGAGCTGTTGAGAAAGTCTGAACCAAAAACGATGTAGCTTGTCTGTTGGTCCAAGGTGCGTGAGAAACAACCTTTTCTCCCACGTGTCAGGGTGCTAGAGTCGGTCAATCGACATGATGAGATGCATGAAATGCTTTTGGCGGGCCCAGGGTCCCCTCCCATCCTTTCCTTCTTTGTAACCAAGACGCGAGGAAATTGACCTTGGGCCTTCCCTCCGTGGCTGTCCTCATTAGGCACCGGAGAACCTTTGCTGCTTAATTCTCCCCTCTACCCTGGTACCAAGACTGGCCGAGAAAGCCACGCCGAGAGATCTAGCCGCCCACCAAGACCTTTGTCTCCCCACCCCCGCTCATCCGTTACACTGAACTGCCGGTCCCTGGTCTGTCCCTCTTGGCCCGTGTCTCGAGCTCGTCCCTCCCAGTCCCAGCAAGACGGATGATGGGGGCAGGATTTGCACCAACAAGTGAGATACTGCCACCAACTACAGATCCCGCTTACCATCCCAAGCCCTCGGATTCCAGTGCCATTGGGGTCGTGATCATGACCAAGATGACGGATGGCTAAAGCCTCACATGTTCATTTTAAGGTTCTGCCGCTCCCTTAATATAGAATCAAGGGGAAATGACAAGACGCAGATGGCTGCTACGGGTGTTCGCTCCCACCATCATCTGAATTGCCCTACCCCCCCGTCCCGCCATCCAGCCTAAGCCGTGTGGAAAACAACTGTCAGCCACCCGGGACAATATTGCATGCCAGTAATGGCCCTAATGCCGACTCTGCATGAGTAGCTCAGTCGCACCTGCGCGCTTCCACCCCTGTCTAGCATGGCTATTTTCTGCTCTCAAAATACCACCAGGCGGTACGTCGCACTGGTCCCGAGCTAGGGCCTCGTCTGCGGCGGCCACCCGCCCAGCCTTCGCTACGCTACGTACGCCTGCACCTGCTTGTCCTGACCGGGTTGTAAGCGCTTAGGCGGTTACCTTTGGTGTGGTTGGTCTCTCAGATTTTCGCTGCATGAGCGATCCGGCTATAAGAGTATCGGCATGTCTCTCCCGACTCACTAGCCTTTACTCAAACACAGCTCATCAACAACCTCTTGCATATCAAACTCTTTGGTTTTTCCTTTTCCATTTCCTATATTTCTTATTTCTCGTTTCGTCTCCGGGATTTCATTTTCAATCATCTCCTTTTCCTCTCAAGTCTCCAGCAATCTCATAGTTGCTTCAGCTCCTCGACTTACAAACCCTCATACTCTCACCACCTACGCCAAACAAAACCACCACATTCACAATGCTTTCCAAGTCGTTGCTGTTGCTGGCCACCGCAGCCTTGGCCCTGGCCACACCCATCCGCAGAGGTCCCGGTTGCTCATCAGGGACCACATCTCCCGCTCTGCCCAAGACTGGTGGTAGCAGTAAGTATTCCGAGAGAACCAATTGCAATTGATGAATCAAATTGACTGACTCGTACTCCAGAGGAGCTCCCCAATCCCACCAACTCTTCTCTCAAGGCCATCGTTCTCGGCTTTGGCATCCAGAACTACACATGCTCAGGCGCTGGTGCCGAAGCTAAGGCCTCTGGCGCACTGGCGATGCTCTACGATGTGACCGACCTCTACCCTGGCCAGAGCACCGACTCCCTCACCCTCGCGACCTTCAACGCCCTCACTTCTGTCGCCCTCTGGACGCACGAGGTCCCATTGAATCTCTTGGAAGCCAAGTCCGTCGCCCAGGGCGCAAGCTCTTCCAGCCCCTTCCCCGCCGACGCTTCTCTCAAGATCGGCAACCGAGAGCTTCCTTACGCCGGCCACCACTTCTTCAACGCCGGCGGTGCTCCCCAGTTTGTCGTCTCAACCAAGAAGGCCGCCATCAACATCGTTGCCGCCAAGCTCGACGACGCACCCGCCCCCTCGTACGCCGACAAGGGCCCCTCCGGCACCGGCGCTGTTGCCTGGTTGTACCTGGGCCAGTCTACGAGCACAAAGTCAACTGGAGCCAAGTACGTCTACCGTGTGAACACTGCTGGTGGCAACCCCGCCACCTGCTCTGGTGAGGGCACTGAGAGCATGGCGTACACCACGCAGTACTGGCTCTACGAGTAAAGGATGAAAACTAAAAAAATCACAAAACACCAAAAAAAACCCAAAGAAGGAAATATGCATATGCTGTTGATGGCTCCTCAATTTTTTTCTATTATCTCTTATTTTCTTATTTTCTACGACTTATAGATTTCATTCCGTCCCTCTTTTATACCAGGCATGCATATCGGGAAAGGGTCAAATGGGTTACTTATTCGGACAATCTTTATAATGGTCAACATGGAGCTTGGGCATACCTCATCAAATCTACTGTTTATATTCGAGACATCAGTTCATATATCTACAAACTATTACTATTCCATGACTGAAGTTTCTGAACCGTGAAAATCAAATCTTACTTGCTCCTCCTCCCAATCTCCAAGTATCCAATCTTAGCGAAATGCCCGACTTGGACCTAGAACCGCCATGGAACTCTGCCATGGACAGGACGAGCTGCAATGCGACTCTGACCGCGTGCCGCCGCCTGAACGTCCCGTTTCGGAATATTCCCCTCCAGCCAATGGCGACGGCCGCTGTGGAATCTGCACTACCTGATGGGGGGGGACCTACCTATGAGAGCCTGCCACCAATATGGTTGCATCTGCGATGGGGGCCGCCGTTTGGGTCGCCTATGTGGCACCCTTCCCCGGCGCCTATGTACGAAGACCCCCCCCTCTCTGCCAAATGAAAACTCTGGCAAGGCGCCACCGGGTACGGTTCAGCTAGCTCATTTCTGGATACGGCTTGGCAACTCGACATGCAGGTCATTTCCAGAGTGTGTCTTGGGCGCGAGAGGGGGGGGATAAAAAAAGATGGCGAGAGATTACAGGCTCTCTTGACGCTGGGGGGCCTCCATATGGGAAACAGCTGCATGACCGACTCAGGTTGGAAGTCTATATTCACTGAGACGAGAGATACATTCATTTTTTTCAACGGCGGGATGCTGCCCAAGCACAATTGTCTACTATTGTAATTAGTCCGTAGCAACCTAAAATAAACCTTTGCTCACATATGGGGCTATCCAAAATAAAAACCAAATCCGCTACTACTTCGCAAATCAATCATCGGACGCACGTGTTCGGCCAGGCTCCCCATCGTCAAAGATTCGTCAACCAAACCAGAGAGCTGACGGGGCCTTGATATTTTCCTTTCCGCAAAACAAAGATGGAACTTGCAACACGGGAAAAAAGAAGTGTTGGAAGGATATATGCAAAAAACCCATTAAGCAACATCAGTTCTTTCATAAAAGAGTAGCAAAACACCCTTTCTAGATTCATCAGTAGCATCCTGACATTAGCCCTTTTACCTCCTTGATCCATCCAGACCACCCTGGAGGTCTTGCTCAAGACCGCCACCGTGGCCAAGATACTCCTGGGGTCGCGGGTCATCGACCGTCCACTGGCCCTGTTGTGGTAGAGGCACCTGGCCCGCCCCGGGGATTTGACCAGCACCGACTTGCTGGCCACCGCCAGGGACGGTTCTAACGAGCTGGCGGAATCTGATAACTTCATCAAGGATCACTCTGCGCATCTCACCGAGGTCCTCGATGACCTCAAAGTCGAAGTTGAAGGTGGTTGGGCAGTCTGGCTCGTCGGAGGCGTCGTGCCAAACTTGGAGGTAAGGGTGCTCGAGGGCTTGCTCTACGCTGATACGGCTTGAGGGGTCGAAAGCGAGCATCTTGTCAAGAAGGTCAAGTGCGTCGGGGTTGGCGTTGGGGAACAGGGCGGGGAAGGGCTTCTTGGGCATGAATGGCAAGTTGCGCACATATTCCTGGGCACGAGGCGATCCGATGCGAGAAAGGGTTTCCTCGTTGGGAGTACCGAGAATGTTGAGGATCTGGTTGAGCTGGTCAACGTAGTCACGGCCCTTGAAGAAGGGTCGTCCACCGAGAAGCTCGGCGAGAATGCAGCCAACAGACCACACGTCAACTGCGCAAAGAACGGTTAGAAACGGTTACTGATATCTTATATGTGTAATAGGTCTCTTGGCCCAACGTACTAGCTTTGGTGTAGCTCTGGAAGCTCAGCATAATCTCGGGAGCACGGTACCATCGAGTAGCCACGTATTCCGTCATGTATCCGGCATTCTCCTCGGGGTCGACTGAGAAACCACGGGCAAGACCGAAGTCGCAAATCTTGAGCTCACAGTCGGCATTGACCAGAAGGTTACCTGGCTTCAAGTCACGGTGAAGCACGTTGGCCGAGTGGATGTACTTGAGACCGCAGAGGATCTGGTAGATGAAGGACTGGAAGTGGGCGTCGGTAAGGGGCTGTCCGGATCGAATAATGGCAGCCAGATCACACTCCATCAACTCTATGCGGAATCAGTGATCTTGGTCTTTCCCCAGTGAAGCGCGCGCGTAGCACAAGGCTGCCCGCGATGGCATGTACACTCACCCTCGTAGAGGTATGTTTCATTGAAGTTGTCCGGTCGGGGAATGTCCATATCGTACAGGCAAGTGATCTGTCCCAATTCGCAGCGTTAGCGGGCTTCATGCTGCGGCGCATTTTGCCGTCAAAAGGCCACAGCCGCCTCGGCTGAAATCGGCGGCAGGGAGAAAGACTCACGTTGCGGTGACCGCGGAAGTGCTGCAGCAGCTTGATCTCGCGAAGCGCTCGCTTGGCGAGGATCTTCTTGCTGAAGACATTTGTCACCTTCTTGATGGCAACACCCTCGTTGCTCTGACCGTTGACGGCGGCGCTGGCGGAACATTGCGTCGTCAGCGAAAAACAGGTCCATGGCGGGGTAGGAGGGGTACGAGATCCAACGGCTGCAAACTCACCAGACAATACCGTAGGCGCCCTGGCCGAGCTCCTTTGTCACGGTGTAGTGCTCATCGACGATGAAGTCCTGGTTGAAGACCTTGAAGACCTTGCGACCTGCCAGATCCGTCATGACGCCGGTTGTTTGTCAAAGAGCTGTGGGAGCTGCTTGCTGGTGTTGGTTGCTTGATTGCCACGATGCGGGGCAACAGAAAGTGCGAAATGTGTGAGGCTTGTAGGGAGGGAGGAGCCGGCGGTTCAATCTAGGATGCAGAAAAACCAAGGGGAATGAAGGGAGGGCCTGGCAGGTAGTCCCAGATGAGGGCGCACGCAGACAGACAAGAATTAATAAATATTACGAGGCCAACAAAGAACCAGCTGGATATGCGGAGAGGGATGATGCAGCTTTATTAGGGAGGACCAAGAGTGAGATGGCTTTGGGACCCCACACCCACGGTACGTGAGTGCTACCGACAAGTATACCTGGCCATTGGTGTGTGGCCTCGCAGGCGCCAGGTATCTTGGGGGTAGATTGGATGACTACACCTCTGGCCCTCCGCTCCTGCCTAGCGTGTAACAGCTAGCCCCCGCCACTAACAACCCGTAGAGTCAATTCCACCCACTGTAAGCTCATTCCAAGCCTGCAGAGCACGCTGTCATAGGTCAGCCCTTTGGCCGCAAATTCAATTACTCACGGGCACATCAATAACTGTTGTTGGTTGGGCTCGTCCGCGTCCGCCAATGGGCTGCGCTCCGAGCCCTGCCCGTCGCTCTCTAACCGCCCTCCAAGATATCCCTAAGCTGCAAGTTGCTCCGGCTGATGCTACGCTCGCTGCGCAGTCCACTCTCGCTAGATGAGAGCGCCCTTGTCGCCACCTATGAGTGTGGTACTTAGGGTGGTATGACCAGCCAACCAAAGGCCATATGGTGTCGCCAGGTCTATTTGCCTACCTGCGATCCACGATGAATAAGTACCACCTAGCTGTACCTAATCTTGCGCCTTTTCCAATGGCAGCTATCGTTAGGCTTGAGGGCTGAATGTGCAAGACAATGTGGAATTCGGCTGACCACCCGTCTTACCAACCCGGCAACTCGCAGCGTTCTTCCGCGCCCAGCCAGTGTGTCTGACACGACGATTTTTTCCACTCCCAGATCAAGTGGAAATGAACAGAAGCCCAGCAGGCGACCGAAACCAATGTCGACCCCTCCGGTTGGCCCGTTCCCAACCTCGCCCGCTGGGAACCCAAGGTTGGGGGCCAAACAGCGGCTCAGCGAATGGGCGATCAGCGCTCCGGCCTCGGCAAATGATGGGCCGATAAAAGAAGCATGGGTACCCCAAGTTTAGGGCTGAGACGAGCCATGCACGCCCGTAGTGTCAGCCAACTCAATCGAAGCGGCGTAGCGGGTGGTTCGCTCAGGGTTGCTCTGTAAACGAGATGAACGAATCTGAGGAATGAATAGATGCCCTGCTCTCTGGACATGGCGAATTTATTGCCAGTTCTGTACATACTGGTCGGGGGGGGCCGTGCCGATCTAAACCAATGAAGAGTGATAACTCCTCTACGACCAACAGTACAGCAGACACCATGCCTGAAGGGATGCACATTAAAATATATCGGGGTCATAGCTTCCGTAAGGGGCACATGATGACCCCCGTATTGTTCTATATCTCTAATTTTCTAGGTAGTTTATTGCTGTATCCTTCCAGGCATCTCTTGTCCCTACTCCTTTGATCCGCCCACAACTTCCTTGAGGAAATTTCTGGAGAACCGCGAGCACTGTTCAAACGCCTTCTCAAACCCGTCTCTGCCACCATAGTAAGGGTCGCTGACGGTTTCAGCCCTACCCTCGACTCCGCTCCACTCTCCGAAAAGCATCACCTTGGCCTTGGTGTCCTGGTGGTTTCGGTGAAGTCTCGTCAGGTCCGACAGATTGGACCGATCCATGGCGAAGATGTAGTCAAACTTGGAAAAGTCCGATGTGGAAAACTGTATCCCGGAGAATCAACTTGTTAGTGCTCCCAGGGTTTATCTATCGCCATTGCGAGAGAAGGAGACGAACTTTGCGGGCTGCATGGTCGTAGTCTGTGATACCATTGTCCTCAAGGGTCGACAAGGTTCGTGAATCCGGTGATTCTCCTGCATGATAAGCACCTAAACGATGGCGAAGTTCATTTGGCCCAAGTCAGCCAAGGTACCTCAACGGTCTCTTGAGAGTCAACCGTCTACGAACCAGTTCCGCAGGAGTCGATCTTTCCAATCTTGCCACTGTACTCGGGCTGCTTTGCCATGTTCCGGAAAATCCCCTCGGCCATGGTCGACCGGCAAATGTTGCCAAGGCACACGAACAGGACGGACACGGGTTCTGCCATTTCGATCGGCTTTGGAGAGGTGCGAGGCTGATAGGGGATGCTTACATGAGGTTCGAAACCTCAATCCAGAACTTCCTACCCCGCGATGGAGGCACAGTGCAAGCCTGGCACAGATGTACTCTGCACTGTACCAATCAGCTCTCATTCTCGCATCGTAGCCTCCTCCGCTTGCTCTATGCCTGGTAATTTTGCTCATTTATGGCTTTCATAATACACTGGCGATCTTTAGACTGAATCAGTTGGCTTGGATTTCCCAGCCAACCTTCCTAGTTCCATTGCGCGATATACAATCTACGCATGCAAGCGACTGACATAAAACATGGCAGATCTAGATACTTCAGCGTTGAATTTCAACACAACATCGAAACAATTAACCTCATAAGAAATACAATATCAAGCTAAATATTATGGAATAGTTTATTATTCTTTTATTACTATATCTAATAAAAACCCCAGATCCCTGCCCTTCGCGAAAAGGGCTTTGGTGTTCCAAGTTTTATTTTGCGCACTTGGCATGTTACGCATCAGGGACATCAAGGAGCAGATGCAGTAGAATAAAAGTCTCACCGAGACTATTTGAATTGAAGCGCCATTGTGAACTATACAGGAACTCGTGCGCGTTTTGATCTGATACAAGAGAGGGGATGTCACACGTTCCGTGGCATGACCGCGCACGATTTTTTTCTTCCTCTCAACAAGGCAGTTCTGCCTTTCCCGGTCAATCCCCATTGAAAGACCGTCCCATTCCATTCCAATTTCCGCATTGCGCCAGGCTTAAAGTAAAAACAAGAGGTGAATAAATATATACAGGCACGGGAGGTGTTAAATAACAAGAAACGCCGTTCCTAACGCCTCTCGGATATCATGGCACGTGATGGTGGTAGTTATACAAGTTACAGGCAAATCACTGTTTGCCCTCTGGTCGGAGTTGATCGTTCAAGCTTTGCCAAGCTGGCGCTCTCTCCGGATGGCTTCGAGAATGTCAATGACGCCGGTGTTGCGGATTCTCTCGAGCACATGCCGCATGCCGTCGCGGCTCTTGCCGAGCTGGTCCTTGGTCTTGGTGGAGGCTAGGCTCTCTATGCTTCGGCCGATGCCTCGCGCGCCCAGCCCGCTCGCCAGGCCGTAGAGCCATCCCTCGCTCTGGGCCTGGCCGATCTTGCCGCGGATCTTCTCTCCAATGCGGGACCTGAAGACGAGGCTCGTGTTGACGTTGGTCTCCAGGGACGCATTGTCGGTCGGGACGAGGAACTCTTGCTGCTCGGTGACGGACAAGACCCCGGAAAAGTTGAGGTTCTTGCTCTCTGAGCGCATCCATCCCTCCTTGATGTCGACCACGCTTGTCTCCAGTACGTAGGCAACCTTCTCTCCGCTGGTACCGCCTCCGGTGACACTCGCCGGCAGAAGCTTGTACACCGCGGCGGGCATACGGCTCTTCTTCAGGTGGAGGCGGGTGGTATGGAGGCGGTTCGTCTTGGGGTCGACATGGCTGGAGATGGTGTCCGTGCTAAGAACGTGCGTGGCGAATGGATTGAGACGAGGCGAGCAGTACCGTAGGAAGAAGGCGAGCGTGACGGTGGGGAAAGGATGAGAGTACGTATGCGATGTTGAGTGGGTGAGAACCATTGTAGCGAATTGCCGACTCGTGGCACGAGTAATGAACAGAGGTATTGGTGTTTGGATACAGATAGCTAGAGAAGATCGGAGCCGGCTCAGAACGACACTCGGAGATTTCGGCTCTGGAGATGGAAGATTGTAGAATGCGACCCTTCGCCCCCCTGGCCAGACCTCGGATAGGGTAGAAGAAGAAGAGGAAGATGGAAACCGCAGTTAATTTGGGATCGCGTGCCCCAATATTTGCACTGGGAGGAAGGAGAGGTAGATGGAGGTGACCAGAGGATTGAGAGGGGGCCCGGCACTGATGGGATGGGGGAAAAAAAGACAACTTCCGGAGGGATCGAATGATAGTGAGACCTGCCACCAATTGCAGGCGCACCTTTTTCTCCGTTGGTGACCCAAGCCGGACTTTGCAGGCCGTGATTGGCCAGCGAGTGCGGGGTCCCACTGGCCGTTGGTGAACCTGGGGTGGCAACCTCACGTGATGCCACCACCTACCCTACAGGCACATGCCTGCAATTACATCACCCTCTCGCTATTTCGTGTCGCAGCTCGTAGCTGATCAGGCCAGAAGCCAGGCATGTGCCACACCACATCCCCTCATTACCACATTACCCTGCCAGTGTCGACCGATGTCGAGACAGGGCATTCATGCACGGGAACCGGATCCTTGGCATTTGCTTACTCTGCTCCAGCTGATTTGCCCAGTGCCTCCTGTCTGCCAATCCACTCTCCTCTTGTGTGCGCGTACATCCAATATGTGAGCTGCGAGTGGTTGAAACGACCAATTACGTAGCTGGCACAACAATGGCCCAACCTCCTCTTGACTACCTAGGTTTACATGTGCAGGATGAAACTGTATGGAAGTACGACATCAAGTTGCTCCAGTTACCGCTACCCACACCAATATTACTTAGCACTTGAGAATCATGGAGTCATCACTACACCATCAAAGGTTCATCACGTGCACACCAAAGAAAATTGAGCTCCCATTGTTAAATAACTAAGTAGTCTTTGCGTCATGTATCGATAGATGGGTTAAACTTTCGATCTATATAGAAGCCGTCTTAGGGACCTGCAGGCAGTCGCTTGAAAGCAGCCAGACATGCCAGCTTGACAGACTTCGCTTCTGCGGTGCTTCCATTCGATGGGCCCACATAGCTAGAGAAACAATGACAAAAACTTCATGATGCAAATGTGAATCTTCTTGTATCCTAACATTGTATCCTAACTGGGTTGGCTGTTCGAACAAAATACTTTGGCGTTTTAGGAGCGGGTAACGGATATGTTGTGGAATCGAAGCAGGAAGCAACACAAAAGGGAATAGACAAAAAGAATAAAGCGAAGATCCCGAAAGGATGATTTATGCGTCTGAGTAAATAAATGTTTGATTGCAGTTACTTCGCTGACATTGTGCCGTTGTATTATCCCTTATATGCCTGCTGCCTGATCACGGCGAGCTCAAGTTGGATTAGTGCAGTGATGCTGGCAAGGAGCCTGGTCGGATATATCACCTCCACTTGTCTCGTAAGAACGGTCTCAAAGCTAATATTTAGACCACTATACATATCAGCGGTGCAATGTTTCTTAATAATAAAGTTATTGATATTGCTTTTTGCCTGACGATTTCTAACCATCATCAGCGTCAGTGAATAGCACTGCGAGGACCGCTGGCCTGGTCTTTCAGCGTCTCTTCTCGTATCCGTTCTCGCGTTACGTAGAAGCTAATTGAGTTTGAGATACGTCAATACTAGTCATTTGTTGACAGGAAAAACCCATAGAGGCTTGAGGCGTTTATAGTTCAGGATAAACTTAAGGAAAGAATTGCCAGGCTTTTCTGCCTTGAGGGAGATGACTGGATCGAACCAGACGACATGCAATGGCCACGTAGACGTGCTATTTTGTCTGAAATGAATCAGAAATTATATTGGACGCCGACGAATCTGGGGTTTCTCCATTAACAAGCACGATGATCTCTAGCGTCCAGTTCTCCATCGTCCTCCACATCCTCAGCTTTCACAATCCTAACCAGACGATTAATGAAGACCTAACGTTTGATATCTAAGGTCTAGAAGCCCCGAACTTATTCGGTATATTACTTGGCTAACAAATTATAGAAGGAGAAAGCTTTTACCATGATTCATTATCTCACTGCGGCTTGGGCTCGTTTCATGCGACCTGACAGTAAGGGCCCCAACAGTCCGATGCCTTCGGCTACCTCGTATGGCTATGATATCCAGTCTCGTGTACTTGGGATTCCCGACAAATACGGCTTCTTCTCGCAGGGCCCGCCACGCCTTCAGGAGTTTGAGGGAACACTTTTTGCTGTATTGATCCTTATGCGAATCGCAACGATCTTGGAGGAGGCATGGACCATCTACACTGTTGAATGCCCTCAAGGCAAGCCTCTGCTGCCTTTGCTAGCATTGAATGGGCTGGGTCACATCATGTCGATCATATGCACATGGGGCACCGCAATCTGTGTCCGCGCCCTCCGTCGAAAGAAAGAACAAACCGGAACTGTTGGCAAAACTCTTCCAGTACCTATATCCAATCCACTCGGGGAGAAAAGCTACTGCAAGGGGTCCAGAGAATAGTCAAGTCATCTAATACCTACTGGTAATAATTTTGTTGGAGTCTCAAGGTGCCCTGGCTACTTCAATGATTTATCCCTGTTCTGCGTAACCCGAGCCAAGTATTTCAGCATCGTGAATCCCCAATTTGAAAATAACTTAAGAGAATTCAATGTGGAAGAACAAGCAGCCTCAGGGTTTGAAAAGTGAGCAAAGACGCCTTGTCCTCCGGAAGATCCCTTTTGCGTCGGTTGCTAATGAGTGCCTTGATCGAAGGGCCGCGAAGGAGGGAGAGTCTATTTCGCTGAGGGCTGGAGGGATTTCAGGAATACAATCATACGAATGCAGGCAAATAAAAAAGCAATGCTTATAGAAAGTGATGAAGGGTGCGAAAGAAAAAACAACCCTTAAGTGAACTACGCCCCTGGCAGAGTTCAAATTCGGGCCAGGTTGGGAAGAACAATAAGCCTAGGCGTTCGTAAAGAAGCCTAGAGGCGAGAGTAAGATTAAGAGAAACGTCCACTAGAACTAGTGATACGAAGACAATTCAGGTTTTGAACACGTTTGTTACTTTCATTCGCTTGTAGATAGATAAGCCTTCAGTTTTCGATCAGATATTGGGCTGTTAGATGATCAGTGGACGCTCGCATGGCTAGGGAAATTATGAAAAAACCCTTATGATACAAATTTGAATCTTATCTTCTTGTATCCTAACCAGGTTGGCTCTTCAGACCAAAGGTTTTGGCATTTAGGTGTAGCTTTCTTAGGAGTATCGTGGGCTACAAGAATAGCATGTCCACATGGATCAACGCAAAATGCAAAGATCCTCCTTGAGTTCAAACGTTCAAATATTCAATCGGTTCGTACAGGTACAGGCCCCAACTACCTATCTTCCGTCCACCGAGGATCTGTCGTGCATCCCCCAGTCCACATCTGGGGCATCAACAAGAAGGCTCTCGCCACGAGCGCGAGGAGGTATGCCTGGAGCCACCATGATGCCGGATCCATCGTCTAGCTCATCTTTGACTTCGCGCCTGCTTCATAAAGCTCTGATTCTAGGCAGCCTATAAGTACCGGCCTTTGCCCCTCTCAATTTTCCTTCTTTCATTCTGCAATGTGTAGTATCTGTTCTCTTTTTCCTGACCTATGATGAGCACTCAGCATCAAAGAGTAATATAATTACTGCTTTCTAGCAAGGTTCTTAGGGACCTGATAATGAGCGGTGGCGGTCCTTTTAAGCCTCTACAACTTTTCATCTTTAGATAATAGTAAAAAGGCACATTTCTGGCCATGGAATATTGACTACTTGTTGGAATTATAATATGTGAAGAGGATCAAATGTGTGTGAAAAAAAGCACGAACTTGTAGATTCTACAAAAGAGAACCGAAATGAGGCCATAGAGAGCATCTTGCCCGCTCAAAGGAGCAACCTGGCCAGGTTGGTGAGTAAAGTAGAGAACAGCGAAAGCTTCTAGTAGTCAATCACACTCAGCAGCATTTCTCGCTGCCTCGGTCAATGATAATAGGTTAACATGGCAATGAATGTATATTAGCCTTCGCCCTGTATTGACCTACATATCTAGGTCCATCACCAACGCAGTCTCCTCCGGCTGGCCCCTAAACTCCCTCCCATTGACTCGTATTCGTCCTCTGGCCTCATCCGGAAACACAATCCTCCCCTTTGTCCCCTTGGGAGCGACAACCTCCACCTCCACACCCCCATCCTCGCCGACCGCCACCTTGCCCTCAAACCACCCCAGCCCAGTCTCAAACCCAGCCCGGACACTCCTCAGCTCCTCTCCCAGCTGCGGCCTCAGCGACCATCTCCGGCCCCCAATCTCCTCCAAACGCAGTCCCAGCACGCCCGTCACCAGCGCCGTCGTCGGCCCCGAACTCCACCCGTGCGCCAGCGACGTGTACGCCGCATCGTACTTGTACGACCGCTCCGACCGATAATACAAGCTCCCGTTGGCCGCCAGCCCCTCCACGAACGTCGACCCCGTGAAGAGCCCGTTGCCATCGTCGAGGAGATACCCCCACAGCCGCCGCAGCAGCCTCTGCGCCCGCTCAGTATCCTCCGCCCCGTGCAGGTGCGCCAGCAGCTCCAGCCCCGAGATGAACGGCGAGATGGTGTCCTCGAGCTCCGGCGTCACGGGGCCGATGTCGTTCCAGTTGCGCTCTAGCCCTGCGCTCACGGCACCGCGCTGCGTTCCGTTCTCCGCCAGCCCGTATAACAGCGCGAGGGAGTTGCCGTCCTGAGCGTGGAGGGTGCTCGTGGGGTTGTCGCGGTACAGCCCCGCCTCCCCGTCCCAGAGCAGCGCATTGTACCCCTTTTTGATATTCGTCGCTGCGTCTATCCACGATTGTTTCTGATCCTCGGAGTGAGCCAGCGTCGCCAGCGAGACCAGCGCGTGGTAGTTGAGCGCGTTCAGCGCAGAGTTGAACCCCCCCGTGTTCCGCCTCGCCCAGTCATTCTCATTCACCTGCTCCTGCAGCCCCGTATCCGGATCCAGCCTGCTCGTGATATACTCGACCCCGCGCGTGATGTTCCCCCAGTGCTCCGCCACCCACGCCTCGTCCCCAGACCACACGGCGTAGTCGTACATGCTTATGAGCGCCCAGCTATGATACGTGTCGCTCCTCGCCCCGCTGCGAAAACTCCCCGTCGAGGGCCCCGCGAAGGGGAACATGCCCGTCGAGGCGTTCTGGTAATAAAACAGCGTCGCCAGGCTGTTGCGCACGCTCTCCCTCCCGGGCTCCCCGTACGCCATCATTGCGATGGCACCCTGGATCCCCAGGTCGCCCGGCCAGATGGCCCTGTCCCGCTTGGCACCGTCCACCAGCGCGGGGGAGGCGACGCTCAGCGTCGCGTTGTACGCCCACCCGGGGCGGACCTGCGGCAGCCAGCGGCCCGTGTCGGCGGGCGCGATGTTGGTCTGGATGGTGTAGGCCCCCGCATACCAGATCCGGTTGAGGAGGTCGTCGTCGGCGTCGGGAGTGTAGAAGTACCCCGTGCCGGACCGCAGGTCGGGCATGTTGGGCGCGAACCCGATCTCACACGTCACGTTGAACACAACCACGTCCTCGAGCGCGTTGAGAGTGAGATAGCGGAAACCCCCACGGAACCGCTCCCTCGGTGTGTGATACCACACCGCCCGCTCTGCATGTCCATCGCTGAGGGTGATGTTGTACGCCTGGTCCCAGTCCATCCCCGGCGTCGCGCCCGTGTCGTCGCTGATCTCGCGCACAAAGGACGGCGACTCGGCGTACGCGAGGGACAGGGGCGACGACGAGGCGGACCTGGCATTGAACGAGATGTGCCCGCCGACCTCGACGCCAAAGTCGAGCGAGATGCGGGAGCCGGCCTGAAGGCGGATCACCTGCCGGCCGGAGCTACAGTTCCTCACCGAGGCGTTCCCCTCGATGGAGTGGACGCCCACTGGCGAGACGTTGCGGCTCGCCGGGCTGTGAATGTACTTGCTCCAGGGCTCATTGGAAGAAGCAGTGACGAGGGAGGCGTTGGCAACGAGGAAGCTCAGGGCCAAGATGAGAACAACCCGAGACGCCCGTATAAACTCCATGATTTTTCCTCTTTTAGTAAAACTCCCCAAAGTGTTATTCTTATTTCCGCTGGGGTCGACAGGCTTGAGCCATGCTCACTTGCCCGTCTTTATACATCTCCATTGACCTCATGATGAGTTGGGTATCTCGTGGGATTTCCTGGCTTACCCCATATTTCCCCGGGATTTTTTAAACCTCGTCACATTATCCATCTGTGGCTTTCTCTTGCGTAGTTGTTCGAGTTGCTGGGGCTTCGGGTTGATTTCAACCGAGCGAAAGGTTGAGTATTTCGCTAGGATACGGAATTTATCCGATCCGAATGAATAGCCTGTTTGTTTCCCTTGGCAATATGCTTACTCTTTACTAGTTAGCGTTAATCAAAGGGCGATTTCTCGGGCATACCCAAGACAGGAAACAAGGCGAGTTGCCATTTCAAATGTTCTCGACAGCTGAACATTATCGAGGTTCACTTTCGGTCACAATAGTACAAATTATGTGATAGGTCAAGTATTCCATTTTACTAGTTTCCTTAAGCTAGCTAGTCTTTTCTAGCTGCATGTTTGAACCGTCCGAAGACCTATCCCCTTTATTTTTCCTTAACTCACTCATCAGTCATATCGAGGTTTTACAGCCACGACATCTGGGAACAAAATTGAAAAAGCAATTGATAAAATGAATCTCGTATCATCCCTTATAATTCAGCGTCGGGGAGGGGCATAGCCCTCGCAGCAACATCGCGTATATATTTACATTGAAAATCTGTCGCTCCCAGTTCTCAACTTAGGTAGACCCTGGGTCTCCGGTACCAGTCCTCTAGGCTGACGAGAAGTAGGCAAGGGCAGCGCAGAACGTGCTCTCATTGTCAGGCAGGTGAGTCATGAGACCCTTGCCGCCAGAGGTGATGACGTTGGTGCTGGCCTTGGTGTTGACACCGTACATGTGGACCTTGGAGTTCTCGACCTCGATCATGTTCTGCTGGCAGTCCTCAGTGTCCAGACACTCCTGGGTGTAGTTCTCGAAGAAGCTGTACAGGCCACCACCGTAGAAGAAGATGTCGCTGGAATCGTGGATACGGAGACCCCAAGTCTTGGCGCATCGCTCACCAGTGCACTGGGCCCAGTCAGGGTCGAAGTACTTGGAGTTGGAAGTGAATGGGGTCTTGGCATCGGGGTTGCCCTGCATGTAGGCAGTCTCGGTCTGGATGACACTCATGTAGACGTTCTGGGCGCCCTGGAGGTGGTAGTTGTAGAGGACATTGTGCTCAGAGGCGGTTCCCCACAGCCAGACAGGCTTGGTAGACTCGATCAGTATACCGCGGCCGTTGTAGATGTTGATCTGGTTGAAGTCGCTGCGGTCAAGCTCGTGGTCGGAAACCCAGAGCCAGTTATTCTCCATGTAGACGCTACCAGTCTTGGTGATGTGCATGAGCATAAAGGCACCAATACACTCAGGGTTGGCAGGAGTGGTCTGCTGGGGAGTCTTGCTGCACTTGTCGGACTGCAGGTTGGTGCCAGCAGAACCACCGATGCGGAAGTGGACATCCCAGAGACCGGCGGAGCCCTTGCTGGCGGCCTCGAGGTTCCACTCCATAAGGATGGCACCGGGCTGAGGACCCTGGGTCTCAATCATGAGGTCAGAAATCTCAACATTGCCAACATCGCCGGGCTGGCCGACCTGGAGCATGGGCTTGGGGTTGGCCTGGTCGAGGAACTTGGAGTTGGCACCTCCAGCCATGATCAGAGGCCAGATCTCACCAACAATCTTGATGTTCTTGGGGACCTTGACGGTGTCGCTGATGATGTAAGCACCGTGGGGGAAGTAGACAATCTCGCCCTCAGCGGCGCCGTCGAAAGCAGCCTGGATAGCGGCGGTATCATCAGTCTTACCGTCACCCTTGGCACCCTTGGTCTTGACGGAGATGAACTTGGAGGCATCAACATCAGCGTACTGAGGCTTGCTGCGGACGAAGACACGACCGGCGTCGTCAAGGAGAACGGCGGGCTTGGTGGGAGCGGTCTGAGTGGCCTGGACGGCTTGACCGGAGCTACCAGTGTAGGAGCGTCCCTGGACGAAGGAGGAAACCTTCTGGTTGCCGGGGAGGATGGTGGCGCCAGTTCCGCCGTTGGAGACAGCGACAGGGACGTTGCTGGTGAAGTCGGTGTTGTCAATGATGAGGGTTCCGTTGGTGCCGGCCTGGGCAGGGTTGTAGAGGGACTTGATAGCGACAGGAGTGTCGGAGAAGACACCATCCTGAACAATGACTGTGCCGACGGTCTGAGCGTTGCCACCACTAGTCAAGTCGAGACCAACACCGCAGTTCTTGATGGTAAGTCCGTGGTAGTTCCAGACCCAGTTCCAGATCTGGTAAATGGCGGTGTTGCAGTTGTAGAAACTCAGGTTGCGGGCAGTGAACTGCTGGCTGCCGAAGAAGGCACCGTACTTTCCACCGTGGAAGACGAGGTCGGTGATGAAACCACCAGATCCGTTCTCCATGAAGATACCCTGCTGGGCGTTGTCCTCGCTGCTGTCCTCAATCATGAAGAACTCGATGTTCTGGAGAGAGGTGGCCTGGGCAACCTGCCAGTGGATACCAGTACCTGAGGTCTTGGGCTGGGCGGTGACGTCGATCTTGAAGTTGCGAATCTGTCGGAAGAAGTTGTTCTGGTTGGTGAACCAGTTGTTACCGGTGTCAGCGTAAGGGTTGGCGTCGATGACAGCCATGCCCTGGAAGTTGGCACTGGACTTGAGGGTGGGGACATCAGAAAGATCGCCAATCAAGTGGGTGTAGTAGTAGGCAATGATGGGCTTGGAAACAATGTAGGTACCAGGGGGGAAGTAGACGAGAGCGGGAGTGGTGGTGCTAGAGTCGCAGCCGAGACCGCATCGGTTGTTGCCAGCAGTGATGGCAGCGTTGATGGCAACAGTGTCATCAGAGGAACCATCACCCTTGGCACCGTAGTCTTTGACGTTACGGAAGACGGGGTAGTCGCTACCACTGGTGCCGAAGGGAACGGCGCCAGTGCGCTCAATGCTCGAGAACCACCATGACGAGGCGGCTTGAGTACTGACATTAGCAGTCTGGTCCGCGACGGGGAATGGTGCAGGTGCAGGGCTTGCGGCCGCCTCAAGAGCGAACAGGCGCAGGGCCAGAAGACCCGTGGTGAGGAGCGAAGAAAGCCCCATGATGAAATAAAACCAGCGGGTTGAGATCCTCCAGGGATACAAGCGGCGGTTTGGAAGTGGTTGAACTTGGTCAAAGTGCTCAAAAAGATGAAGCACACCCTGATGAAGTGGTTAGTGTTTTGAAGTTTGCTGAAAACTCAGTGCGGCGAGAAGGTAGTGACAAGGTTTGCAAGTGGAAGAGGAAAAGGAGGTAAACGAAGTGAAAGTCAAGAAGAAGTATAAATAACACCAGTTGAACTCAGGACTGTGCCGAGAACTCAATAGGGCCAGGTGGTTATTTCGAACACGAGTGGTGTTCTGAGAAGATTGTGAGAACAAGCCCGGTGTATTTATCACAATACAATCGGGCCAGGCATGAAGAATGCGCGCGTGCAGTGAATAGAGAGGTGACGTTGCATAACAGAGTGAGATGAAAGGGTTTCTTGGGCCATTGTGGGACTTGACAAAGGGTGTTTGATGCCCCAACAGAACACAACAGCGAAAGAGTACAATAGAGAATGAGATGGAAATGAAGCAGGACACTCGAAACCCCATCACGCGCATCGATCGACACTTGTCGATGCCCACCAGCACTCTTCAACCTTCCCCACGGGGGAGCTGAGGGCGAGGCCTGCAGATGCAGATGCACGTGAATGGGGTGGATGAGAAGCACAGCGGGCAAATAGCAGTAGGGCCGAGGCCAAGCCCGACTCATCAACTTGGACTTCTCTAAACGTAGACGGAACGTATAGAAAGAAGCCCGGCTTCGTGGTGGGTGAAGCCAGCCAGGTGACAGGGAGCAAGTGACGATGAGCCCAAGATCACAAGACTGCCGGTCGAGTCGAGCCTGAGCCTCCACCCAGCCCACAAGATGCCGCCGCGAGGGAAAAGAAGCGCCGAAAAAAGGTGCACCTACCTACCAAGGAAATTCTTTTCGGTTCTGAGCTCGGACGAGTGCGAGAGAAAGGAGTGTCTTGGAAAGCAGCCGGTGCAAACGAAGGTGAATACGTTGGAAGAAGGAACAGTAATGAATGAAGGTTGGTTTCCGTGGGGAAAGACTCGCGTGCAGAGAGGAAAAGAGGAGAGGAAGAGGAGGAGTTTTGGAATGGATGGAGAGCACAACAAACAGGAGGAAGGAGTGAAGCGGCCGGACGGTACGCGTTTAAGTATAAGGCGATAGAGTGGCGAGACACACTGGACTGCGCACACCCGCACGCAGCTGTCAACGCCGCACTGACTGGCCTGGCCTGGGATGGGTGCACGTCACTCCCGGGAAACAAAGTAGAGATCCATGGGTACCTGATCGGAATCTGGGCCAGCGCTGCCCATGGACGTCGCGGTGCCGCCGGGATTGGGCCTCAGACGAGCTCCAGAAGCAGGACTGGCATCCGGCACTGGCGCCATGTAGCCGCCACGGGCCTGCGGTGGAGTCATCCAGGGCGACGAGATGAGACAGAGGGTCGGCTCTAGGGGTGCAGGATGCCTATCCAATCCAGCATTGCTGTCGTGTGTTCAGACAATGCAGCATCAACTTCAATCAAGTGGCTCTGCGCCCTCAGGAGCGCTCAGGAGCCACCGACCCTGCACGCACTCTACGCTAACCTCCGTGCCTGGCTGCGCTTGGCCAAATTACGGCAGCTAGTCGAGCAACGCATGAACTTGGGCCTGTCGATCAGTGCGCTTGGTCCGTCTAAAACTGGGTGCGAGGCACCAGGAACTGTGTAAGGCAATGCCAAAACGGACAGTGTTTTGAATGTAAGATTTGCGGATGACTCGCTCCCTCGCGCCAGGAGCTGTGGTATGCTACACCACCTACCTACCTATAGCAGTAATCTTATGCCTACCTACCTGTTGATAACAGATGGAATACGCTCTGCAGCGAAGAGGAAGCTCTTGGGAACCCCAATCCTCCGCCTTAATTGCACATTCCTTGGCCGTACGACGCGCCACGGCCAGCCTACACAGGGCGCAAGCTGGGCGAATGAGTTGCAGCTCGCCCTCGCAGACGGGAGCGAGTGGCCAGTGGCTGCTGGTCTAAAAACAGCGAATACCACCCAGAGCCAGGTTCAACGGCATCCCCAGCCTGATTTGCGCCGAGAGCAGCATCAACGCTACCCTGGTGGAGATCGTGCCCTGGCATCTGTTTCACCTGGGCCGCTCCCCAGCGAATCAGGCTAAGCTGCGACTGAGGGGATGCACAGTTCTGGGTTATTTTTGCATTTCGTCGATTTCTCTTCCAGGCCAATGAGTCCTGCATGGATCGCCTCTTCTGTTTCAGTGCCGTCCCTGCAAACCTGCACCAAGCGTCATGCCATGACCACCGGCACTTGAGATAGCCTCATTACCTATAATCAATTGAATGGCACTACACGTTATCATCCAAAGCACTAAGATGCCTAAGATGCCTACCTGAAAGCACCTGGTAGCGCCCACTAGTTGCTCGCTTCCCACTGGCCGCCCTGTAGCGCCGCGCTAACAGCCTTGATCGGGCCCTGCCTTCCCAGCCTGGCAGCGAGCAGCGCATTCCATCTCAGCATCCAAGCCCAGCATCCAATCCTTCAAGCTTTCCAAGCAAGTGGCAACTCATGCACTCTGACAAACATCCAGGGCAAGGCTGGGAGTAAACCTCCCGGCAGTCGGGATAAGCACAGACAGGCGACCAGACGAGCGTGTGCCCATGCCAGTCGATTAGCTCTGTTTCGCCCGTGTTCCAGCTGTTCCATGCGACAAGACGGTCCGAGCATCACTAACGCCTATAGACCAGAGACAGATGACCCAACTCAGGCACAGAGACATCACGAGCAGGGACAAACTTGGTGCATGGCATGGCCTGGCAATGCACGCACTGCACACCCACCGTCTCGTGCACAAATGTCCTGACCGTCTAGTGTTAACAAACAAACTTAAAGAGTCTATCGATTGATTGTCCAGCACTTCGTCTCGTCTCATCCCATCTCGCCCAGGGCCTATCGAACGCACCCCGTCCAGCACCAGCGAAACGGGCCGAGAAGGGCATCTTTTGCCCCCTGCAACTCCCAGATAGAGGCAACTCCAGCACCAAACAGGAGACCTTCTACATCTGGATGGGGGTTAAATTGGAAGGGATCACCACCTCTATGTGCACCATCTGACACGCCTCCACCGACCTGCCCAAAGTTAAAACATCAACCCATCTTGCGGGGGATCTTCATCGTCAACCCCCGATTCCGTCGATAATCACCCGGTCACTGGTCCTCCTGGATCAGACAGCCACAATCTGAACCCGTGAAGAGCCAGTTTTTCCTTCCACCTGCCCATGACACCTCGGCACCTTCACCACATCGCTCGTCACCAGTCATCTGGATTCATCAGCCGTCGACTTGCTAGCTGCCCACTAGGTGCACCGATCGCCAAACCAAGCTGCACCTTGAAATGAACGCCACCCGCGGCTGGCCGATCCTAATATCTATCACCACCCACCAGGCCAGATCTGGATAGCCTCACCATTATGCAGATGAGTCCTGATCATTCCTGATCTTAGTTCTTTCTTCCACCGTGATACTAGATTGATAATTACTAGGCATCATCTAGTTCACAGCAAAAGAAATGTCACCGCAGCCAGCCACACCAATCTCACCTAACCTTTTTTTTCTCCCACTTCTTCAAGCAGCAGGGCCACCCTTGTTTCAAGAGGACCCCTTTTGTCCAACTCTCCGGATCCCCATCGACGATAAAAATTGCCCCCCAGCAAGCCACAACACCTTCCATCATGGGCATATCATTTACAGCTGCGTAATCCGACTGCGCAGTCTGCCCGAAAAACCACCGCGTACCCCAGATTATACCTAGTAGAAAGAGTCATGTAACATCTAATCCGTAGGGCTTACATTTCACATCCTGTGATCCTGAAGGCGAATTAAAAATATTGTCTGAAACCGGAAGGCCCCATTAGTTTGTCTCCGATGATGTCTAGGAGCCACGGGATAGCTACCCTACGACAGACCAACAGGAACCACATGAGATGGACAGATGCAAGTCTTTATCTCTACGACATTATTTGCTATGAAGTTATTACGCTGGATGTGAGGGCGAACCCGCTTCACTGAATGAGAAGCATATCACTGGTGTATCGTGGCATGCAGGTCTCATCTCACGTCAACTTGCGTAGTACGTAGTAACAGCTACAAAGTCTCTGATTAGAGGCAGGCAATACAATGCTGTTCGCAGTCGAGTGCCTATGTATGTCGGCCTAGAATTAGAAGTCAAGCCCTTCAGGATCGTCAGCCATCACCCTGCCTGTGTATGAGTGTGGATAGATGGTTGAGCACATATTACCAACGGTCTGCAGTGAAATAAGTGACAATACACACTAACACTATACTATCTATCTCTCAATTATATATTATTGCACTGAATAATCCGACAATAACTGTCGCATACTTGAAAATAAGCAGCTTAATGTTTGAATGTCAGTTTCAATGTCACCAACCTGCATGAGCACCCAGTAGTAGGCAGGTATTTTTGTTGCTCAATATAGAAGGGTTCCCGTTCCGTCACTCAGATAGAAACATCACGCAGTACCACACAGCGTTGACCACTCAGCTCAAGCACAGATGATAGGAAGAGTTGCACGACATAGGCGCCAGTTCCTTTGCGCCGTACGTCTTCCTCAAACCTGCAGAATGGATCACTCCGTCACTCCTGCAAAGACCCGGGGACGGCAGACGCAAAATTTCCCAGTATATTTCCAGCGACAAGTTCCGATGTCGGCGATGGCAACAGGTTTCTGACCCAGCAGCTTTCCATCAGCATCCTATCTGTAACAAGCGGAAGCTCTGCCAACGGCTCGGGGATGATTGTTGACTTCTGCCCCGACTCATAGCCCATCCTCATTGTGGCACCCGAGGAAGGATCTTCCAACCTTAAGATAGATTGAACGTTCGCATGACCGCCTATCGGTCCGCACCCTCACATACCAGGTACTGAACCAACACTCTCGTTGCTCAATCGTAAAACACACGCGAGAGCCTCGGAATCCTCGCCTCCAAAAATACAAGGTCCACTACTCTGGGGATCCAGGCCTTACCCAAGGGAAAACCGCTTTCATTCCGCCCCAGTGGCTTGATCCTCTTCGCAAAGGATCCGAAGCCTGGTGGGCTTCGAAAGCTACGGATCGCGCGTATTTCGAGGGAACCCCTCCATGAATGCCCGCCACTTCTCCTACCGCAAGAAGAGCCCATGCTGTGGCTGCATGAGATCGTCGGAAGCGAATTCGAGATGCTTTTTCTCAGAAAGCTTCCAATCAAGTGAAAACCCTCCGGTCTACGGTACTGCCGCCCTGTAACGCTGTGGCATTCGCGGCTTGGCGAGGAACCGGGCCTCAGAATACGATTGAAAGTTTCCCAATCAACACCAGTCTCGAGTAACAGGCCCATCGTAGTATCCCAAATCAGTAAAGAAGCCATTCAATTGGTCGTTGATGCTCAAGGACTCCGGTACCTCAGCCGACTCACCATCCAAGCGGAGGGGCCTTCGAGCCGCTTGACTAATACCACTGGGAATGCCGAAAGTTCCCAGGTATTTCTAACAAATCCCGAATAAAATCCCGCTCCTTAAAATTTGAGATCCAACAACGTCAGTGTGGAATGCTCTAGGCTTGTTGCGACTTCCGAAACACCAAAGCTTCGAGCTTTGGGAGACGCCCTCTTCGTCCGGTGGTCTGGAATGTGCCTCACCCCGCACCGTTAAAAGATTCACACGCGCTCTCCATGATGTTCTAACCGAACGTACCTTGGAGATCAGCGAGAGCTGCCCCTGGAAATCAACCTGACCGAACGTAACGGCACTACCTTTCCCTCTTCACCCTAAGGGGTGTGTAATATCCACGCACACGTCGAGGAGCCCATCTACCATTGAGACATACAGGACCCTGGGGCCCAGACTCCATTTTGATTCTCTTCTTCCCCTGAGGACGTCTTCTCATTGGGTCTTAGGCTCCAGATTGATGAATTCCGGAGGTCGACAAGAATTGGTTTCATCCTTAGTGTCACAGCGAATAAAACAACCAGAGGTCACTGCTGATAGAAAGGATTCGTCCAAGTACGCGCCTAAAACATCACCGTTAGCCCAGACATGAACGGTGTTTTTCAAGAATTTACATTCCAGATCACGGGCCGACCTACCCTCGGTTGTAAATACTCAGCTGAATGTTACATTCCTCGATAGTCCCAAACAACAACACTCGTCAAACAAGCATTCACTCCCCGCCATGTGATCCCGTTTAGCCTGGCTCTGTCCTCCCTTGAAGCACGTGGCGTCGATTTCCATATCCTACCACGAGGAGTCGGGATCTTGCAACGGTCTTCTGTTGACATACAACAACAAGGCACAGAGAGCCTTCGGCCACTGGCGTATAGGCGAGGATCCGGCCACAGGAATACTCTGCGATGAATCAGAAGATTCACCAGGTCTGCTAACGAGTTTATCACCTCACAGTCTAGGAGCCAGCCACATAGTCTCCTGATGTGGTGTGCCTATTTGCAAGTGATTCTGGGCTACGTGAGCCGTTAGCCCGTGCCATCTTCTTGCTTTTCATCGAAACCAAAGTTTCAAACCTACGCTATATCGAGAGCATGCAGATGATGTATACTCTATCATATTAAATAGAACAGCGTCCGCTGCATCCTTCAATCACAATTCAAAACAAGACAAGATAATCCTAGTCTTCCTCACATAGCGTGAAGACGTATACAGTATTATTGTTCAATGGCCAGCTCAACCGGCCAGTCTATCTGTGAAAAAATAACCAAGAGGACAAGATAAATGGCAAGGAGATACGGGAGAAAGCATGAGGCCAACTCTACCCAAACGAAGATCCTCGTATATGATGAAACGACTGACAGTCCATGTCCCGTCGACTTAAATCCCCCAAAATGCATCGCGCGCTAAAAGTGCAAATTCCTGATCAAGTTCCCCCTTTCGCCTGAAGCTCCCTCGATGTCTGTGTGACCAAAAGAAAACAATTTTCAAACAAATGAGAACAAATAGTAGCAACACATATATGTGAAAAGATAACACAGTCGGAGGTTAGGACTAGTATCCATACTCCTCCACTGGGTTGACACACATGGCAAATGCAACACTCCTCTGCCACGTCTCGATGTCTAGTCCAGACTTGACAACGAAAAGTACACCTCACTTACAGGCTGATAAAAACGACATGTCGCTTCCAACACTGCTCTCCAACAGCTCAATTCCTTTGACATCAGCGCCAAAGTCCATGATTACAACTCTCTGATCTTGACCACTGCTGACAATTCGTCGATAGTCACTCTTGGCACTGAGAACGTATTGCTGGTGCCACTGGGGAAACTTCATCAGCTCGCGGCCGGACTCCATATCCCAGACCTTGATATCCTTGTCGTAACTACCACTGATGAGCCGTCCACTGACACTATCAATGTGCAGACTTCGAACGAGATTCTCGTGCGCGCGCATCTCGCGGATACACTCTCCAGTGTTCGCATCCCAGATGCGGATCACCTTGTCGTTGCCTGCAGAAGCCACATAACGGCCGTCTTCGGAGAACTGGGAGCAGGCCAGGCCCTTAGTATGGCCAACAAACTCCCGGATATTTTTGCCCGTGTCAATGTTCCAGAGCTTGACAAGAAAGTCGCCGGAGCACGACACGATCGTATTCCCACGCATCTGCACAGCGTTCACGGGCCCAGAGTGACCTGTGAGCTGGCGAACCAGTGCCCCAGTCAGTCGATCCCATACACATATGGTATTGTCCTTGCTGCATGTCACAATGTGCTTGTTGTCGAAAGCGAGGTCAAGAACGGCTGCGGTGTGATGCCGAAGGCGAAGCACCGGCTTGAACCCGGCATGCATATCATAAACAATACAGGTCGAGTCTGACGAACCAGTCGCCAGAATGCTGTCGTCGTACTGCAGACACAAGATGGATGCCTGGTGGTATACATTGAACGCACGGGTATCCGGGAAAGACACTGAGAGCGAGTGGGAGTCCTCCGAGGTTGACGCAAAATGGACCGGGCCCTTCTCGCCATCAAGCAAATCTGGTTTGGAGATGACTTCAGGCGGACCAATAATGAGGCGACACTCGAACGTATGCATGTCCCAGACTCGGATCGTTCTGTCACGAGATCCGGTAATGATTTTATGCCTAAAGGAAGTTAGAAATGGTGTTGCACCAGTGATGCAGGGGGCTTAAACATACTCGTCAAACTGTAGGCAGTAGATACTATCGGTATGCCCATGAAGGGAGATTGCGCTGACATCTCCTTGTTTCCATCGTTGATCGAGCTCCCTCTTGACCCTATAGATCTGCCTCCAGTCGTTCCCTGGGAGAATGTTCGGCAGTCCCTGTCCAGTATCTGGACCGACAGGGAGGCTGGTGGCGTATGTTCCAGTGGTCTCACGAAGGCAGGACTCCCTCCAAATGTGCTGAGTGTCGACGGCCTTGTTCCAGGCCTTGGACACCAAACAAGCCTTGGCGAGGCTGGTGGCATTCAGATACGCCAAGATGTGGATTGCAAGTTCACCGGGTAGTTGGGTGATGAAATCGATGCGGCTAATCTGAGGATCGGGCTCATCCGCTGAGGTTAGGGTAATGCCGATACCGCTCTCTCGATCGTTTCCGTCTTCGCTCGTAGTTGGGTATAGCCAAATGCTCTGCAGGCTGTTCTGCATCAAGACCTCATTCTGCATGGCTGCAGATGCTTTGGCTGCAGCGCCTGTGTTGTGGGGGATGAAGGGTGGCTCACTACCAATCCCTGGTCTCCCATACTGACCCCCAGGCTGCGTATTTTGCGAGTGCAGAGGAAGAGGCTCGTGTGTAAAGTCGAGACCGTAGAAGGATCGCGAGTGTCGGATAGCAGCGTGGTGTCGAATCCGGTTCCAGGTCGAATGGGCAGTGGTGGGTCTGGCAGCATTTGGGTGCTCCTCGGTGATGGCTTCGCCTACGACCGGGTGACGTCGATGAACCATTCCCCGGAGGGACAGTGAAGCCCTTCGGAATATGCCTTTGATGCTCGTCGAGTGATGGTAGGCATTGCCGTGGCTGAGCCCTCGAGGGCGGGGTCGCGTGTGGCCTTCGGGCCCATCGTCATCGATGGCCGATCCGCTCAAGTTCTGTGACGAAAGTTCTTGCAAGTCCAGCATGGCGGACTTGGGCCGCTTCCAGGGGAGGGACAGGCTGAGACTGCGTCGTCGATGGTCGTCGGATTCGCCTGAAGAGCTGCTGGGCCCGTGAGACCGTCCGCGGGAGGTCATCGTCGACCCGGAAGCCTGATCAAGCCCCATCATTGCCTCCTGTGCAGGCGCCCAGTCGTTGATCGGGAAGATCCTCTTCGACATTCTGGTATTATGGAGATCGTTGTATATGTATAAATGCGCCGCTGTTGTCAGGAGATATCGCTGGTACGAGTAGATACAGAGATGGCCGAACGGGTTCGAAAAAATGCGAGCTCAAATAAAAAAAACTGGCGAGGTCAGCACACCCAATGCTCGGCAAGTTCCTCCATCGGATCGTACCTGTTTACGCCAAACACGCTCCAGGGAATGGCCTGGCTATCCAAATGCAGGCAGTGATCGAGTAGGAAAAAGATGGTGAAGTATATGTAAGCGCGATAAATAAAAAGAGAGAGAGAGAAAGGTAGGAGAGAAGGGGTATGTGCCGCTAGGACAGTCAAACACGGAGTAGGGCTATCATTAAGGCAAGCGAACGAGGGCCTGGTTGGAGGATATCCAGGCCGTTTTGTTGAGAGGCGGAACAGTCAAGGGACACTACCGGCCGCTCGAGCACATGGCAAGTTCGCCTGCCGGGGGGTGTGGGAGGTCAGGAACCCGACAAACTCTGCGCGCAAGCAGGCTTAGCAAGGCACCAAAACAAGAAAAGCGATTCAGAAACTAGGGGCGAGAGGGGGGTGAGGGGGGTAAGAATTGGACGATCGGAGGCAAGTGAATGGGGTTGAAGGAGAGAAAGTTTTGTTAGTGTGCGCGAAGGAGGGATGGATGACTTGTTGTTCTAGACACTCGAGGCGGGCGCTGAAGAGCCAGTCACTGGGAGCCAATTTGACTGCCTACACTCTAATATGGGACCCTGATGAGCACCTATTTGAGGCAGGGAGTACTTCACTAGGCCGTTGCAAGCCAGCCGGCACATACAGTGGGCACGGCCTAAGCCAGGCTATTCCTCACCTGACGTGAATTCGAGGCAAACAAAGACTCTGCGTGCGTGCATACACTGCCCTGCTGACGGCTTGGATATCGTCAGCAGCACGGCGCCAGTCACGTCACACAGACGCTCGCCGGTCCGCCAAAAAATTCCTCTGTTTGTTTACCAGCCGGCTGCGCCCATCGGATTGGGTGTTGGAGGCTCCATGGACATTGGATTACTTCACTGCCCCCTGACCAATTAACGCGCTCCACGGTAAATCGGCCTGCGTCTGAGCCCCACTGAAATCACATCCCCAGATTGCACTGACGATATCTCGGTGCTGTTCCAGGGGGGCCTCGAGGCTAGTTTAAACCTACGGCGGTGCCAGTCTCCTGTCGAACCCCTGAAGCCTCCACCGCGGAATTTCCTCGTCATCACATATGAAATATCACCGCGAATTACCTACCTAGTTGAACGCAACTGACGAGCAGGAAATGCTAGTGGGTTACCAGTGAAAAAGCAACGCCAGCCATGACGTGGGCGAGGCATTGAATGACGCCGCCCTGCGCAGTCAGAAATTTTCTTCACTTTATTGGTTTCGTCACCCTGGTCAATGCCAGGTGCCTCATTCCATCTACTTCCAAGGCATATCATATCGTCTCTTGTTTCGTCTTGCTTCCTTCCTCTGATCTTCCCCTGATGTCTCAGCAGCATTGGCACCGCACTTACTCTCCAGTCGAGCCAATAATAGACCTGACGTTATAGTCGGTTAGGTTATACGTTTACATCAGCGTGCATCGATGAAAGTATCAAGTATCTATCGTCATTACTCGGGAGGAATAACCGAAGCCTAGCCGCGCTGTCGAAGCCAAGGCCTAGCCAAGGGGCCAAGTGAACAACAGGCTGCCGCCCGGCAAATTTTGAATCATGCAGAATTGTCCAAGTGCTAGCGTGCAATAATGTGGCATTTCTAGCCGCCAATCATTCATGTTTCGAGTCGAGTCACGACTGGAATGAGCTGTTTCACGATCGCAGACAACACCAGGGTCGCTAGTGCCGTACACCGCTGCTGGTGTTGCTAATATAGCGGACCGACTAACTGGGATATAGCAGAAATGAACAACTCTCGAGGTGAGGTCCACAGGTCAGGGAGCCAACAACTAGATCGGGAAACGAGCATGTCAGTTTTTAGCCGACCTGGGCGATCCGGGTAGTATTGGCAGGGAGGGATTGCATCTTGGGTTTCTGCAGCTGAGCTAGAATTGTGCAGTGTAGGGTAGCATCATGAGTAAGGATGGCGTTGTGGAGCCTGCGGACAGACTTCATTCTATTCAGGGACCAAGCGCAGGGTTTTTCATTGTGCCACTCACTCACCATCACATCTCATTCATCAACGCTTCCGGCCCAACTTCCGGGATCACGTCGACTGGACAACGCTGAAACACATAACCCGGTCCAGCCTCCCGGCCGACTCTCAGGATCATGGCGTTGAAGCAGGCCCAGGTGGGCTTCCAGCTGCCCGTCGTATACAGCATCTTCTTCCTCTTCATTGAGCCGATCTCGGCCCTCGTCGGCGCCTTCTACAGCCACTTCCGCCAGGCCCGTTATCTGGAGCTCCTCAACTCAACCTCCGCGCCCCAGACTGGGGAGCCCGTCCCGCTCGGCACCTCCGTCGCCATGTCCCAACTGGCCAACATGTACCTGTTCTTCGCCCTCAACGAGGCCTTCGTGCTCCGCGCGTCTACGGACATCCGCATCTGGAGGGCCGTTCTTCTGGTGCTCTTGATTGCGGACGTCGGCCACCTCTACTCCATGAAGGACCTGGGGTTCCAAATCTACTACGATGTCGGCGGCTGGAACGCGGCGGATTGGGGAAATGTTCCGTGGGTGTACATGGGCGCCGTCTTGCGCTTGTGCTTTCTGGGAGGAGTCGGCCTTGGAAAGTGGAAAACTTTGAAGACTCTTTGAGCAAACGGATAGCTTAATATAAGTACATGCACACATCAACTCCTCCGGCCCGGAAGAGTCCTCGATCCCGGACGGACGTTTCGCCGACCATCAAGTGCAGCTCCCATCTGTGGATGTCTGGTAGCCCGTATGCGGGAATACAGACTCTCCACTCGGCATGAACAAAGGCAAGAAGATTCCTCGACGCCATGTGGCATGAGGAGGCTGGAACCCGTTCCTTGGGCCCAGAGGGACGGTCTGGAGGCAATTCGACATCCCTGCTCTGGATTACCGGCCCCTTCAGCCATCTCTAGCAGAAAAAACGAAGCATGGAGGAGCAGCTAAGCTCAACAAGTTATCAAGAAGAGTATCTCGTTATATCAGCCCTGGAATCAACGTCGGAGAATATGCGAGTCGCACGACGATTCTGTTTGGTGGAAAAACCACCGAGAAAACTATGGAGTCCAACCGGGCTTACAGTCCCGATGCGACCCCACCACTTCAGAATTCTCCAATCCTGGGCGGCCCGCCTGGTCTTCTCATAGAATCTGTGCAGTTCCACGTGCCTTACCTTAGAAGACGAGACGGGCACTTGGAGAACCCCACCACCTCAGAATGCTTCACTCTCAGGCGGCCCGCCCCTCGGTATTCTCTCGCTATTCAATGTCGATGAGAACGCACCTGGAGAGACCGAAGGATGCGGAGAGTGGCAGGAGATAACGCGCTTGCTCGCCCGGGGCCCCCTCATTTGTCTCTTTCAACGCAACGAGACCCAATGTGGGCGACGGTTGGATGCCCCTCATCATGGTGGGGGTTCGTTTGGTATTGTGACCCCATCTCCTCTTTTCCGTGGTGCTGAGCTCGTCGAGCTGTCTCGTCCACGTAAATATCCCGTCGTCTGCACTCTCGTGAGATATTTCTTTCCTCCTCTTTCTCTCGTAAGGTCCTCGTGCACTCAATCCGCTTGTAGACCCCAGTACCCAAGATACCCCCCTGCCCCATTGACCTACATTCCCGCCATGTCTTATCCCGAGAAGTTCACGGGCTTCCAGGCGCCAAGCGCTGAGAAGTACCTTGAGTTCGAGAAGAACTCTTGGGCTCCCCGTCCGTTCGGTGACTATGATGTCGATATCCAGATTGAAGCCTGCGGAGTCTGCGCCAGCGATCGACACAAGATCAATGGCGATTGGGGTGACTCCCCCTACCCCCTCGCCGTCGGCCACGAGGTCGTCGGCAAGGTCCTCAAGGTCGGACCCAAGGTGACGCTCGCCAAGGTCGGCCAGCGTGTTGGTGTCGGCGCCCAGGTCTACTCCTGCCTGACCTGCCGTCAGTGCAAGAACGAGAATGAGACGTACTGCAAGCAGCAGATTGACGCATATGGCGCCCCCTACCTCGACACTGGCTTCATCACCCAGGGAGGATACTCATCCCACACTCGTATCCACGAGTACTGGTAATTGCGACCTCCCCAATGATCCCGTATCGTCCTCCAGCTAACACCGAGCAAAAGGGTCTACCCCATCCCCGAGTCGCTATCCAGCGCCAACGCCGCCCCCATGCTGTGCGCCGGAATCACCCTGTTCAGCCCCCTCAAGCGATTCGGAGCCGGCCCCGGCAAGAAGGTCGGCATCGTGGGCATCGGCGGCCTGGGCCACTACGGAATCATCTTCGGCAAGGCCCTCGGGGCCGAGGTCTGGGCCATCTCGCGCACGCGGGCCAAGGAGGCCGACGCCCTCAAGATGGGCGCCGACGGCTTCATCGCCACCAACGAGGAGGGCTGGGCCAAGGAGCACAACATGACCTTTGACCTCATCATCAACACGGCCAATTCCTTCGACGGGTTCGAGCTGAGCAACTACCTGAGCATGCTCGACATCCACGGCCGCTGGAACTCGGTCGGCCTGCCGGGCGGCGGCATCAACGTCCGCAACCAGGACTTCCTCGACAATGGGTGCTTCATCGGCGCCTCCCACCTCGGGAGCCGGAAGGAGATGCTCGAGATGTTCGACCTGGTCGCCGAGAAGGGGCTCGAGTCGTGGGTGGAAGAGATTCCTATCTCCAAGGAGGGGCTGCAGCTGGCAATGAACAACCTTGGAGAGAGCAAGGTCCGCTACAGGTCATGCATGGTGGGATATGACAAGGCATTCGGGGCATGAGGAGTGGATGAGGGAATGTATGGGCAGAATGGCACAATCGCAGGAGCACCTTGATGGGCAACATCACCGCTCCATATAACACGTGATCTAGCTTTCAGACTCATGGTGTTGTATGTACTTAGCTGAAAAAAATTGCACTGAATGAAAATATATCCCAAATGTACACTTCGTAAGTGTTTTGCGATCATATGCGTGCAAGAATTATTACACTGCCAAAGCAGCCTCGACCCCACACTAGATGAGTGCAACGAGGGGAAGTTGTTTATCGAATCAAACTCACCATAAGTGAGCTCCCAATTTGTAGCATTTTTGTGCTAGGTTTATGACTATTTTTCTCTTTCTTCTCTTGTTTTTGCATGTGGCACCGGTGCAAAGGCTCATCGTACCTTCAATCTGGTGCGTCACTTTTGTACCTGGCACTCAACAGTTTTTCTCGACTAGAGTATTGGGGCTGAGTTTACTGCATACAACTATCTAAACGAGAGAACAAAAACATAATCAACTTTTAAATGTGACTAGTCTCGGCGGCTCCCGTTGTCGGAGTCGAAATCTACGTGGTATTCACACCGAAGGGAAATGCAGGGACAAATAATGGCGGATGAGTCATGCCCGGTTTGTAGTAAATGCCACCTCTAGTTCGCTGCATCACCATCACTCCACATTAAATGTTGGTAGTGACAACAATGGCGACCTCCAACCTCAGAAGCGTGTCTTGGAACAACGCCGATGATTACGAGTCCGAAGGTGAGCTTCATACTCGTGCCGTCAAATTCCTGGACGCGGTCAACTGGGAGGCATTGACGTCCCTCGCATCGAAGCTACGGGATGGCACTCGTTGTCGGATCGAGCAACCATACTCCATTGGACACTTCAACATGGTTCGTAGAATCACTTTCACAGACGATGTTAGCTGGGTGGCAAGATTGCGGATGCCCGATCTCGATGCCGTTTTTGGCTCGCGGGAGGGCCTCGACCCTACCAGCTTGATGCGAGTGGAAGTCGCGACAATGAAGTATCTAAGGTACTAAGGAAAGCGTCGCTTTGGGAAACGTTTTGCTAATTCTGCAAGCCGCAATACGAGTGTTCCTGTGCCTGAGGTGTATCATTACGACTTCAGCCGAGACAACAGTATCGGTGCGCCTTTCATCCTGATGAGCTACATCCATGGTAATGCAGCAAGTGAGCTGCGACTACAAAAAGATTGCCCACCCAGGCTGTTCGGTACGGCGGAGCAAGACAAGGCATTTAGACGACAGATGGCCGACATCCAAGTACAATTGGCTGCGATTCAGTTTGATCGTATCGGTTCCCTTTATGAGGATGGTGACAATTTCATCATAGGCCCGGAACCAGAGACTGGTGATGGGCCGTGGGATACCGCTGCCGACTACTATATCAGCTGGGTGCGTCATATTGTAGAAGTTGCTGAGCGGGATGCCGACCCAGAAGTGAAGAAGAGGCCATCGTTCAAATTGCCCGAGTCATTCCTCCCTCTGATGCATCAGTACAGCACCGACATGACAAGTCGTGGCCCGCTCAGACTGGTCAATCGAGACTTTGGTGCCCACAACTTGCTGGTTGACGACAATTTCAACATTGTTGGGCTCATCGATTTGGATGGTGTCATGGCAGCTCCAATCGACTTGGTTGCTCAATTCCCTACCCTCACAGGCCTAGACAGAGAGGTCCCCGGGCACAAAGAGACAAAGCCAGCTGCCATCGAGCGCATCGTGGCCACCAGGCCGCTGCTTGCCGAATACCAACGCTTGTTGGCATCATCTCAGCAGCAGTCCGTTCCGGAACATGAGAGTGCTGTCAGGGCTATTCTCGCCGACCGGATCACATCAGACGGCGCCACCATTGTCTATGGTTTGACAAGATTCGCAGGTCACCAAGGTTTCGTCAACGATAAATGGACGAATGCCTTTGAAAGATATATGGGCAGCAAGGCAATTGACAGTGATGCAGCTTCATGAATGCATCTGTCTATTGCTCAAGTCTGCGATTAATTTGTAAGAAGCATAACACTTCTGCAACTAGTCCAGCCATTTGTCAGCAATGTTGTGTCATCATGTATCTGACAAAAGCGTTCATTTGTAGGTTTTTAAGCTTGAACTGACATTGAGGCATTTTGTGGCCAACAGTAGCCCCATGGCGCTACATAGTAGAACATGAAGCTGGCAGTGTGCCCCTGTTGTGACCGGAGAACTTGCCGAAAAGGCTTTGAACAACCGTAGACGATAGATATGTAGCAGTCCAGACAACTGCAGAACAGGGGTCGGTCTCGAGTGCGGAAGATGCCATGCTGGCAACTGACAAGAGCATGTTCAAACTAGCAGGGCTGTCAAACCGCCCTGCCTAAATAGTGATCTAGTTCACGCGCGAATCACGGTGCTGCCTCGTACAATAGCCTCACTGGTGAGGCACATGGACGCCTCGCCTCTCTCTACGAGGAATATGCATCGACAGCTTACCTGGGTAACCCGTGTTAGTTGATTGGACCCCTCCTCAATCTCGCAACCACCAGCTCCACCGAACAGGCTCTTGTCCGGTGGGTGCTCTACCGATTCTGCACCAGGCCATGTGGGTGTGCATCCTGCGCTTACCTGGATCGAGCTGGCCGAAAGCCTCGCTTCTGGGCGGCCGGCCAGTGACTCCTCGCTTCCCCTCCAGCTTGGCCCGGCTTAGGAAGCAAGCTGATGACTCAAGCAGGACGAGCTGAACAGTCAATCACGCAAAGTTAACCCCTCGAGATGTGACTGACAAACCTCGTTTCGCTGTATTATAAACTGAATAGCCTCCCCGGGAAGTAGAAAATGGCTGACCTACCCACTATACCACCACCTCTTCCCCCCCTTGTACCCAATCATCTGGCCCTTAAGCTTATTGTTCTTCCTTGTTCCCTGCTCGGATCTGCTCTCCTCATCTTGATACCATAAACTGATATTGCCAAAGCCGACTTACACGCCGCATAGCAACTACGTACGTTCAAATCTAAGTAGAGATCATAGAAAGACAAGTTGCTGATAGGCAATTCAAAGGAAATATAAACCACCTCAGTCCCTCAAGCCGGTGTAAACGTGCCGTAGCGGGTTCCCAATGGACCGGCTGTCCCTCTCCATCCGGTGCCGCCACGCCTGCGCCCGCTCCGAGATCACCCACGTTAGTCTCACCGACACGGCCGCCCTCGCCGTCTACGTCTCCCCCCCTCCCGCCTCCCTCTCCTGGGTCGACACCTTCTCCCTCACCCGCAAGCCCGGCAAGCTCGCCTCCCTCTCCAAGAGCTCCGGCTCCTACGGCGCCTTCCCACCCTCCTCCTCTGCCGTAGGTAGCAGCAGCACCGTCTACGCCGCCCTCAAGGACTGGACCATCCGCGTCTCCGGCGGCATCGAGTACTGCCACTCCAGCTCCGTCCTCGTCCGCGACCTCGACTCGGGCAAGACCCTCCTCGAGCTCAAGGACGCCGGCCGCGCCCCCATCGCCTGGAGCCGCGACGCCCGCCTCGTCGCCGCGGGCGAGGCCAACAACCCCGAGCGCATGGGCATCTGGGACGCCAAGACGGGCGGCCGAGTGGGAAGGGTAATCTCCCACATCGACGCCGTCACCCACGCCGCCTTCGCCCCTTCTTCTGACGTTGCTGGGACCAGCACCCTCGTCACCCTCTCCCGCGACGGCACCCTGCGCATCACCAACCCCTCCACCTCCCGCACCGTCGCCAGGCTCGAGCTCACCTCCCGCAACCCGCGCGCCCTCGCCGTCGCCCCCCACGGCAACACCATCGTCTCCGTCTGGGACTCGTCCCTCTACGTCTGGCACCCCCGCTCGGGCGACCTGACCTCGTACGCCCTCTCCGCCACGCGCATGGCCGAGGGCTGGCCCCTCGCCATCTCCCCGGACTGCCGCTACGTCGCCTGCCGCACCGAGGACGGCTTCGACCTCATGGAGGTCTCGTCGGGAGTCGTCGTCTTCGGCATGGCGACCGAATCCATCGTCACCGCCGCCGCTTTCTCCTCTGATTCTTCTGCCTTGCTTCTGGGGAGGATGGACGGCGTTCTCGAGCTCTGGGATATTTCTGAAAGGGCTCAAACTAATAATAATACTGTAAGATGCTAGGTAAAGAAAGATTGTTAAGCGTTAAGGTTAGGAAAAGCGAAAGGGTGAGGCATGGTACATTCAATTCAATTCAACATATACCACTATTAGAAACATATATTTAAGTAAGGGACTATTCTTATGACGGAATGAAGATGGAACAAACATAATGGAGCGAAGATAATGGATTATATAGCACTCGGGATTTGCTGGCAAATTAATTTACATAATCACATGCAAGGCTGTGGCGCAACATGTAAACACATCATCATGTTTATTTACACCTTTGAATCCGTCATCAATACGTCTCTGTTCACCGGAATGCTGGGTATTTATCGCAAAATAGAAAACGACCGACATACGCCCCCCAAATGCCCCAATTCCAACCCAACTCTGTCTCATACAAATGTGGCTCCTATGCAGCCGCAACATTCCAACATCTCCATAGCTCCACTCCCTTGCTGTCGTAAATAAACGCTCCTGGTATCCTGCTCCGAAAATGAATCCTCCACTGCAATACAACAACCAAATGGAAACGACCGCATTATATACTTTTGTTTTCAAGACATGTACCGTCCTGATGGGAAAAGACAACTGCTATGTTCATATGTAACTCTCACCGTCTTTACAAGCCCCAGCCGAGCATCTCGAGGGTGCCCCTCGCCTCGGAAGCGGACATGCCGCTCACGCCCATGGAGCGTGCCATGGTACCCTTCTTCAACCTCTGAAGGCCTACCGACAACTTCCAGCTCTCCTCCTCATCAACCACAAACAGGTATCTCTTACCCTCTTGATCACGCATCGTTGCGCGGAGCACATGCAAGCCCTTGGCCTTCCACTCCCCGGTCTGTCCAGTCGAAGATGGGATGTTAGTATCTTTAAAATTTCGTTCGCAAAGCCCAAGGCGACAGCACTCACTGCACGCGCGCAGCATCTCGGACAGATAAGCGTCAGCCTCCTCGCCGTGAAGCGTCTTGGTGGCGCCTCTGTCCGTTTTGCGCGCGCGTGAGTTGGCTAGTTTATTGAGCAAATCAGGGGGATAATTCGACGAAGCAAACGAAGCAGTGGATGAAGCAGATGATGATGACGCATTTAAACAGTGCTGGGGGCACCATACCTCGACGGACTTGAGAGTCCAGGCCTTTACGTCCCACTCTCGTTGTGGGACGCCTCGGACATCGTCATCGATGAAGAGACCTTCGGTTGTGATACGCAGGATCAGGCCGTCTGTGACGGTTCCCACTCCTGAAACCAGTTGGCTGGCTGGTGTTTTGGAAAACTGGTTCATAAATAGGTAGACGGCAGATATGACAATCTTATCTGGGTCTTTGGTTGAGTACGGACCTCTCATCGACGGCGGTGGCGATGTTCGAGTGGTGGTGTGGGATTGCGCCCACGATGATTCGGATCCGGTGAATGAAGACATGGAGTTTTTCCTCGCTGGCTTCTTTTGGTCATAAGGCCTATAAGAGTGCCCGTCGCCACTCACATTTGACTTGGCCGTTGAGGGGGCTGGTTTCGTGTTCTGGGCGGATGTCGTGGTCTTCTGTGCCGTGGAAGCAGAAGTCGTTGATGCTGGGGCGGGAGGTCGTCCGTTCGGCCACATGCTAATCTTCTCACCTACCCCGGAGAAAGCGTAGCTGCCGCCTCGTCGAGTCGACCTGGCCTCTTCCGCCTCGGCCTCCCTCTTCTTGGCTTCCTCCTCTTCCTTCTTCTTGGCCTCCTCTTTCTTCTTGGCCTCCTCGGCCCTCTTCCTGGCTTCTTCCAGTCTCCTCTTAGCCTCCTCCGCCTCTCTCTTCCTGGCCTCTTCCACCTCCTTTTTCCTAGCTTCCTCCTTCTTCTTGGCTTCTTCTGCCTCCCTTGCAGCTTTCTGAAGACGTTCTTTTCGCTCCCTCTCTAGCTTCTCGAGCAGTTCCTTGGCCCTCAACTCTGCCGCCTGTTTCTCTTTGGCCTCCTTGGCCTCCTTTTCGCGGCGTTGCCTCTCTTCTTCTCGAAGCTGACGCTCTTTTGCTTCCCTGGCGCGAAGCTCAGCCAATCGTTTGGCTGCATCCTCACGGCGCTTCTGCTCAGCTTCCTTGGCCTTCCGCTCCTCTTCCTTCTTGCGGATCTCTTCACGTGCCTTCTCCCACGATGCCTTGACGTCCTCACGAGTCCTCTCCCAGGCCGTCTTGGCCTTCTCCTCCCTCGTCGGGGGAGATTTGGGTTCAGCCTTGGGTGGGGGTGGGTTGGGCTTCTCTTCTTTGGGTGCGGGCGCGGGCGCGGGCGCGGGCGTGGGTGCTGGTGCTGGTGCTGGCTCTGGTTTGGGAGGCGGCGGTGCCTTCTTGGGTGGCGGCGGCTCCTCCCGAGGAGGGGGGGTTGCTTCTGCCTTCGGCACTGGTTTTAGTTCTGGTTCTGGCGGTGGCTCTGCTTTTGGAGGAGGCTGCGGTTCAGGTTCAGGTGGTGGAGGTGGTGGCTCTTTTCGAGGTGGTGGTGGCTCTGTTCTCGGAGGAGTGGGTGGTCGTGGAGGTGGCTCTTCTCTCGGAGGAGGGTCTGCCTTTGGTGGCGGCGCTGCCCTCGGCGATGGCTCTGCGCTGGGGGGTGGTTTTGCCTTGCGAGACTCTGCTCTTGGAGGGGTTTCTGTCCTTGAAGTTGGCTCGTGTTGTGAGTGTCGCTCTTTCCTAGACTCTTTCCTGGGCTCTTTCCTGGGAGGAGGAGCTGGAGGAGGAGATGGCGAACGCCGTCGACGTGACTGTCGAGCAGGGGATGGTGAGCGCCGTCGACTTGACGTTCGAGGAGGGGATGGTGAACGCCGTCGAGGTGGCGGTCTAGGCGGAGGCGGAGGGGACTCTGGGGGGGTTTGTGGGCCAGCATGATGGTAGCGTGGTCCACTATCACGACCGCCATCATGGCTCTGGTAGCTCCCACTATGCCGGCTGCTGCCATGGGGAGGAGGATTTGGAGGGCCACGATTATGTCCGTGAGGCGGTGGCGGCGGAGGGGGGCTGTCATCTTGGGGAGGAGGCGCACCCGGGGGATATGGTCCCCGGAAGCCAGATGAGCCTCCGGGGCCGCCGAAACCTCCTCCGTTGAAACCTCCTGGACCTCCGCCGTTCCCGTTGAAGCCACCTTGACCACCTGCCTGACCACTCGATGTGCTTGGCCCATAGAAGAACTTGGACCTGTCTGTCTGCGTCCTACCCAGCGACCAGGCCCCGAACCCAATGCCCAGCATCAACATCGCCATACCCACGTTGCCGAGACCCTGAAAGCTTTCCCACCAAGTCCTAAAGGCGGGAGCCATGCTTTGGCCAACGACAACGAGTATCAGGGCGGAAGCAAACCCGGCAATAAAACTGTTGGCGTTTGGCTGCAGTGAGGGGAGGTACAGAAACCCAGATCCGGCTGAGTGTTCTGGGATCACGAAGATGTCATATTTCCCAGGGGGCAGCCCCGAAGACCTGGGCACTCCCCCATGTGGTGGCGGGGGAGGAGGTGGTCCGTCCATTGTGACCCTTCAGCCCTCCAGGACCGAGGAAAGGTTCTCGAAAATCCCAAGGGTCGAATCGTATCGTGTATCGCCGGGCCGGTCTAGGAACGCATCGGGGACGCCATGGGCGGTCGTGAAGTCTGTGAGAGAGTCTTGATTGGGGTCAGTATCCGGGATTCTGAAAAGCTGTTGGCATGGTTGAGGCTGGGTCCTGGTAGGGCAATAGGGGGTGCAGCCAAGTGAAAAACGCACAATGCGGAGGACACAAGTAGAGCTGAATGTACAGCTCAGAACACCGACAACAAAACACCGGCAGTCGGTTTGAAATTAAAAAGTCGGTTGGAGTTTCTCAACCGTTGACAGGCGGCGTTGCCAGTCAGGGATTGCTGGAGGGCTAGCAGCTGGAACGTTGCGTCTGGAATATCTGGGTTGGCCGTTGCTGGAAAGTGGAATGGGGGAAAAAAAGGCTCGAGGGGTGAGGGAAGCTGTCCCGTCTTGTTTACTTGGTGCGAGGCAACAACACAGCGCTGGGTGGCTCGGGGCCAGGTAGGCTCCCCACCAATTGCTGTTCTAGTGGCCGTACTATGCAGCTTCCCCGTAGGCGGGCTCCAGTTAATTAAGGCCAGCTAGGGCGCTATTGGCTGTGCAGCGTGCTGGAGAAGGGGCGAAAGGGGCCCATGCGCTCATTTGACCACTGAGCTGGTGTAATGGAGGGGCGGGTTCATGTGGGCGCACCGCCTCTGAGGCACCTCGGCGCGTGGCAGATTCCTCATCTCGCCGGCTGAGGCTTTGACAGGTACAGAGCATGCTGTGCGACGCAGCCACCGGCATAGGGCTCGGCGCGTGGCCCGTTAGAATTGCTATGCACAGTCCTGGAGTTTCTTTTCGACCGGGGCATGCAGTGGATAGCGGCTCTAGCAGCTGTAAAGAAGACCCTGACCCTCCGGTTCGTAGGGACAATTAGGAGGGAGGGATGTGCCTGGCAGTTGAGAGCTCCAAGCGAGACGGTGAGACAACGGCGCTTGCCAAAAAACCGGGAGTCCCACACTGCAGCCTTTTGTGCCGCAGCAGCGCAGCCAGCCCCTTTTTAAATCAACGCTTCTACCGGACTCATCCATTGGTGCGTTGAAACAAAGTTATTTTATCATCCAACTTGAAGAAATTGAACTCACATTTTAACTTAAACCAAATTTGCTCGCTAATGCCCCAGAAATTACAATAATCCAGCGCCAGTAGACCTTCAAAGAATGTTAAAGAGATGTAGACATGTATCTGAAGAGTTCTTTAGGTTTGAAAATGCCCCGGAGAATACCTAGAGAAAAGTGAACAATAGTCTTGAAGCCCCCAGAGAATAATCTTCTTTGGCAGGGTACTCAACCCGAGAACCCTATTTACTGACGCCAGTAGTTTCTGAAGCCCTCCCGAGTTTTTTATGGAACAGATGGCTTTTGGACTTCCCCTACTTTACACAGAGCATCTCTCTCATCATAGCCTGGTTTCCCTCGTATTTTGTGATGTGCTACCCTCAACTATCAAGCTCTCTTTCGTCCCTACGAATGTTCTCATTAAGCCACGCTTTGGCCAAGATGGATTATTAGGCCGGTATCTACACATCCGGACGCCAAGTCTTCCCATGGCAAGCTCACCCCAAACGACGAATTGAGCCCAACATGGCTCCAATTCTAAGAACTTCCACAACTCTTATCGCCATAGTAGAATCTCGAGAGGTGACAGGAAAGATAGTGTCTGAAATCAAAGTTGTTGATTGAATCTAATCAACCACTTTGTCATTGAAGAATGTGTGATTTAATAGGCAGTAGGCTCCTAATCTGAAACGTATTTATCGGAAAGGTTTATCGGGAAAAGGGTTGCGGGTTGTTTTGTGCGCAAGATTTGCCGCTATATAAATTCTAGATTAGGAATGCGAAAGCATGATAGGTGACCATCTTCATCCTCGTCCTCGATCACACAATTTTCAATCACAGGTTGGTTGATTAGATTCAATCAACAACTCAATTTCTTGAACTCGGACAAACGTTTAATAGATTAATAGACATGGGACTTGTAGCTGCTGGATCCATTTTTTCGTAAACGGCTTCGCCGTTGTAAGAAGGCACCGACTGATTAGAGGCTTGTATGTTTAATGAAATAGAACTAGAGAGGTGCGGTTATAAGCTTGCTCCCTGGGGGCTATGGCCGAGTTACTGGCCAGCCCTTAGGAGGAGTTTTTGAGGTATTGATGCCTGTCGCTAGGCTATGTGTGCTGAAATTCAAAATTCTCCTCGTGTGAAGGGTTCATCAGGCATGGACCGTAATTTATATTTGAAGATAATCACGTGTGTGGCCCTTATTAGTTGTTTAAAAAAAGAACAAAAAATAGATCTACAAGATGGGACATCTAAGACGACTCGCCATGCAATTGGCGGCTAACATCATGTATGATTGTGCTTACAGATATAGAGAAAAGAGAGATTCAGCTTAGACGTCTCTTCTGTACCCATAATGAAAAGCTCACAATTCCTTAGATGTATGTATTACGGACTGTTACCAAGACAAAGCCAATCGAACACAGCCCTTGGTCGCTCTAAACCTTGACCTCGGCTACTTCCATTGGCATATATTGCTGGGTGATAACGGACGAATCTCCCGCTCGAACGAATCACGGTAAGATGTTGGGCCCCGTCTCACTTGTGGTGTCCAACCCCCCCTTTACTAGTATCTCGCTTAGCATTGCTTGTACACACGGCGGCATGGCCGGGGGTTTGAGCAACGCACGTCCTGCTGGCGTTCGTCTAGTCAAAGAGACAGATACTTCCAGCCCACTTCCACATGAGGCGGTCAAGTCACTTCTCCACTGCGGGTGCGCAACCCGTCAATGTGACGTGTCAAAGCACAGTCCACTCAACCCCTGGAGAAGCAACCGCCGTGATGCATGTACGGGCAGAGTTGCAAGCGAAACAAGCACTGGGCAGTGTAGATGCACCAGAAAACGCGCTTGGTGATGGATGATCCTTCTCGGGGAGAGTCGTGGACGTAAACACTGCCCTTTCACCCAACGGAACTCCTCGCGACTTGCCCCACCCTTTCCCGCAACGGTTGTTGCCTGGGCAACCAAGGTGTGACGTATTATACGTTCGGCATGTGGCGCTGACGTAGCTTCCCCAATTTGGCAACGAACTTGGAATTAGCACACCACACAGAGAATCTATATCGTCAGACTGTTATGAACAAGCTGCCCGCCTAAGCAACTCATCCGGGCCGAGTAGAGTTACCAGGATATTTTTTTTGGTCGAAACCCTTCTTTATTCTGGCGCTAGGCACGTGGGATGTCTCGTGCACGCGATCTAATGTCGCAGATCACCACCGTGCATGTGGCATGGTTCTAGACTAAGTCTGGAGGTAAGCCTTCTAGTAAACCTTGTGAAAAGAGATAGATCTACTCAATGATCACGAAGTAGCACTTGGGAAGAGCAGTAGTTAAAAGTTGATTTATTCGTAGGGGATATCTGGGATGAAATGTGGTTGTGTATCCAAAAGTGCCAAAATGCCAATTGTGCTCAGTGGTAAGGATAGTAGCAAGAATAAATAGATCGCTCTGGTTGGTCTCTCGAAACGCCGAAACAGAAGATAAAAACACGAAGCAGCCTCCAGAACAACGTATGACACTCACATCTGCCGACATCTGACCGGCCGTCTAAGCTGGCGTAGACAGCAAGACTGCAACAAAAGTGGTCAGCAACTCGGCGGCCCAGAGCGCGCCTTTTGCTGTGCTCTTCACTACCCAGTGAACACACACTACCGCCCGCACACATAGCAGAGTGAAGCGCACTAACAAAGTCGCTAGGACCAGTCAGAACTTCCGGATGCGGTTGTTGGCAACGTTAAGCTTCCCCTTGACCCGGTCTGTGTCCTCATCCAGCATCGTCAGCATCTCGGTTTGTCTCTCGACCTCGTCGTGGATCTTGATCCCCATTTCCTTTTGTCTGCGGATAATGGCGGTGAGGGTATCAATCTGATCATCCTGTGCCTGCATCTCTTCTTTCTGGAGCAGGAGCACACCGTCATTGTCAAGCTCCCTCGTCTTATCCGTCTCAGGCAAGGGTGCGCCCAAGACCCGGCCGCTGGACTTCCCTCCCTTCATGAGACTCGCCCTTTCGGAGGTCGACGATTGCCCTTGAGTAAAGCCGTGTCGAGCCGAACCGCCTGATGGGGTGGGCATCGTGTTGGCTATTTTGTCCAGGCCGTCACGCTCCATCCTAACGCTTGATAGAAGGTCTCTTCGTCTTCGTAGCTCGCCCTCCCCGAGACGACTGGCTTCCTGCATCTTCCGAAGGCCATCTGATAGGGTGCTGATCAGGGTTCCTCCCTTGACCAGCGCCCTCTTTGCCGCCGCCCCAGCCTCAGCAGCCGCGCCGTGGTTACCGGCATCCGCAGCAGTATCTCTCTTCGATAGGGATTGCCTTGAATCGTGAAGACATTGCTTCAGCTCCCTGTGGATATCCAACCACGTCCCTGGGTCCGCAGCGCCTGCAGCTGCACTACCAATCCTCCCGCTTGCCGAAACTGCCGAGTTCGTCGTACTGATATTGGGAAGATTCAGGAATGCCCTCCAAGCTGATGTATCTCTCCATCTTCGGTCGGGGGACTCGGCGATTGCCTTGAGGTATCGCTCCAGACCTGCCTGGCGGTCCTGTGTGAGTTGCGCCGACTTGACGGTCGACTTGAGCCAGGTCTTCCCTGGCAGCGGCTCGGGTGGCGGGGCGCCGATTTCTTTGGTGAGAGTGGCGTGCAGTGCAGAAAAGTCCGAGTATCTCTTCTGGACGACGAATGATCTGAGAGGGAGGCGAAGAGTGATGTTGTAGAGCGTGAAGGGTTTTGAGGTGCCTTCGCCAGAGACACTGGTAGATGGAATTGCGATCTCTGGCGGCGGAGCCATCTCTTCTCGCACGGGGGATGTCTCTCTGATATCTGTTTTCTGGGCCTGGGAATTGGTGAATTGAGAAGCGTAGTGAACCGGATTGTAGAGGTTGATGGTGTTTGTCGGCGTCGAGGTTGGGCAGGTTGGGAATGACGGTTTGGACTGGTGACGCCCGATCTGCAGGTGGGCAGGAACCAGGCTCCAGTTATAGCGGTCACAAGAATAGCGCCTTGGCGCACTGAAGGGCACCAGCCTCCAGGTCCCGTCATGCATCCCGGCCCTTCTGGATGGGCCTGTCAGACAGGCTTAGCTTTAGGTACTACGGGCACATGACGGAATGCAATTCCTCCCTGGGTAGGTAATGCTGAAGACGCTGGCAGGCCCGGGGAATTTTATGTGCATTGCAATCCATCCTTTATTCGGAACCTTGTGTCTCGGATTCATTCTACCTTGGCTCATGTTCCTGCGAGCTGACAATAATAGCTGTCGTGTTTCTGACCCGTGCCCCAGGCTAGCCGCAGCTGAGGTCATTGGTTTGCGGTAAGCTTTGGTGAGGCACGGAGCCCACCCGAAGTGATGACCTAACTCACGGTAGTCATAGGCCTTACTACGAGTGGGACGCTGTCGTGACACACGTGCCTCGTGAGGTTTGGGCGTACACAGATGTAATGGAAATATCACATGAATCATAATCGCTCGTCAAGCGAAGCTCAAGGTGAACTGTGCCAAGAAACTGCCATTTTGCTGTCTATACAAAGGCTCGCCATGCTTGCTTCTTCGAATTAACATCAGGAATGATCGGGCGCCTAGACTGGCCTCAAACATGCTTGCGAAGGGTCTTTTCGTTATTATGGTATTCATCATTGCTTCATTCCCACAGCCCATGAGCGCCTTCCCATGCGATCCACATCCAGGACCAGTCCCCATCCTGTGCGTCCACGTCTAGATTTTGCCGCACAACTTTTATACACCCAACTCACCCATGTGGTAGCCCCGACTAGAACGTCTCCTGGTCATCAATAACATCGCCCTCGGCCGGAATCTCGAAGCCCTCCTCTGTCGAGTATAGAATAGCTTGGATCTGCTTGATGAGACCATCCTCCTGCTTCTCCAGCTCGGGATCCTCCTCGACGGCTTGCTGAATGAGTAGCTCGATGTCTCGGAGCTTGCTGAAGTAAAAGTCGCGCTCGCGCTCAAGCCCCCCAACGGTCTCCTTGAGAGTCGCGTTCTCCTGCTGCAGAGCAGCAGTGACAGGCCCGGCTGTCCGAGCGACGCGGGGACCACCGCTGGGCGTGCCGCCAGTCCTCCTCGCGGCAGAGGTAGTAGTAGTTCGCGCAGCACTTGGCGCGCCGCTGGGAGGAAGGCCGCCACCTTTTCGTCGGGCGACGGCATCGTATTCGTGGTCAGGGAAGTTGAGATCCCAAAATCTCTTCGTCCACTGGAGGAACTCAAGATTGTCCTGCATCTTGCACTTGATGAGAGCCTCGACAGGGATAGGCTTGTCAATTTGATGTTTGGTAAACGTGTCTGTGATATGTTAGCGATCGTCGGAGTTGGTTGGTTGGGAGCGCCAGGGACTGACTCTGGAGGACTTTGAAGTTCTGAACATAGGCGTACTCGGAGTTCACGTTGAACTTCACTCGAGACATGGGGACATCCATATAGATGCTGTCGAAGACCTGGCAGAGCGCCGCACTATGGATGGTTAGCCCCTCAATCGCCACCAGTGCCAGAGCTGTCATGATGCTGTAGAGGCAGCCCAAGGACCAGAAAATACATACCCAGTGCCGCATTGCTCAACCTTGGTGATGTTGAGTTGGAGAAGGCTGTTCAGCCATGATACAAGCTCTTGCCTGTTGTTCGCATCGTTGTTGTCAGCACATGATCTTGACGGAAAAGGGGAGAAGCCATTCGAACGGCCGATGCACCTACCGCGACTCGCCCATCTTGGAAAAATTAGAGTGAGGGTTCCGGATGAAAATGGTATAGAGAAGGTGCGTCGGGAATATTCCAAGCAATATGCTGAAATGGTGTGCGGGTATCTAGATGACGACGTGTAATGCAGCAAGGAGAAGTGTGATAGGAGAAATTAAACCAAGCCGTTTACACAATCAATGGTGTTGAACAGCTGGTCGTCCAATCAACCATGGTGGGGGTTGAGCCGGGAAAACATCGGCGCGTGCGTTGCCCCTCCAGATTTGCAAAGCACGCCTGAATTGAGTTGTCGCCTTAGTCAGCACCCGTGGATGTAAACAAACAAGCTTGAACCTCCCCCTTGAAAGCCTGCGGAGGTGCGGGAACAAAGATGCTCGATAATCGTGGAGATGACCCCTCCAACTGTGATGATGCAGTTGGCGATGTAACCCACTACTTTTGTCAATGCTGTGTCTTACCAGGTCAAAGCGTAACCACCCTTGTGTTCTGCCTAACACGAATCTGAAAGCCAATCTAGCAGCCAGTATCATGTTGGTTTCATGTCACAGATCGGTGGGGCTAGCAGTGGCAGAAGCGTCCTTGAGAAACAGCAGGGAGACTCAGTTCATTTCCAGCTAACCGAGGCGAGAAATCAGACTTGAAGTTGATTTAGAAAGGAAAGACCCGAAATCAACTACAGAGCATCAACTGGACCTGTGACTACTGGATATATGTGGTATGCAGCTCCCTGGGCACGGACCAAATAATATCACTTATTCTGTCATTGTCAATGTATTCACTCCTAAGCATGGGCTTCCTTCTGACGGATAGACGGTGTTGTCGATGACCTTCTGGACACGATGGTAGTGGATGGTCGTGACTCATTGAGACGTAAATATTAATCACCGCTGTCTACCAATAACGAGCCTCTCTGCTGCTACCTTCATTTTCCAAGGGTGGCATGCTTGTCATTGTCTCTTCCTGCATCACTCAAGCGTGTCTGATCACGAAATCATTTCTCGAGCCAAGACATCAATATCGAGCGTATTCGACTTGGTTAGACAGATATTGTTGCTCGAGATAAAAACATCCTGAGGACCTTTGCCACTTTCGTAAGCTCCGGGGTGGCATCGAGAATTGCCCATGCTACATAGTTAGGCGCCGATACAATTTTCTTGATAGACACCTCGGCCAGTCGGGGAGCCACCATAGATGAATACGGATGAGGCCATGTTCGGTCGGTCGGTATAGTCATTTGAAAGAGAGTCAATCTTTCCAGCGAGAAGTTCAATGAATACTTCATGCTCCTTAACATGTTGTTGCATTTCAGTAAATGCTTGTTCATTTGGAGACACCATCCTCACGGGAGCCATCTTGAGATCGATATCACTGACCGCCGACATCCGAGCCGAGCAGTACGCAACAATAATATCGGCGTCCCGTTGAGAAGAGGGACATGGCCACTGTGATATCTCTCAAAGAGGATGCAAAAGGTAGACACGAATTGCTGATATCTGTTCTCCTGGAGAATGGGTTTTGTGTCAAGAATGCCGGCACAAAGTCCAATGCCCAATTTATATAATGCCTTCAGGGTGATGACCTTTTGGAGATCTTCAGGCAGGCCAATGGACCAAAGATTCTATGTAAGCTATTAGTATCATTATTGTAGGTTATTACTCTCATAATATGATAAACATACTCCACGGCTTTCTTAGCTCACTTAATTGTGAATATGTTATCACTAGTAATGAGAAGGTCAAAGATTATGAGTCATATTCTTGTGATTCCTTCGGCGGGTGATGCGCAACTCCCTTCTCAACGTCAAAGAGCATATGAGAAAGATGCTCTGGGTTGACTGAATCCTTGTAACAAGCAACGGACTTTTTTCAAATTTGAAGCAATGAGTTCAAACTCGGTCGCTGTACAGGTGACGGCTGCTCCTTGTTCGATTCATGAAAATGGTCAGGAATGGTGCTGCTGTTCTCATGCAAACATGTTGCGCAAGACTCTGAAATAACGCTCATCCACTTAGATTTCCGCTCCTTGGGAGTCTTCGGTGAGTTTCGGCCGACTTTGGCCGACTCAGGATAGTAAAATATCTCTTTATCGGAGCCTAGATACTTGTAGTAAAGTTGCTAAGAGATAGAAGAATGAAGCTTCACCAAAAAGTTCCTTGGTTTATTAGACGATTGACCTAGAGACGCGAATCATTTTAGTGTAAACCTACCCATTCAACTTAATCAAAACGTCACTACTTTCATTGAAATTCGACTGTTTGCTTCCATCAAGTCTAGATATGCTAGCCTTTTGTGTCTAAGATGGCTCTATCACCAAGTAAAAAGCTTGAATCAATCGTCCACCCTTTCGTAGAGTCACTTTCTTTTCTTTATTTGATTCTCTATACCCTCCAAACCACTTTTTTTTCTGCGGCCGTGTTATTTTTCTCTCAAGCGTCGTCCCCATTGATTTCAAATTGATATTGGGTCAGTCATGCCACTAGACTCTCTCGACACGAAGTATTTGAAACCCAAAGATGCAAAAAGAAGTCTCAATTCTTGGTGTAGCACCCCTGAAAGTGCTTGAGGTTACAAACAGTCTCAAAGTACCTCTCGAGTATGTTTAAGAGACAGTGGGATAGGCTTCTCCGTGCTATTGGGCACATACATAAAGTCGATGGTGGCTCATCCCATATCAATATCCCTTAGTCACCGTCGCTGGGAAGAAGTCATGATTCTCATCGAGGCGCTTTCGGCTGACATGCATGCCATCTGGATCTCTGCGATGGCCATCCCAATAAATGGGAAACTCAGTGAGGATAGCCATCTGATCGAGCCAAGGCATCTTGCTTCCAATGGCAGAGATGCATGATTTGTAGAACTTGTGGTTCTTTCGGTCCATTTCTTGAAGTGGGACTCTGGGATAAAGGCTTCGAACTGCCTTTCTCCAGATGGTTATGGCCAACCGCTTGAGGTTTCTTAGACTCCGTATCTTTCTAATAGCCCTGCCGAGGGCAGCCCTCTGTATCGATTAACACAGCCAGTTAGCCGAATATGGTCACTAAATCAGATTGTTATTTGGATTACACTTACAAATGCTGCACGCCGGACTTCTTCGGTTGGGTGAAAGATAACAAATGGCTCGTAATGCAAGGTGGCTTCATGGAGAATAAGCTCGGTCAGATTCCCGAACTTATGTGTGATTTTACTAATAACATCACAGCGTAAGGATGGAACTCGAACCCCAGTGGTATGGGGATCGACAGTTAGGACAATTGCCAAGCGTTGGATTTCCCCCGGAGATCCGACCTCAGCCATAATGTTGTTAAAATCATCCGAGCAGATCCTGCGTGAGACATGGAGAGCCTCTAGCCGAGAGCATTGCTTGAGAATGTTTTTTATGATGGGTAAGGCTCCGTTGACTCGCAGATATAGAACAGAGATTTGCACGTTTTGGATCGACTGGCAGAAGCACTCTCCCTGCTCTGGGCCGAACCGCCGCAACTCCAATGTGAGGGATTGTAGCGAGGCCATGACATGAATGGATCTGCAGATCTGTGAAGGGAGAATAGAGACCTCTGACCTTGGAGGGGGAGGCAGGGATTGCTTCCGCCATGTTCCACCTGTCGTTGACATGGGACGGCACCAAACGAAGAAAGTAGCAGATCTACAAGGAGTCAGTCATCTTTTAAATGTGAAGCTTACACGAGAAATAGAGAGTGAAACTTGAGCATGATGAAAACAAAACGAAATTAAACAAATGTAGATAATAAGGTTGAGTCAAGCTAGTGTGAAACCAAAGCGAACACTTACCGGATGGTGGTGTATGGGATCAGGTTATTGAAGAGAGAAACATCACCCCGAAGGAACTCTTGAAGTTTAGATGACACGCCAATATCGCTGTTTGAGAATACAGCGCGCTTATGGATGAATCTAGTCAGATTGAATCGCATACGCGATGATGTTGAAGAAAGAGCCTCTAACGTAGGAAAGTCGCACAAGGATGCGATCGTCCAGAGAAGCTCTAGACATAACTCCTCAAAGTTGGGCGCCATGTTTGAATACCGTAAAATTGTGGTTGAAGGGCTGGGGAAGTATCAGGGAAGATTAAGGGGTGAATGATGAGAAAGGAAAGACCACTATGAGATAGTAGAGCTTCTAAGTGTGTGGTGATCAAATGAAGTTGCGTTTAGTGGAAGGATTATGTAGGTAGTTGTTGCTGTGAAAAAGTTTGGACTGGTTGTTGAAGTATTGTCTGTCTAGAATAAGAATATTGTGAGGTAAGGAGATAGAAGAGTAAAGCTTCACTAAAAAGTTTCTTGGTTTACTAGAGGATTAGGCTGGTGAAGCAAAATAATCTAGAGTTGAAACTCCTGGCACTCTCACTACAGCTGCAACTGCCCATATATGCAGGTGGTGCTTGCCGTTCTTGCTGAAAGTACTGATAACATCCAAATCCAATCTGATTCTTAGCAATTCTCAGCAATTCCCAGCCACTTCTTGCAGATATTTATCCACCTGCATTACTCTACCAACTACTACATTCCAACTTCCTTCTTTGGTATCCAAGAGACTATTCGCCAAGCACTGGAAGCCGTGCGCATTGATACTATCCTAAGAGCTTCCTAACACTACTTCTTCCCCACCATGTCTCACGTTCTCGATGATCCAGACATGCAAAAGAAAATTGAAGAGTTCAGACGTGTTTCGAGTATGAAAAAAGATTTCAACATCATTCAGAGCCAAGTAGACACATACTTACTGCCTGGCTTTGTTATTCAACCCCGAAAGCAAACATCCATACTCCGCGAACAACAGAGGCTTCTCGGGTGTGCAGGTGTGGTCGAGGCCGGTGCAGACAACCCAGCTGATGCCCCTCCACGTTCGGTGATAGACTGCCCGATCCAAACTCCGCTGTCGTATAGTGACATCTGCAAATTTCCAAAACAGATTCGGGTTGGTGATCAGATGGTGAACTTCTATGACTATGTCACCAGCTCAGAGTTCGATCGATTATTGGTACGTCTATCACTACTTGCCTGCTGAAGCAGTCTTCTTCACATTGCTAATCAAGACTTGGTACTTAGAGTGATGTGACTTCCCCTACCGCAGTACCTACTGAGTGTATTGGATTGCAGACAACACCAAAAAGCTAGCAGCTTATTGGTGTCACAAAAGCCATGCGCTTCGCTCAGTCTCCCTTCAAAGGCGGCTTTATATGTGACGATACTGGGACGGGCAAGTCATTGACTGCACTGTTGACTGCACTTAAGCTGCAAGAGCAACAACGTCCAAGATGTGGCTTTATTCTGGTTGTGTGCCCCCCCGGCTGCGAGACGCAATGGGCAACTGAGATTAAGAAACATTTCAAACCGGTAAGCCTTTCATTTTTTATCGAAACCAGTATTCATATTTGAGACTCATCCTAATCTATACGCAGGAAAACCGACCTTCTTACATCATATTACGACATGCAACATACCCAGTTCAAAAACTTCTCGAATATGATGTCGTCATCTGCACCGCTCAGTTCGTACAGGCATGCTATTATGACGTTCTGCCATATCTGCATCGCCAGGTAGATTTGCAAGCCATGATTTCTACACGGAAAAAATCCCGTCTGAAGCGCTGCCACACTTTAGGGAACGACCACACATGCCGCTGCATTCCCTCCTCTACAATCCCGAACACCTCAATAAAAATATCGCAGTACTTATCCTAGATGAAAGCCATCTCATCCGGAATCCAGATTCCAAAACTTACCAGGCAATCCAACAGTTACGTTACCATTTCGCGCTTCTGCTTTCGGCCACGCCAATGTGTGATAACTGGACCGATGTGCCAAAGCAGATGGGACTTCTCCCTGGTGGCGGTCCATTTCTCAACGAACAACACATGAATCTAGTTCTCGGCACAGGCACTCCGGGTGAGGCTAATTTTCAAAAGAAGATTTTCGAAAGATTTTCCCCTGCTTTAACCGTTGGTCGCCCAAAGAAGGTTCACGAGAGACGACTGAAAAGGGCGATAGCCCGCCTGGACCAGGTAAGTTTCCTTGCCTTTGAATCGATTACTGTAGCGTTGCTAAAACATATTACCCAACAGACCAAAGATACTGCGTGCAGCATAAACAATGCCGGTAATGCTGACTTGTTTTATGACGCCGATGATGAATGGGAAGAAGAAACATACGACTAGGAATCTGGAGATAAATTAAGTCGATGAGATGGATGCCATACATGAGGGCTCAGGCGACAGACAAGTGTGATGGTCTTAATTGATCGGTCGCCACATTACTTATCTTTACTTGGAACGACTCGGATGATCTTGAGTGATCTGTCTGGTCGCGCGTTATTTATTCTTGGGTCATGGACATGGACATGGAGTTTGATGGAAAATGGCGATGAGTTATGACTTTGGGATTGGTCCATGGGTTTCTATTTTCTTTGTTTCCTTATCAATTACACGCCCGGTGGTCGTCTTCTTCCCGGGGGACATCTTGTGTGCGCAAACCGTCCCATACTACCTTCCGCCATTGGCGCTTGGTAGGTAGACAAGAGGCGTCCCTGGTCACGGGTCCCTCATAGAATTATCTTAGCTTCTACATCACATCGCAATTCATCTGCATTCCGATCAAATCCATCTCCCTGTGACCGTACGTTTTGGCGACAACGACAGGGTAACTGGAAGTCGTGCCAAAGGTTTGAATATGAGAACCGAAGCCGTAATCTCAAAGAGGCTCATCAAAGCCTGTTCCAGAAAGCGAGAATCTCGTAAAGTCAGAAGAGCAAGAGAGCCGAGACATTGGAGGTCGAGAGCTGTTTGTTCTTGATTTATCTGATCCAAACAATTCGACCCCAAGTAACAATGAAGACAGGGATAGTGAAGGTCATGAGGCCGACGGCGAAAAGAAAGAATGAGTAGCTGAGGAAACGAGGGAAATGGTGAGAATACGAACATGAATACAATGTAGCCTATTATGATATAGAAACTGAATCCCCAAAGCGTGACTCAAGAACGCGTCCATACATCTGCCGTCTGTACACGTCTATTGACGACCGTTCCGTTCTGCCCCAAGGCAGTGGTAGTAGCGGCATAATCCCTAATATCACTATTCCTTTACATTATTTCTCTGTTCGTTTCTTCTCTCTTTCTTTGACCGTAGCAAGCAGCAAGCCTGTTTTTTCACTTTCTTCATACCAATTTTTACTCTCGATTTCAGATTTTCAATTTTCAAATTTTCAAATCTCAAAAGCGTCACGATGGTCGAGAATTGGGTCGCCCAGTTTCGTTATGGAGTCATCATTGCTGCGGGGATTAGTTTCATCCCAGCTATGACTTTGGCCGTGTCGACCTGGAGTAAGAACAGTCTCGAGATGGAGCAATCCAGGGAAAAGCACCCCTGTACCAACAGTCTGACGAGCGAAATGACAAGCAAAATCAGATGACACTCAGCTTTGATGAGGGTCGATGCCTGATCTCTGGTTCCACCAAGAAGTTGCTCATACCATCTCTTTCTCATTCAAGAACACCTCAAGCAGGACCGGGTCTTCATTCGATTGCCGTAGAGTGGTTGATTTGATCCCTCTCTTCACTTGGTGGGTTCCTCCCGAATTTCCGAATCAACATGTGGTATGCATCAACCTCATATTCAAGGCTTTGAAGATGGCCTGCCAAAAGTCGCCTAGCCACTTCCTGTCGCGGTCAGAGATGATGACTTTCGGCAGTCCCAAGTTAAGTTTATGACGTTGACAGCCCAGTCTTCTGCAGTAAACTTGTTGTAGCCTGGGATCAAAGCACGCTTCTTCAAGGTATACATGTAATGGTAAGCAGCGTGTCGTACTCAGCGATTGGCTTCAGTGGGTGGACGCGTTCTTGTTTGTCAAGAGCGCCAGGGAAGAATTGGCCTTCTTTGGGACAGTCATATCTGACATGTTTTCCACGACAAGTTCCACATTGCAGTTTGGCTTTGTATTCGTCGAAGTCATGGCTTGCGTCATGACATTCTGGAGGATCTTACTGTAATCTCTGGTGATTGTTCTCGTATCAACAAGAAGAACTAGCAGGGGAGGCGACTCGGTCCTCGAGGTAGTTTAAGCGATCTACCTACCTACTTATATATGAAATACCTTACTTCCGGTTGCGGGTATAGATCCTGTGATGCCGTCGCCGCTTCGGCCCCGCCTCAGCCGTTGGCCGCGCCTTCCCCCGGGACGGCTTTGATAAACGGAACTACAACAGGCAATGAATCATAGCTGGACCAATAGAGACTCAAGAGACCAGACGCAGATTCAGAAAGATAGTGATAGAAGCGAGGCAATAGACTTAAAAGAGGTTATCCGGTAACGTAATGATTCAAGCGCAGTTGGGATGCCAACTCAGGCAGAATAAACCAAGGGACTCTTAAACCTTCCACCTCTTCCATGAGAGAAACTCGCTGTGTGGTCTTTATCGGCCTCCAGAGTGATTCATCGTTCTGCTTGATCTTTTCTGTATTCGTCTCTAGAAGATAACAAAGTGAACCTGAACGATCGTCGCGGTGTATAATCCTAAACCTATGCTATGAGAGATGAAAGCCACAATGAAAACGTGCTTTCTGCCCTTAAATAACCAACCAAACGTTATTTACAATTTTCTTGCCAAATCGAAAGAGTAGAGAAAAATTCGAGGCAAAAAGAACCCATCGAGACACCCATTATTATTATTCTGAATCGTCCATTTTCCTTACTCTTCTTCCACCTCCCCACGTCGCCATCACCCAGGATCATCACCGTCCAAATGGATTCTGGTACCCTCCTTCTAGCTCGTGCCGTGTGTTGTCGCCCGACATCTCGCTAGCGGCCACAGCGGACCTAGGTGCAGGACTCGTCTGTGGCACGTACGGCGATTGGTGGTCTTTATGGCTCTCTGCCATCGACCAGGCAGTGGCGCTATGCATCGGCTTGTGGTAGTGTGATTCCGAGGTGCCGTCGGACGCAGGCGGGATGCCGTGCGCGGGGAGTTCGGTAGCTGATCCTCCTGCGGCGCCAGCTTGGTTGCGGCGGCGCCACCAGAAGAAGAACGCGGCGAGGGCGATGCCGATTACACCGAGAGCAACGCCAATTCCGATTCCTGCAGCGGCGCCTGATGATATTCCCGAGTTGGACGAGCCGGAGTTGGAGGAGTCGGGAGAGGAGGTGGAGGTGGAGGAAGCGGTGGTGCTTGCTGATGCTGAAGCCGCGGACGATCCGGACTCGGTTGTTGTAGTAGATCCCGATTGGCTTGAAGACGAAGTCGAAGACGTAGGGAGCTGTTCACGTTATGTGGTTAATACGGTGAGTTGAGTTGTGTAGGTGAGGGAGGTTGTGGAGTTGACGAAGGCTATGGAGTTGAGGGAAGAGTACATACATTTGTGAAAGTCGTTGAGAACCCGCCATCATTGATTGCTTCGCGGCTGCGGTAGAGCCACCGTTGTGCTGGTTGGTATACGTTTGTATCGATCTGGTTGCTCATGAAAGGGGGGTTTCCCTTGTGGCAACTAAATACCAGTGCAAGTCAGTCGGGATATGTCTCACGGCAACTGTTAATAAAGAAGGAAGATCAAGAACTCACTCTAACCAGTACCCTGTACCATTAGCCACATTTTGTATTTTTAAAAATGAATATGTTTTGTTGCCCCAGTCGGCGATATCCCACTTCTGCTCGTCGGATCCGTCGCTGGTGACGAAACAGGGCTGGGTCTTGCCATCGGCGATTTCATCCTCCACGTAGCAGACGCTGAGCTGCTTACGGATGCCGGTCATGGAGTTACGGATGGCATAGCGGCCTTTCTTGTTGTCGACGGGGAGAAACTGGTAGTAGTTCTTGTTTGCGGCCTGCATAGAAAGCGTACCCTTTCCCGTGTCGACGGTGAGAGAAGAGCCGAAACTTGCGCTGTCATAATTGTCCACTCGTTCCTCCGTTAATTGATACCAGGCGTTGCTGTCAAGATCATCTTTAACTGTAAAGTCGACCATGGCTGCGATGGTGATGCTGCGATGGTGGTGGTGGTGGTGGTGTTGATGGTGACGGTAGTGGTGACAAAGTGTGCGGCTCCCACAACGAGAATGTCGCAAAACAAGTGGAAAGGAAAAAGAAGAACTAAAAACGCCAGCACAATGCAACGCCTCAAGTAATTTGCCGATCACTCAATTTCCCTGGATCGAAGCGAGCGGCGGAGTGACGGTAGGGATGACGCCCATAATAATAAGCCTGGGTGGGAACCTGCCCTAGATGGGGGGCCCCCAGCGGCCATGCGTTAGGAGGAGTTATTAGATGAAACAAGGGCCAAGATATTCGAGAGACCGGGGCGTTGATCTTTCGTCTGCCAGCTTCCTCGCTCGGAGGGGCCAGCTCAGCGCCTGATGCTCGCCACGTTAGACAATCTGGCACTGACAAGGTTGATCCCCTCATAAAACAGACTAGGGCTGACATTTGAGTAGCAGGATGGATGAGAGCAAGTCACTACCCGCGCTTGGTGCTTGCTTGGCTCTTCGCACCGGCGCGTTAACTCCGCTTGCTGACATCCATAGTCGAGCCTAATTAACCCGTCCCACCAACTCAGGCGCTTGGCCACTCCAATCGTCCGCAATACGCTCGGCAGGGAAGAAGGGACTTCAGTCGTCTCTGCATTCCATAGGGCCTAGCTCCACCAAGCCCGGTGCAATCCTCTGCGTCCGTTTCGAGGCAAACGGCGCGATCCTGAAGGTGATTGGCCTGATCAAGCTGGGGTTGGACCGGGATGATAATGCATACGCGCAGAAGCCCTGTTCGTGACATGTCACTGTCGGGAATATTACTTGTTAACTGCTTGAGGAGAGTGAGATGAGGTCAGGCATGGCCGTTACACTATTTCGACAGGTATCAAGAAAGACAGACAATAGTGGACGAAAAGAAAATCATCCTACAATAATAATAATAATCATCATTATTATTCTATAATTTTGGTTCACGAATTAAGTCGATCGTACACCATGGGTCGCGTCAAGCCCTGCTAGCCAGTTAACACATAGTAGGCGCTATGTAATACCCTGTCTGTTGAGCACCAGAAGCCAGCAAGGAAAGCCAAATTATGCCTATCATAGGACTAAATTATATCATGCCATCTATAGGTCGGTTCTGCCCCACGAATACACATGGCCCCTGTCGCGTGATACCGGAAGAGGCTCATATATGAATCTATCCAAGAGAAATACAGCCATCTTCGTATATACTCACCGAGATGTAAATCTCCTGTTCGTCTCCATCTCCTCCTTGGCTTTCCTGACCAGGCCCGCGGCCTCCTCCACAACGTCATGGCCTCGCCGCCACGTATACAGCTTCACCCCCAGCTGGGCGAGCTGATCTTCTGCCCGAGCGAGCCGTCGATTCCACAGATCTACCTTCCTGTTGAGCGCGCCCTGTGGACCCAGCGGTGGCGAGCCCGGTGGAGATGTGGTGGGAGACCGCGTCGGCATCCGGGAGAAGCTGAATGACGGCTGCGGCGGTGCGGTCGACGGCGGCGGGAGGGGATCGTAGTCGACGTCTGAATTGTTTGAAAGGGTCCGACCCGTAGAGGAAAATTTGGGGCTCAGGCTCTTCCAGCTGGATTGGTGCCGGCGGGGCGGAGGCGGCGGCGGCGGCTGCTTACCACTTGACTTCGAGTTCCTCCCAATAGTCTGCTCTGAAGAGTTCTGCATATTAGCCAGCGGGTGCTGTCCAGGGACGGGTTTCCTGGCAGGAAGCGGCGGCGGCTTCTCCTCGTCCGTAGTCACGCCCAAGCCGGCATTCTCATTCAAGCCCACTTGAGACGGCGTGCTCCTTAATGCCGTCGGCTTCGCAGGTCTAGGGGGCGGCACCTTCTTCGCCAGCAGCTCGGATGCATTGTTGCGCTTGGGCTGCGGGTCCTCGGAGAGGTCTATCAGGTCGCCCATGAGCGGGCCACTTGATCTTGGTGACTCTCGGGGTGTCTGCATGGCCGAGTTCTGCCGCGAGGGCTGGGGCCTCGTCGGCCCGTTGGCCAGCGAAATGTTTGACACCCTCCGGCCGATTGAAGGCTCAAAAAAATCCGTCACTTCGGGTGTCGTCACATCTCGGATAAAAATAGCCAGAACCCTGCCTGGGTTGGCTGTGGCCAGCTCCGTATACACTTCCAAGTCAGCCTCTCCACTGTCGCCTACGAGGAGAAACTTCCTTTGAGGAAAGTCTCTCATGAGCCTGTCGAGAGTGGTCTTCTTTCGCTCCGCGACAGGCTCGAATATGCCCTGTAGCATGCCGGTGTACTGTTTCAGATGCAGTGAACCCGGTGGTAAGCCAGAGAGCTTGAAGAAGGTGGAAAGGACAGGGTAGAGCTGCCAGGGGCTGTTGGAACAGTAGTGTATGTTGACGCCCAGGGCCGCCATCTCCTTGTACCAGTCGACGACTCCTTCAACTGTCAGCTCAGATAGATCTCTCACAAATGCATTTCTAAATATCTCCCTGGCGCCCCCTGAGATGTTCGAAACCTTGATCGTATCATCGACGTCGCTAATTATTGACACGCCTTCTGGCTCAATGATCCTGACGGCTTGGATGGCGGATAGGTCTTCGTTTGCCAGTACTCGGACATGCGTCGGGACAAAGTCGAGCGGGGCTCTCATGGCGAAGTGGCCGGCATCGTTGGTCATGACCGTCCGAGACTGGGATTTGGTCTCGTTGTAGAAGAAGACGGTGATGGGCGATGCCACGAGCGGGTTCGTCATGAACGGCGCAACACGCGCGAGGAGATTCGCATTGGCCGCAATTAATTCTGCTTCGGTCATCTCGACAGGGCCCGTGGTGTACTGCGTCGCAGTCTGGCTCGGGCTCGGCGGCATCGAATCTGAGGCCTCGCTCCGTGCTCTGAGGCTGGGTGGCTCGGCCGAACTCTGCTGAGGGCTTTCGCTATAGCCGCCTCGATACGCGACCCGCTTCTCCTGTTGGCCTATTCGCTCAATCTGTGCTGCCTCCCTCTTAATCCGTTCCTGCTCTTCTTGAGTTTGAGGGAGCCCACCTGAGGCATCGTAGCCGGCCGAGTCTCCCCTCGGGGCCGTGATGCCGCTGAGTTGTCGGGCAAGACCCAGCAGCATGCGATTGCGCCTCGTCAGCGGCCCTACCAAGGGAGAGTACACCCACCCTCGCACGTCCACATCCACAATGGCCCTCTTGTCCTCGTTCCGTTCCCATTCCTGCCTCCAGTAGTCCTCCTCAGACAACCCCGCAGTTTGATTCTGCGCTTGTTGTGCTGTGATTTTGCTCCAGTCCTTCTTGATGTGATTCTTGGCGTAGGACGGGAACAGCATCATCTGTTGACCTTCCCTCGTCACAATGTCGACGTCTGGGAAAGCACTCGGGATATGCGGTATGCTGTTCGTATCCGAAGTCCCGTCCCCGCCCGTCCTGGTCTGCGCATACTGGTCCCGTATCCCCGTAACCGCCTGCTGCCCGCTCCTGTAGAGCGTCCCGGCCATGGCGGCAATCTTCATGCGTCGGTAGCCTCTGTCGCCAGGGTTGACCTGGCTGTCGCCCGCCGCGCCGTAGCCCCCCATCGAGGGCCCGCCCGTTGTAGACATTCTCTGTGGCCGTGTGCTGCCCCTCAGCGCCCGCCCATCTTTGGCCGTCAGGAGTCTGTGGTGAGGTCCCAGCAGCAGCCGCCGGCCGTGCCTGGCAATGTGGTCGACGACCCGCCGCTTCTCCCTGCGCCGGCGCTGGCTGTAGAGTATATAGCGGTAGATGCGGGACTGGAGCTTGTGCTTCAGGGAGGGAAGGGTGTCGAGGCGGAAGTTGAAGAGGCTCTCGCGATAGCGGTTTCGGACGGCACGAGCGAAGACGTATCGTAGAGGACCTTGGGTGTGTGGGTGCGTCCGCGGACGTCTCAGGGACCAGAATCTAAAAAAAGCCAGCTTTTACTGTTTTGAGCCTCGGCAATTGGGGGACGAAGCACCACTCTCTGCGTGGTGTGTTTGTTTCTTATAGTCGAGGGATGGTCAAGGTGGTGTCTGCCTCGTGGGAGGAGGGCAAGTGGTTGGTAGCTCAGGCGCAACAGTCGTCTGATAAAGGCCTGGCACGGCAGAGTCGTGTCGAATCCGAACGTGCAATTGCAGCTGATGAGCGATACGGCCAGCGACTATCATGTGCTGGGCGGTGTATCCAGCGTGATCTCGTGATGCAAATGCCTGGTGCTGGTTGTCTCGGTAGAGGGGGTCAGCTAGGGACAAATGCTGCAGGCACTATGTCATAGAGTCAGTACAGGTTAGGTGATGGCCTGAGACACGGAACGCAGCCTCCGTCGCTAGTACTTGCGACAGCTATAGCTCCTGATGGCAAGAACCTGGAATCATCTTCGACATGCAGTTTAATGTTCCGCTTTACGACAAGATACACATGTTCCCTACGATGAGTCGGTGCCGAATTACCGTGTGTCATGTTCTATGTCGCTATTCTGCCTCCCACCATTTGAGGTAGTATCCAGATGCCGGTCCTATCATATGCCGCCAGAGCACACGCGTCGCCTGGCGCCGCATCTTCATTGGACAGCGCATCCCAACTAACTGAGATCAGATCTGAGGCCATCACGTTGCTCCATACACGATCTTAAGTGACTGCAATTGCTGATGCCGCATTACGCGAACTTATATACTCTTTATTATACCTCACCGAGTTTTCTGGAATGCCCTCAATCCTCTGATTCACCTCTTACCCCTGCCTCGTCCACGGCCCCGACCTCCACGACCTCCTCGACCTCCTCGGCCCCCTCTGGCTCCTCCTCTGTCTCCTCTGTCTCCCCCTCTATCCTCTCCTCTATCTCCTCCACGGGCACCTCCCCGAGCATCTCCCCGGGCTCCTCCCCTGCCCCCTCGGCCTCGGGATGCCCCTCCCCTTGACGACTTGCCTTTGCCATCACTCTCGCTCGTCTTTCCCTTCTTCCACTCTCGGCCTTCGGCCCTCATGGCCTTGTTATCCAGGCGCTTCATGTCCTTGTTGCTCAACTTCGTCGGAGCTTTCAGCTTCGGCTTCTCACGGGCGCCGTTCAGTTCATTGCGGCCCGCCTGCCGAGCAGTCTTCTTGTCGTCCTGTGTCTCAAACCAAGTTCGTTTGGGCCGTGACTTGATCTCATCTTCGTGCTCAATCATGTTCTCACCCTTCCTCACCTGCATGTCGGCCTGCGCAAGATACTTCTCAGTCTTCTCCTCCCGGAGAATCTCCTCGACCTCGTCCTCCATCTCGTCAATCTGAGCCTGCCACTTGTCCGCATCCGCCGGGTCAATCACTCGGCTCACAATCTTCGCCCCTTGAGACTTGCCAGCCTTGACGGCCGCCTTCACGACCTTGCGGTCGGGCTCGGCTGCCAACGTCACGGCGGTACCCTTTCGTCCAGCACGGGCTGTTCGACCAACACGATGGACGTAGATTTCAAGCGACTGGGGGGCCTCGTAGTTGATGACCGTGTCCACGCCCTTGATATCCAGACCACGAGAGGCCAGATCCGTAGCCAGTAAATGAGTGACCTTTCCGTCTCTGAAGTTTTCGACATTCGTGATACGCTAAGGACAGTTAGCCATAAGTAGTAATGAAGCTCAGGTGCCCACCTACCATCGTCTGGTTCATGCTACCGTGAAGCTCCCCGCAAGAGATACCCAAGAGACCGAAGATAATTCGAGCCTGGTGGGCCTCCTTCTTCTGACGGAAAAATACAATTACTCTCTCCGTATAAAGAGTCTTGCATAGGTGGACAAGGTAGCCCAGTCGCTTCTCCTCTCGGCCCGGACGCAGCCTAACAAACTCCTGCACCAGTGTGCCGACCGTCTTCTTCTGCGAATCCACCATGAGACGAACCGGCTTGGTCATCCCCAGGCGAATCAAACGATCGACAGTTGAAGTCATGGTGGCGGAGAACAGCATTGTCTGGCGAGACTTGGGGATGGTGGTCAGAATCTCGTTCAGTTCATCCGCGAAACCGTCTTCCAGCATTCGATCCGCCTCATCCAGCACGAGAATTTCCACCGTGTCGACGTTGAAGCTGGCAGAGTTCCTCATGTGGTCGATGAATCGGCCGGGCGTTGCGATGATAACATCGGGACGCATTCGTAGTTCCGCCTCTTGGACCTTGAGGCTGAGACCACCCACGGCCAACGTGAACTTGATGTCGGTGTGAGAAGCAAGCTTTGTAGCAACAGCGTGACACTGAATGGCCAGTTCACGCGTTGGTGTCAGAATGACCACACGGGTAGTGGGCACCTTCTTTGGCCTATACAGCAATCGCTCCAGGATAGGGATAACAAAGGCACCCGTTTTACCTGACCCAGTAACAGCGCCTCCCACCAAATCTCTCCCCATCAAGGCAATTGGTATCGTCTTGGCCTGAATTGGTGTGGGCTTGGAAAATCCCACGTTGGAGAGACCGCGAAGGATGGGTCGAGACAACGACATTGCTTGGAACGAGGAGGTATCTGCTTTCTTGCCAGATGTATCCTTCTCCTCGGGTGCAAAGAAGGCGTTCCTTTTCGCTTCCTCCTCTGCATCCTCCTCGTCGCTGGACCCTTCATCGTCGGGGTGATTCACAGGTGTAGCAACAGAATCGTTATCCGAGGCTGGCTCATCGTCATCCTCTTCCTCCGACCCGTCCTCCTCGTTTTCTTCCTCGTCGCCTTCTTCGCCATCCTCCTCCTCTTCGTCCTCAGATTGGGCGTTCATACCAAAAGCGTCGTCCGCGAGAACCTCGTCATCGTCGTCGTCGAGGTCGACTTCCATGTCGTTTTCTTGATCTTCCTCGACGTCTTCGGTAGCTTCCTCCTCAGACTTTCCAAGCTTCTTTTCTCTCCTTCTCCTGATAATCTCATCCAGGTCCACACCCTTCTTCTCGGCATTCATTCCACTCTTGGCGCCGTCAAAGCCCCAGCCCTCAAACTCTTCACTGGCGAATTCACCAGCGTCGTCGGCCATGAACTCGAACTCCGAGTCCATGGCGCCATCATCGTCTTCGTTCTTGCCCCAAACTCCCTCTGGCTCTTCTTCGTCCTCGTCGTCCGAAGCATCGCGCTGGGCTTGTTTCTTCGACTTTTTGGCCGTCTTAGCCTTCTTTCGAGGACGCTCAGAAGAGGTCTGGCCCTCTTCTATTTCCTCTCCAAAAGGCAATTCATCGTTGTCGGAGAGCGTATGGATGAAATCGTCCTCAATTGGCTTTCTCTTTTGTGAGGGCGCCATTTTGAGCATGAATACCGATCGAGCCCAAGGTTTGCACAGCTTCGACGATGGTGGGGCCTCTCTTGTCGCAGGAAGCAAAAATTTGGAAATTCTGCCACTGGAAATTTTGGCGGTGAGTGTAGGCTGCTTATGTAATATGCAGCATGGCTGCGCACCCCACTTATTTTGTGCTTGGAGCCATAGAATGAGAGCAAGCTCCAATTACCGTGTTGTTGGTTGTCAAAGGTAATTCTTTCATCAATTTGTTACTTAAGCGGTTATGAAGTATACGTATGAAATATCCATATTTTGGGAAGTTTCTAGCGAATCCAAATATAAATGTCATGAATCAGATTTCTTCAAATCAGTCAGATCCACCCTCATCTTCTTATGTGTTCTTCCAGAAATGTCCTGATCAGAGGAGAGTGGTGATGGTGGCCATGATAAAGGCTGGCAGGGAGTAATCAATTACAGCACCAACGGGATCTCGGTCAAAAATCGGTCCAGCCAAAGGCAGCTAACGCATTCTCCAAGCTCACCGCTCTCCTCATTCCTTCTCGTACCCTTCCGGCCAGTAGATATTTATAAAAGGACGAGAAGTAGGCAGTCGTCTAGATTACAATCCGTTTTGAGATCTGTCTTTTGGATTCAACTAATAAGCTATTCTTTGCAATTTACGCTGGATGACTATCACTGACCATAACCAAATAGCATCTTCCAACCTCGTCGAGCCTCCAGCAATTCAAGATGTCAAGAACCTATCGCGCTGATGATATAGGTCCGTTCGCAGTCCTGAAGCACACAATTGTCTACGGGAGTACGGGCCCACAGAAGGTCGATCTTGACATACATGATACCGACGTGGTATTCGATTATTTTCTCGGCAGTCAAACTCTCAAGATTTTACATCTCCAAAATGTGCGCGCAGACACTTTGGCAATGGCTCAGTCCGCAGTCGAAGACTTCCTCGACGAGTTAAGGGCGATTGACAAGAGCAACGACAAGCCTCCTCGTAGAAGGGGGGATATTTATGTCGAGAATTTTGACACGGCCCATGCTAATCTTGCCAACTACATAAGGGCTCAGACTAAGGAACACGGTCCGCGCTTCAAATGGTATGGCGGTACTTTCCCACGCGAAAGCCTCCGCCGTAGCTTTAATAAGCCAAATCTTGTCCTCGGTTTCGATGACGAGGGCCGCTTTGACAGGCTTTATGGATCACACACTGTAACACCCAGGGTTGACCAAAACGCTTCCGATGGGGAGAACAGCAGTAGAGACCCATAAACTTGGAGCCAACATAATGCATATCACAGGATGTTGCAACAGCGGAATCGCAAGGCCTGCCAACGCTAGCACATGCTACGATACAATTCCTACATAGTATGCGTGAGTAGAAGTAGACAGTTTCGCCCACCAGAAGTCTTTGTCCCTAGTAGACCATCCTGCCCCGATCTTCAACTGTCATCCGTGATTAGTTCGAATCAGTATTTTGTTTTACAGCTGAGGCCGCAGTTTTTTTTTTTTTTAGATACTCCGCGCGCTCAAAGAAATATTGTGCTCTGAAGTCTTAAGGCCACTTCTGTTGAAATTCCAGGACTACCAGATCTCTTAGCATAAGCAGGCGAAGAGAATGAGACTAAAGTCCTTGATGTCCCTTGAGCTTTTTGATTTCCACAAATACAACGTTATTTGGTTATTCAAAAACAATAGTTGCTCTATTAGATGGTCATTCTAAACCAATGAGCCACAATACCGCTACCCTACATTCAGTCTTTGTGCGAACCAGCTGTCTATGTTTGCATTTCTAATTGTTCCCTTTGAAGTGACCTCTTTTATCTCAAGTCAAATCGCCATCCCCATTCACTTTTTCATAATGAAAAGCGAATAAGAGTAAATAAGAAACCTGCGTCCAGATGCTTCCAAACATTCACCCCGCGTTTTAGGCAGCAGGAAACCTCAACGTTAAGTACAGAAACAGTCACAAATGACACCAAGCACTTACATGTCACTTGTTTGCCCATAAATAAGTCCAGCGCAAACGTGGATTAGACAGCTAATGCGCGTGTTCATCTACACACAAGGGATAATATACAAAGCCACCCAATAAGAGTACGGAAACCAAGCTGAACAGAGAAAGAACCACAAGTCAATATAGTGCCTATAAGATCGTGCGGTCTGGATGTATGAACGTATGTATGTGATGTGTATCCAAGTCCAGGTCCCAACCAGCTCATTCAGTTCTACATCAACTCCTCTAAAATGGGGAAAATTTCCAACCCTATAAACAATCAAACCACAAAACACCAGTGATACAGATACCCATCGTTTAGCCCCCGCTACCAAGACCTTCCATTCTATTTTGCGTGCGGCTGGAGATCCAGCTGCTTGAGAGCATCTGCTTCCCATGCGTTTCCTTGATTCGGGTCCCAGAATCCGCTGCCGTCTTGGCTCTCGTTGGGAAGTCGGATCTGTGGTGGTGCTTGGGCAAAGCTCATACCCGTGTTTGAGGCTGGGGAAACAGGGGCGTGGTAATGACGACTATGATCTCCCGGGCCGTGGCCTGCATCGAAAGAGTGAGAATCATCCTCCAACGGAGACACCAAATCTGTCGACTCTCCCGTTCCAGGAGGATAGCCCATTGTCGCCGCCTGTTGTGCGGGGATTCCTACGTGGAGGGATGCCGGCGGAAGGTGATGGTCGTATTCCTCCTGTTGCTCGGTAATTCTCGGCGCCTGTTCCATGTTCCTTAAACTCGGGGCGTGGTGGCCACCGTTGCCGCTATGTGCACTAGCCATGGAGACTCTGCGCATATTTGCCGAAGTGTCGCCCATGTCGCCCATGGCAGCAGCATCCAGGTCCCGGATCGCGAACTGTGCTATCGTCCTCATCTTCCGGGTAACCCATCCTGCAAGGAGCTTGCCTCGTTGCTTCTCACCGAGCCTAGACCTTGGGAAGTCTCCCTTACCAACAAAGGCGACAATGTCAACAATAATTTGATGCTCGTTCAAGATGGCGTTGACAATCACTGGAACCATGGATGCCAAATACGACTTTTTGGACACCTCAACCAGGACAACAACAAGGCCGCCTGCTTGGAACACAGCGCTGGACAAATACAGTCAGTATATTCCAGGAAAGAAACTCAACAGACAAAGGATAGTGCTTACCTGCCACTAGGGATGATATTGCGATGGCAGCGCTCGATCGACGCCTCTATGTCCATAGGGAAGTGGCTCAGGCCATTGATCTCAAAGGTTTCACCGATGCCGCCCAACACGAAGAGGACCTGCATGTCGACCTGAGCGCCATTGGGACCGATTGGCCGGCTGATGTTGTACAAGAATCCGAGGTCGCCAGTTCGTACGTATTGTACGTCCGGGTCACCATCAATGGTGCGTCCATCAAACCGCTCGGCATCGAAGCTGTCCTTGGAACCATAAAAGGATCTCACGCATGCTTCCGAGTCGACCCAGATCTCACCGTACTCACCGTCATAGCAATGCTCCCGGCTCTCGGGGTTCACAATGGCAATCTGCGTTGACACAGGTACCATGCCAGAGTCTTGCACAAGCAGTGCCGACGGGTCCGTTTCGGGGTCAACAGGCATGATGAGCCCCCGACGCAGTGCTCGTATATCCAGCCAGAGCTCGATGGGTTCAATGCACATGTAGGATCTGGACGCCACCATGGGATTCAGGACGTGGGAGTACACGGTGTTGATTGCCGTCCGGTCAAGTCCGGATTGGGCAAAGTGCAGCCTAACCTTCTGGAAGACATCCACCCTTGGTCGAGCGTCCGCCGAGATCATCATGTTCCTCATCTCATGAAGGGTGAACCCCTTAGCGTGCATAGAAGCCATAGCGTGATCCAACATCTGCGGTGTCGCGTACGTATCTTTAATCTTGTATCGCGAGAGGGTGACGAACAACGACATGGGGTTCTGCGCAAACTCGACTGGCGAGAGGAGATACGTTGGAGTTCCAATGTAAATACCCATGAGGGCCGTGTGGATGAAGCCGAGACCGGTAGTGCTCCGCACGCAGCCCAGGACAGGTCTCGAGCTCGTCATCTGGCACGTTTCCTTTTGAACCTTGCACATGCCCATGATAGTCTGGTGCCCAAGCTGAACGGCGATGCGGCGCTGGTCGGGTGTCCAATATGTCCACACGATGACGGGCCATCCCGGACGTATCCATGCAGGGTCTATCGTGAATCCTAGATCGCGAAGCCCATTGCTCTGTTTGGGTGGCTTCGAAGTGTTGTACGAGTTGGGCATGGAGACCTTGAGAACTTGGGCCGATTGCTTGATATGACTGGAGACTGCCTTCATCCTAAGTAGGTGGTCTACCTCTTGGTTAACCAATATTGCCTTGACATGATAATCAGAAATGATGTGCAGATAAGCAGGCACATCCTCGTTCAGCCGGTTGGTATCGAGAGGGGCCATCGGGATCACCACACATCCGAGGTTGATACAAGCATGGACGGCGAACACAAACTCCTCCGAGTGTGTGTACATAAGGACAACGTGGTCGCCTGGTCGGAGTTTCACCTTGTTCTTGAGATACATGGCCACAGCGGCGACCTTGGAATCAAATTTCTTCCAGGTGACGCCTTTGCCCTCGCGGCCTCTGCCGTCGATGGTGCAGTACGAGAGCTCGTCGGGTTGACGGGCTACACGCCACTGGATGAGATCGGTTATGCATGAGAAGTTGTTCAGGGGAGTCGAGGTTCTATCATCAATAACCACTTCACGCCTATCAATTCCTGAATACTGCTTGTCTGCAGGAGCCAGAATGTCTGCACGCGATTCAGATGCGAGCTGCGACCAGATCCCGCCCATCGGGTCTATGCCAACTGGAAGATTGAGAACAGCATGCTCTACTCCAAACTTGACGTGGACGCAGGGGAGGTTGCCGAGATCAAAATCACGTCGGCACAACATGTTGCCAATCTCGCTTCGGCCATTCTTCGTTACCCGAGGCAGTGAGTTTGGTGCGGTAATCATAACGCAGTATATCCGAATGTGGTGCTCCTGCATCAACACCTCCATACACCGCTCTGCCAAGGAATCCAGCAAGGCCATGTCTGGCTGTCTAGGCGGACCTCCATTCTGCAAAGGTGCCGTGGAAGCGGCTGCTGTCTCCAGGACCACGACCGGAAGATGCTCATCGTTGACGAAGACATCAAATGCAGAGCAGTCGTAAATCTTGGGCACGCTCTTGACAATACTGACGACGATATGCTGAACGAAAAAGTACCTGTACTCCGCCAGCTCGTGGCCGTGCTCGACCCACTCAACCCTCTGTCGGAGACGATCCTCGTAGAGGCCAAGCACAAAGATCTTGCCCTGGATAACCGTGCCTAATAAACCCGTTCGGAGAAACTCTGGTTCGACTGGGGTAGGTGTGGGCTCGCCAGGCTCAAACTTGTATGACCGAGCGTGGAAGATGATTTCGGTGAACTTGGGCTGAGACCAGAATCCACCGGACAGAGATGGAGAGTCGACCCAAATCTCACCGACTGTGTAGTTCGAGGCAAGCAACCCGCTCTCCGGGTCGACAACCGCGAGCGTGGCATCAGGAATCGGGTACCCGAAGGCGCCTACCCGGACAGATCCAGGCTCGCTTTCAGCCCTCTTCCTCGCCTCCTCACCAACAGCCAGGACTACAACCTCGTTTGTTTTCAGGGCTTCGCGATCAAGCAAAACTTCGTTGACCTCTGTTTTAGCCTTTTGCTCCGTGGTTGTGGTGGTGCCGCCCAGCAAGCTGCCAAACCCAGATGGCTTCTCCTTCTCCTCCTCCTTTTCTTTCTCGTCTTCCGAGTCCACATCTGATCCCAGATCGAGCTTCAAGGGCACGCCCATACGCTCTTCTCCACCGAGCCAATCCCTCATGCTGATGACCATTCCGCCATGTTCTGGGAGACATAGCATGGGCGACACAGCATCCCGCGATCTTGCGCTTCGCAGAGGCCGAAGCCATCTGTCGCCCAGGACCTCATTGAACTCACTATCGACGGTCAGAGTGTCGATCAAGCACAGCTTAACGGCTTGGAAATTGGGCTCCATCCCCTTTTTGAAATTTCGAGTCGCCATTGGCTCCTGGAGGTAGTTGTACACGGTGCGCTTGAGTCCTGGGTAATCCGCCACCATGATGGAAGCTCGGTACTTGGAGATGAGATGGGCGTACAGGCCAGGGGACTCGACAGCCTTGTTGTCAAACCAGACTGTGGTGTGGCCGCCGTAGACGTTCAGCAAAACACCCAAGATCATGCCGATGCCCTGCCTTGGCTCGAGGTAAGAAACGAGCGTCTCGCTACCGGTATTGCCCCCAATCAGCTTGCCATTCTTATCCCGCAAAGAAGGATTGAAGGTATCGCCAGGGCCGTTGCGAGGGGCAGTCGAGATTACAGCACTCAGGCAGGCCATCTGGTGCATGATGGTTCGATGGCTCAGCACCACGCCCCTGAGATCGCCCGTAGGCCCTCGACTAAACTCAATGTATGCAAGGTCCGGAACAGTAAGAGCTGGTACATCATCTTTCCGCTTAGGGTGATAGCTGCCAAACTCGTTGGTTTTCCACCACTCGACTCCCTTGGGCCAGGTCAGCTTTTGGGCCGTGATGTCACGCTGGAACGTTTTCAAGTTGTTATCTGTTGTCAAGGCCAGGTGCGCCTGGGTCGACGTCAAAATGATGTTCAAGCGGGCGTAGTCTTGGAGATCATTGATGGGTACGGCAACGACTCCAGCGATGAAGCAGCCCATGAGAGCAATAACGAAATCGATAATTTCAGAGTCTCGGTACACCAGCGCTACACGATCACCACGGTAGAGTGAGCTCTTGTCTCTGATCACTTGAGCAACCTTTTCAGCTCTCGAGGCAAGCTTTTCCCACGTGATGGAGGCTATTTCTTTGCCTTTGTTGTCCAACACCCAGTACGCAGGCACCTTTGCTGTCGTTCGTGCTCGGTGCCTCAGGACAGCAGCCATGTTATCGAAATTGGACATGGGGACGTTGCTGTCATGGGGATCATTGATGCCAAAGGGTACCTCTCTGGGCTCGAGTGGTGACTGGTATTCAAGCGCCTCCGGGGGCGGGAGGTCATTGGCTGTCAGCATTGGCGGAGCAATTGCGGCAGACGGCGAGAAGGCATCGGGTATAGAATATCTCTGGTGTCCGGGGAAGTCAGATGCCGGCTCCCCAGATGTCGGGCCATCAAAGTGCTGCTGGCCAGCAAAGTCGGAGAAGTAGGCCTGGGAGTCGAGCAAGGTGCCGGTCCTGCCGTCGTACCCTTGCTGTGGCTGGTCGGGATATGCGCCTTGGTGCTCTGGGTTGAAGACGTAGTCTCCCGACACCATGGTCTCGGTCCTTGTGACATCATTGCTGTTTCCCGGGGTGAGGAAGAGGGAGTCACGCTTGGGTTGACCACCAACACCGCGCTCGGCGATTGGGCCACCGGGTTGTAGCAGACTGGCTGGGTGCATCTGCGGCGACGGGAAGGACGGCGGTGAGTCGTCGTAGTCGGCCTGCACTGGTGAGTTAGGGCCATCGTAAAGCTGCTGGCCGCCGCCTAGGGCATGCATGGCCGCGGTTCTGTGGCCGCCAGGAGTTTGGTGATCGTCATCGTCATCGGGAGAGTGTATGCGCAGACCGGACCTCGGAGGCTCGCGGGGAGTTTCAGGCTGGGCCATATACTGAGATAGCAAGATCGTTCGACGCTTCTGGTAGCTGCAGGGAGGGTTCAGTCAGCGTCAGAGAGGCGGACGAGAGGGGAGGAAGCGGTGCGGTGCGAGATTACCCTTTTTCTGTGATGTCGCCCTCCTAAGGAAGATATCTACGTCAGTGCTGTGTCTCGCTGGGAGTATGCGGCAAACCAGGGCCAGCACCTACCTCCAATTCTCTATCCAGCTCCTCGAGCTTGTGCTGCAGCTCGGGGCTCAGGTCAGCCATGGCGGGCAATGCAGAAACTGCACCAATCTATGTCGTCGGAGTGATATGTTGAAGAACAGGTTCCGAACAAGTGGCCTGGGGCCTGCCGGTCTGGGTAGCGGTCAATTCAAAAAAGCGCAGCCAAAGGGAGCTTGCCGCCGGCCATGCCATGCAAGTTGGGGACGGGAAGCAGATCCAGGTCCTCGACAATGTGTGGCGTGACGTAAAGCGACGAAAGGCGGGAGGAGGGTCGGCTGGCTGGTTGTCAAACCAAGGTCGGTCCTAGCTGGTTGGGAGGAGGGAAATGGAAGTGGAGAGGTACTCGCAGGTACTGGGCGGTGGTTGCGCTGCTCGCGTGAATGCGGGCCAGGATGATGCCCGCCTGCTGGACAATCCGCACGGAGAAACAGGGCTGAGGGGAATAGCTGGCCTTCTCGATTTGGGCCTATTTAACCTGCGTCCGGCACTAATCTCCTAGAGAACGCCACGGCACAGTTCTGCGCGAATGCGATGGGTGGTGTGGTCGCTTGGGCAGGTGGTGTGGTGCGGCGGACAGGCACTGGCGCTGGCGCTGACGCCGGCTGCTGTAGACTGATGCAGATGCGGGGATGGAGGAACAGTCAGCGCCTGGTTACCTTGCTTAGCAGTGGAGGCGGTGCCCAAGGCCTCCCTCGCCCGCCAACCGCTGGTACATCCAGGTACATCCCCAAGCTACCTCTTACTGTGGCTGCCAGGATAAGCACTTATCAGCCTGGTTCGGACGAATTGCGCAACCCCGACAGGGACTTGGTTTCATCCCGGACCGAGCGATGCGCAATCGGTGTCGTCCTCGTATTCAACCCCAGCTTTGCTGTACGAGCCTTGCTGGTACGAGGAAGACAGACCCCGCTGATATCTTGTGACGCAGATAGTGCTCCTCCTAGCCAAGCTGTTGTCCCGCTACTGCTGTCTAGCCGAATGCTAGGCACTTCCAAGTTTCTTCAAGTCCCTTTCCTCATCGAGAAGGGATGGTGTGTGCACCACATCCCGAAGGCAGCCTTCATGGATTGAACCATTCCCCACCCATGCAATGGAAATTCGACTCAGATTCGCACGCGAGGATCGGTATTTCCATAATCATTAGGCCAAAGGTTTTTCGTCAAGCCATATGGGACCGCGTAATCATACCGGAAACTCCTTCGCCCCCTATCAGTCGAGAGTTCTTTGTCTCCAGTTCCCATTCTTTGATCTTCTTGTGTAACTCTTTGAAACCCTTTTCGCTTGGTTCAGGAAGCCCATTGTTTCTTTCGTGTGCCTCGAGTCATTATTCCTCAACTGCACGCAAGTCTTAATTTACCACATACGATGGGACAAAACTCAAACAAATTCTATTTTGACTGATAGTTAGCAACCCGATTGAAGACGAGTGGAATATTAGAGCCACGCCTACTTAGTTGAAGTTGAGCGAAGGGCTGAGTGGGGCAGTATTCCAAGTCATTCCATCTGCTCTCCGCTGCTTGAAATCTTGAGGCTCGGGTTTGTTCCTAAACACCTTTTGTCCACTCTGACCTGGATATGTTTAGATTAATTACCAACTATAAGCGATATCTCGTGTTCCTGAACATCAAAAACGGATAGTCTTTGATCTTTCTTTCCCCATTGTTTCTTTTCGCGCGAGTTCCCGAACGTTGTTTTCCCAATACTGTCTTCGTTACTGGCTGGCTTGTTCTCTTGTTTGTTTCTAGCACAACCTCTCTTTATCTCAAACACTGATTACAAGGATCCTTCACATTAGAGCTAACCTAAAGCCATGATCGACTCGTCCGAAATCTGACATATAAGTATTGTGTGTATGCTCTGCACTTAGCGAATCCTCATCATTTTCTGTTTGAGTTCACAGCGACATGCGTGCTTTCTCTTCGCCCTTTTGCATCTCTATTTTCATCCTTTTCAGCTACTCAGAACACTTTAGTCAGATCTCAACTTATCCTTCCAACCCTGTAGCCACAGCGAAGCTTCTGGATGAGCAGTCCAAGATGGGTCTTGAGAACATGTCCGGCAACAACAGCCGCAATTTACAAGGGATCATCACCCAAGACTGGAATCTCACCCAAAGTTTCAACGATGGCAGTCCTATGAACGCCAACCCTACGCAATATCCTCCACAAAACCCGGCCCTTACAGGCTTTGAACCGGAAGCTCCGTACCATAGCGTCAACACCTCACATCCTTCCGCCAACATGCCCAACATGCACAACATGCACAACCCTATGTACAATTCGTATGTCGAGCCAAGTCCCATTACCTTCAATGGCAATCAGGGACCGTCTTATATGACAGCTGTACCAGCCCCCAGACCACAAGCCCCCCAAGCTTTCAGCCACCATCAAGCCGTCGGTCAACATCCGTTTAGCCCCAACAGTTTACAAACCCCAGGAGCACCTCAACTTCAACCCTATCAGTGGCCCAGACAGCCAGTTCAGCAACCTCTTATTCGGTCTCCCAACGGTGCCGGGCAGAATGCTCCTAGTGGCATGATCTATCAGGGTACTTATCAACACCCACCCCTGGCGCCGGCTGGACAAGCCTTGCCGGCCGTTCATCCCCCAGTCCCGTTGGAGTCTCAGAAGCCGCCCCGGAGGGAAAAGAGAGCGCGCGAAGAGTCGGACTCGGAAGAGCCTCCACCAAAGAAGAAGAAGGGAGGAAAACGCCCCCGGGTCAAGGAACCCCCGCCAGCATATAACAGACGCTACCCGAGACCACCATCTTGGGGCGAGGCGAGCGACGGCTCCCCCCTGTTCGTGTACAACGACGACGGGGAGCTGCGGACCGACAGAAAGTACACCGCGGAGGAGATCAGGCTTTACATTGAGAAAAACCCGCGCAGGCTGAGGATCTTGGTCCAGCAGTCGCCCACCCAGGTGGCCCATCGCCTCGGAAACCGCAACACGTGCATGTGGAAGGGCTGCATAAAACAAGGCCACAAGATCGACACGGGCTTCTTCCGTATCGCCTTTGACGAGTTCTACAAGCAGTCGAAGAGGGGCCACAGGGATCCCCTCAGGCCCGCCGCGGTGATGCACATGTGGTGCTATGAGCAGTGCTTCGATCCCCTGGTGGACTACCACGACTACAAGCTCAAGGCGGACAAGCGTCCCCTGACGAAGGAGACGAGAAACATGATTGGTATCGCAAACAAGGGCAAGCACATCGTCCGGGACGCGTTCAAGCCATGGCTTAAAAAGACCGAGTTCACGGAGCGTGCTCGCGAGTACACCGGCTCTCTCTCCTCTGCGCTGAATGAGTATCACCTGTCCACCCGGTCAAGCCGTAAGCTCGCGCTCGCGCACGAGAGGAGCAAGAAGACGGGCGAATGCATCATCAACTTTCACAAGGGCGACCTCATGCTATTCTGCCAAGACACTGGCAAGAACAAGCAGAACATGAAGCAGAAGGATCTCCCGGCGAACAGGTTTCAATTCAGGCCACGCCCAGTAAGGCTGCGGGCGATATCCGTGGACGAGGATTCCGACTCATCCGACTCCGAGCGTGAGATCTTTGCAATCTACGCAGCGCAAGGCGGAGCCGTGGCCCAGCCCGAAGAGCCATCTAATGCCTTGAAGCCCCTTAGCGAGAAGAGCTTGAATTCACGAATCCCGGCTGCAGGCGTTGGTGCTCGCCGGGAAAGCTCTCGCCCGGAGGCATATGGGGCAGAGAATAAGGAACCCAAGGGGCCTGTGGGAGACGTCGTGCAAGATGGCAAGACAAGGAAGATTACTTGCGAAAAGGCCCCCTCAGATGAAAACAAGCCACCAGTGTTTGAAACTTCAGCTGCATCGGAATTGGTATATACCGACCCAGGCTCTTGCCCAGAGGCAGATGGGGCAGAGAATGAGGAACCCAAGGGGTCTATGAGAGACGGCGTGCAAGATGACAAGATAAGGGAGATTGTTTGTGAAAACCCCCTCTCGGTTGAATTCGAGCCATCAGTGCTTGAAGATCCAGCTGGATCGGAATCCATTTTTAGAGACCTCCTCTCACCATCAGATTTTCTCACTGAAGATCTTGGAGAAGGGACCACTAGTTTCACGGATGACTTATTCGGGGAAAGGCTAGGCGATACATTAGAATCGTCAATTTTGGTGGACCAGTCAGAGTTTGGAGAGTCTTCAGCTCCCGAAGAGCAACGAGAACCCAAGGTACCAGAACTCAAATTACCACAACCCAAGGCACCAGAGCCCAAGGAGCAGCAAAAACTCAAGCTACCAGTTCCCATTGAGCCGCTAGAACCCAAGCAGTCCCCAGGCGTTGAGGATCTGTCTGGTTCTGGGGGGTCACAAGGAGCCGAGGCTGAACCTAGGTAGCGAGTTATCTTATCAAAAGTGAGTATCGATGCTTCATTTGCTGGCGAAAAGCACAGGAGGAAAACTGTTTTTAGCGCGGCGTTTTGTTGTCTGTTTTTTTTTTTTTTTTTTCCCCTCTCTTCCAAAAGTTATAATCATCTGGCATGTTTTCTCTTCTGTAGCAAATCCGATGGCAGCCGAGGCCGCTCAAGTGTAACCACCCGACTGTAAGACATGATGTGAGACAGAGATGTACAGTGACGCACTTTCACTCCCATCCGACCTTCGTAACGTAGCTACAGTGCGTGAATGCCTTTCCAAGCGAGATCGGATCCTTGAGCGTCTGGGTAGGGGTTAAGGATGGTGAACTGCGGACATGTGAGGAAAAGTTGCCCCGGTCCAAGCTTTGGTTGCCCGGAATCCTGCCGGGCAATGCCTAATCACATGTATCTCTGTGATATCGGGATGGCAAGGTGCTCGCGGATATGGCTCCCCAAGGGACAAACATGTCGCTACCCACGAGCCCATGCCCAGTCAGGCTGGCTAGACGCCCGACAAGCGGTGGGCCAACTTGTGCAAGGTTTTGGACGCCGTGTTGGGTCCAGTTTACAATTGGATCTCTGGATCAATCGGGCCCAATTTGTGCGGTGCATTCCATCCACGGCCGGATTGCCAGGCACCAAATGGGCTGTCAATGAACAACTCACGATCCAGATTTTAGTAGGTACAGGGTACATATTTTGTCTCGCGCCCCCCGAACAGATGCTGTGGATCAGGCCAGTACCTGCGACTTGAGTGATCCACAGCGCCAGAGGCCCGGCGATGGAACGCGCCAACGGTCCACAGGCTACAGCCGCCTGGAAATCTAGCCAAAGAGGTGGGTCTTCAGCTGCTCCTTGGCTTCCAGGACCCTTCAACGGCGAACGGCCTCGCCGAAGGAGGGGTCATCCCCTGGGATCCATGACCCTGCTTCTAGAATTCCCTTGTAACGTGTACAACAGCCAGGCGCATCGGTGTGCGTGGTGATTGGGACCAGTGTCTCGGTGGCCGTCCTTCTCCGTGGTAAACAAAGGAATATTATTGTTTCCCCAGCCAATCTGGACAGATGGCACGATGCTCTCGTTCAGATGGAATTATGTAATACATAGTACTGCTTTTACTCAGCCCGCGCAAGGAGGCGCACAAAGAAACCAGCAGCCATGGACGTGCTCCAAACCCAGTTCGAGCAACCGTTCGCGATCCTAGATGGCGGAAAAGAAACGCCCGTACCGTACAACGGGCCTCGTTCCCATAGAACACAACGCGATACAATTCCATAACAGCCGTTGCCGACGCTGCCAGAGCCGAAAGCCTTCATATGCCTGAGCAGCAGAGGCTGGATGCCATACGTCATAAATGCAACGGCCAGGGACCGTGACCAGGAAGATGCAACCCCACTTCCCGAGCTGGAATCGAGAAGTTGAAGCTGTGTCGTTGCGGTTGTGTCGGCCAAGCAAAGGATGATCTCCTTCTGGCTCGAACAGGCTTTGCACTTTCGGAAGCTTGACCGAAACAGATCAGCGCGATCCTCCCTACGGTGTGAGTGCGTGCCTGGCTTGCCTGGTTCAGATAATGGGATTTACCTGCGCTCAGCACTATGTGGCCTGCAAGCTCTCCCGCCTTGCCCTTCTGGGGAGGAGAGCCCTGAGGTACAGGCTACTTGCGCCCCACAGTATTATTCCCAACGTCAAATGCAGCACGTTCCGCTAGATCGGGCGGCTTGACACTCTGACTCAACCCAGGTGGCACCCAAGGCGAGGCTAGCGGCAGGCAGGCGAGGGCTGGCGAACAAGCACTGCGGCTGCCCGTTGCTAATGGAGCAGTGCGCCTCTGTGCTTGCTTCCAGTCCTTCCTCTCCTTCCATTCCAATGCGCAGTTGTGGTTTAAGTGCTTACCCATGAGTGACATTTGAGCCGCCGGCATCCGTCTGCCAGTGGCCTCCCAGTGGAGCCGCCATCAATCGCTCCAGCCTTGAAGCCCTCCCATCTCCCCCATCAGGTCTGCTCAGCCAGACAGCACCAGCATCGACTCCTTCAACGGCCATCGCGATTGCCCCAGCTGCATTACCTGCCCCCAACATTTCGGGTGCAGCACGTTGAGGGAACAGATTGAGTTTAGCGGACGGTAGCATCTTGTCTCTGACCAAATCTCAGCTCAGCAGTGGTTGGTCTCGAGCTGCCAATCTACCCCCAACCCCAGCCCCATTCTTCGTATGATTCGGTCGGGGTCCCCGTTGACAGCACGTCGGAGAATATCCTCGCCCCAGACACTACTGCCGCCCGGACAGCAGGTAATCTCTGCGCCTGTCCTCATGTTTGGCCTTGGCTTCCTACCTTATTACTAGTCACGGCCGCTCCCTTCGACAGTCCTGTGCGGCGCATTCATCCACCCTCCCTCCAGTCGAGTCTTGTCTGGAGACACGGGCTCACCTTGGATTGATCTGCGTTCCTGGACCAGAGCCTTATTTTTAGCACTTGCCTCTTTCTCTTCTCTCGCTGCGACCATTTGGATCCCGCCCATCAATTCCCAGGCGCTGAACTCCAGCTCCAGAAGCTGGCGTCCCGTCTATCGCCTGTGCATGCATGGTGGATCTTGGTGCAGTTTCAAGTCGCGTTCGAGTCCGACCAGGCCCTGTAAACTGGTTTCTTGCAGCGGTCCTTAGCCCTGTGCTCTTCTCCCCTGATCGCGGGTGTCGCCAGTGATTGGCTTCACAGACATGAGGGACAACAGAGATCCCGCCCTGCACGTCATCGTTCTGGTGAGTTCCTTATTCTCTCAACTAATTCAGCCATCCGGTACACATTTTTGGTCTCTTGTTTTGGCGATTTGGTCCTCGCTGTCTTCCACTGTCTTTTCCTTGGCCACTCCCGATCTAATCACCTGATTTGCTTCTATTGGGGAATCCTTGCAAGTTGTCCTTAGCTTTGGTCATATATCATATCGAGTGTTTCTCTCGGCCAATGGGGTTCTTTATTTTGCTTGTGGATCACGCTCTCTGTCGTTGTCAAGAAATCTGGTCGGATGAAAGACAAATAAACAGAATATGCTCCATGGTTTGATATATACAAACTCTGGTCCAGTGCAGCACGGTGGCAATTACACATGCCTCTCTGTCCGTCTATACTTACGATCCCCATCTGCAACTCTTATTCATTGAGCCTCACGCAACTAACATGCCTCTCTAGGGCTCTGGAGGTGGGCCCCAGGAGTCAAACACAACTGCCTTGCTCGTCCGATCTGTCGCCCAGGAGTGGCGCAAGGGCTCCATCGTTGCCGTCGATGCCGGCGTGCACCTCTCCGCCATCACTCGCCTCGTCAAGGAGTCTCTGCCCTCGCCTGTCCCTTCGCTCCCGTACACCTTGACGTCAGGCCCATTCGCGGGCCTCAGCTTGCCGTTCCATAACGCGGACACAAATGCCCAGCACATTTCCAGCTCTCTCGTTGACGCCTATCTGATAACCCACCCCCATCTTGACCACATCTCGGCATTTGTCATTAACACGGCGGGCCCGCCTGGAGCGCGGCCAAAGAAACTGGCCGGGTTGCCAAACACCATTCATGCATTCAAGACGCATATTTTCAACAACGTCATTTGGCCAAATCTCAGCGACGAAAATAATGGCGCTGGGCTCGTGACTTATCTCAGGCTTGTGGAAGGTGGGAGTCCGGCTTTGGGGGATGGTGAGGGAAAGGGATACTCGGAAATTTGTGATGGCTTGCTGGTTAAGATTTGGGGCGTGAGTCACGGCCACTGCATTGAGAAGCACAGCCATCGGGGCTCGCAATCTAGTGCATCCGGGGGATTCATCAACCACGACCTGCTGTCTCAGACTCCTCGGAGGGATCCGTACAGCCACACGACCTCGCAAACCACGCCCCGGCGCCAGAGTCTTCTCAGCCAGGCAACTTTCGGTGTGGGGTCCGGCTCACCGGGCGCTGAGCAGGAAAAGGTTTGTGTCTACGACTCAAGCGCATATTTTATCCAAGACCAGGACCATAGGAGAGAGGTTCTCATCTTCGGAGACGTCGAGCCTGATAGCCTGTCGCTGAGCCCCCGCAACTTGCAAATCTGGCAAGACGCCGCCCCCAAGATTGTTGCCGGGAATCTTGCCGCCATATTCATCGAGTGCAGTTACGACGACAGTCGCTCAAATGACCGGCTGTTCGGGCATCTCAAGCCTGAATTCATAATCGAGGAACTTCTCGCTTTGGCTGCAGAGGTTGATTCTGCCCGCAAGGATCAGCATGTCGCCGAGTCGAAGAAGAGGAAGCGGATGAGCGATCCCGGTTTCAGGCATCGAGGTCCTAAGCAGCATCTGACGGCCGTGACTCCAGCTTCGGAAGATCCTCTTTCTCCAAGGGCCGTCGAGGGTCTCGCCGAGTTCCCCGGAAGTCTGAATACAGGACTAGACACACCGCATATTGCCACACCAACTACGGAGCTGTCTCTTCATGAGATTGATCTGGTCGTAGCCCCCAGCCCGTCCAGGCCTGAGCCAAGAAAACAGCTCGAGGGCCTCAAGGTGGTAATCATGCACATCAAGGACCGACTAACAGATGGTCCCGATGTCGGTGAGACCATATTGAATGAGTTGCAGGAGTATGAGAGGGAGGTGCAGTTGGGCTGCGAGTTCATTATCGCCCATTCTGGGCAGAGCTTCTACTTCTGATACCATGTTGATTCAATGTTTTATGATACGTTCGGTTTCACTGCCTACGGAGTTACGGAGTTGGTATCGCCTTCCGGCGAACCTCCCCCCCTTTTTTTTTCTTTGTTTGCTAAATGGGTCAGCTCTGGCGGTTTTAGTATGAAGGTTACGTCTAGGTCATTTATCTGTCTATATATCCGCACATATATATCTATGCTCTGAAATACAATGTACCATAGGCCTGGTCCATCGCTACGTGTATGCGTGTTTAGAGATAATGATAAAGCACGATCGCTACTGCAAACAGCATGCCGGCGCATCTTTAACCCGAGCAAAAATTTCTATACCTTGGTATCATTGATGATCTTCTCAGCACCCTCTCGACCACCGACATCCTTTTCAAAGCCTGGCCTGAGAAGCTCAATCCCCTGCGTTGTTCTCCCATAAGTGATGCCACCCAAGCGACTCATCGGTTTTAGAACCTGCACCTTGCTGTTAGCACCACAAACTCTAAAACATAACCAAAAAGGGATCAAGGTTGGGGATATGCAAATACAGAAATATCAATCAGATTCTGGTCCTCGTTCAGCGCATCCTCCCGGACCCAGAACCGCGTAACCTCGAGGATGGCAATGGTGCCGCCCTTGCGGCCCTCGACCACCCGGCTATCATACTCCTTCACGTAGTCGAGCTTGGCCTCGATGCTGAACACGGCCTCCTTGACCCGCGCGCACTTGACCGTCTCGCAGTCCTCCGCGGGGGTCAGCCCGGACAGCGCCCACTCGGACACGCCGTGCGGGGCGTCGACGCTCGCGGCGTTGGCCGCCTCGACGAAGTGCTCCGAGATGATGTTGACGACGCACTCCCCCGTCTCGCGCAGGTTGCGCAGGCTGTCCTTGGCGTCCCTGTCCGGCCCCGGGCGGGCGAAGCCGACGGCGAGCAGGGGCGGGTCCTCGCTCACGACGTTGAAGAAGCTGAAGGGGGCGAGGTTGGCGCTGCCATCTGCGCTGCGGGTGCTGAGGAAGGCGATTGGGCGGGGGGTCACGCCCGAGATGAGGAGCTTGTAGTTGGAGCCCCAGGGCCTGCCGGGGGTGTAGGGGTCGATGGCGATGTGCTTCTTGGATTTGGCGTCCGAGTCATAGAGCCGGTTGGCGCCGTCGCCAAACTTCCAGTCCGGGTTTGCGGTCTTGGTGTAGCGGAAGGAGGCGGAGGTGTCCCATTCCTCGCGGGAGGCCTCGACTTTCTTGAAGTCTGGGTGGGGGTTGCGGCCTACCTTGTCTGCCATGATGGAGCGTCTGTGCCCTGGGGTGGTGTTTGTGATAGCTGGGATAAGGCTGTATCGCGGGGCAGGCAGATGAGGGGCAACGTGAGAGATTGTGGAGGTTCTCACCCTGCAGAGAGTATGTGAGATGAAACTTGAGAGGGGGAAACGGATGGCCATGAGATCTACGGGAGTAGGAACAATCCCCTAAGCAGATAGGTAAGCCAGTTACATGGCCTTGGTTGCGTGCTTAGAAATACATGACAGTTCCCACATGGTTGATAACAGGAAACGATTCACTTAGATCCAGCTGCTAAGGCACTACGGACTAACCTACCAGTGGCGCTGGTGGCACGACATCATATCATTCAACGCTGGAAAACTACTCGAGTTCCTGGGCTTTCTTCTACATGAAAACACCAAGGTTTCTTTGCGCAATGGGGAAGGCGACATGATAGAGCAATAAAGGAGGGAGTTGATGTTATTTCAATCTGAAAGGTATAGGTTAGGGCGAGGTGGGCTTTCTTGATTACATAATCATGCAACCCCCACCTGCGGGGATGCTTATCGTGCCTCTGCCTCGTCGATAAGCGAACAGAGCCAAAAAAAAAGCGCCAAGGCTGATTCACACAATGCGCCGCGCCGGCGAACAGTCACTGCGGCCAACAACCAGCACTAGGCATACTCCAAGTCGGTATTAAATATTGGTCAATGGAAGCATGGGGACGATGGAGATGCCTTTCAATCACTACTCTCTCTTTCCTCAAGCCAACTAAAAGCTTCGCCACACAGCGTTCAACCCAATCGGCTTCAGAAATCAGACGGAAAGGGCGCGAGCTCAAACGTCGCAGAAAGACGGGCGTCCAGGCAACGAGCCCCGACCAGCAACACCAACACAAGCGCAACACGAAGCCTCCCGGCGAGGTGAACGTGATGGCTTCCAGTGTCGAGATAGCGACCACGCCGTCGGCAGACACCCCGCACACATGCCTGTTCCTCCGCAATGACAGGACCCAGTATATCTTCGGCCGCGTTGGTGAGGGCACCCAGCGTGCATTCACGAGCCGCAAACTCCCCATCTTCGGAACGAGCAACGTCTTCCTCTCGGGCCATGTGAACTGGGAACAGAACGGCGGTCTGGTCGGCTACCTGCTGACCGCGGCGAACTCTGCCATGGCCTCGCTCGACGCCGAATTGGAGAACAACGAGCGCCTGATAAAGAAGGGCAAGACCCCCAAGCCTTTGAGCTCCCAGGCCTTATTCAAAGTCCACGCCGCCGACAACATTAGCCACATCCTCGCCGCTAGCCGCCGGTTTATCTTCCGACAGCCTTTGCTGCTCAAAGTCCACGAATACCGTCAGAACGCACGGGATATCGACCCCGCGAACATCGACCCCGACTACCAGGATGACTATATAAAGGTCTGGAATGTCCCCTCTGATGGGATACAGGCTACTAGCCCTCTTAAACGCTCCCGCGAAAGCTCTACCGAGCCTGGGGTCCAGGAAGGGTCATCGTCACCAATTTTGAAGGCGGGCCGTGTCCCTTCCGATCCCGCCTTTGCGCAATTCGTCACCGAGAATTTTGTATTCAATGGGGTCCTGGAGAACAGTCTATGTCTACTCCAGACGATAAGAGGCGAATTGGGCCCTGACGACGTTGCGTTTGTGAAGCATGAATCCTCCTTTTTAAGGTATGTCCCTTCAGCTACCGACAGTCAGGATATGACAGTCTGGGTATACCCAACTACAAAGGAGTGGAAGGAGAAGGAGAAGGAGGGAAAGCTGCCCACTCAATACCTAGAGCACGTGGCGCTCCCCAAGACAAGCTACTCGCAGACCTCGATGAGCTACATTGTGAAAACGATGGACCGCAGAGGAAAATTCAACGTTGCTGCCGCCAGTTCATACGGAGTTGAGAAAATGGACTACAAGCGTCTCATTTCAGGCGAGTCGGTTCAGGGCAAAGATGGACAGACGGTCACCCCCGAGATGGTCTTGGGTGATACGATGCCCGGAAAGGGCTTCATCGTTGCGGACATTCCTGGCCTCGAATTCGTGGACTCCTTCTTCCGACGTCCCGAGTGGAAGGATGCACGCCTGATGGAAAACATCTTCCAGATCTACTGGATCCTTGGCTCGGGACTATCGACGGATCCCCAAGTTCTCAAATTCATCGAGGACCACCCCGAGTTCCGCCACATCATCTCCTCTCCAGAAACTTGCCCCAACATGATAACGCATCCAGGTTCTGCCGAGCTGCAAATGAAGCTGCACAGAATCGATCCCGATAGGTTCAGTATCCTGGACTACAACAACAGGACGCAGGCCACGGCACCCTCCAACTCCACCGTTACATACGGAAGAACAGGCCACAATGTTCAGCTCATGCCCAAGTTGACTGTCAACGAAAAGAACATCAGCCCCTTTGTCGATCTTGCCGGGGCGTCTGCGGAAGTCAGCGCTGCCGTCCTCCAACTCGCCGAGGAGGGGAGGGCCAAAGCCTCTGACCCTGCCTTCCTCGCACAGATGGAAGAGGCGGAAAAGGACATTCCAAGCAGAGACACAGAGATCATCTGCTTGGGTACCGGGTCTTCTTGCCCGAGCAAGTACCGAAATGTCTGTGGAACTCTCATCCGCGTCCCTGGCATCGGAAGCTACCTGCTCGATGCCGGAGAGGGCACCAACGGACAAATCCGCCGTCTGTTCGGAGACGACGGGGCCCGTGAGATCATGCGAGATCTGAAGTGCATCGTCATCAGCCATCTCCACGCCGACCACCACCTCGGCGCCGTCACAGTCCTCAAGGAGTGGTACAACCAGGCCGTAAGGGACGGCAACAAAGCCAACCTGGCCATGATCTGCAACGGACCCTTCCGCAGCTTCCTGGAGGAGGTGGCGCTGGTGGAGGACTTCGGCCTGCACAGACTCTTCTTCCCCAGCTGCACCGCTAATCCCGGTGCCCCTGACCGGCCCCTCGCAACCGAGGAGCACTTCCAGGGGAACGACTGCGGCCTGAAAGCGGTCAAGCGCATCCCCGTCAACCACTGCAGGAGGTCCATGGCCACGGAGCTCGAGTTCTCGTCGGGTCTCCGCATCGCCTGGTCCGGCGACTGCCGCCCCTCCTCCTCCTTTGCGCAGGCCTGTCGGGGGACCCACCTCCTCATCCACGAGTGCACGTTCGACGACGACATGAAGTCCCACGCCTCCGCGAAGAAGCACTCCTCCCTCTCCGAGGCCCTCGGCGTCGCCAGGCAGATGGAGGCCCGCCGCACCCTCCTCACCCACTTCTCCCAGCGCTACGTCAAGGCCAAGTCTGTCTCGGGTAGGTTGGGAGGCGGGTCGGAAGAGGAGCAGGCCGTGCTGATGGGTCACGATTTCATGCGCGTGAAGTTGGGAGATTTCCAGAAGGCGGCCTGCTACATGCCTGCCATTGACAGGCTGATGGAGGACCTGGCCTCTTGACGTTGATCACATAGGATAGACACTAGAGTATTAAAAAATAGATATTCATTGTACAATAGGAGAAAATCCCAACCTATATATTGATCAAGATGACTATTACACAAAGCCACCGACTACGCCTTGTACCCAAGCGAACATTGCGCTATATATATATATATGTAAACAAAGGAAACTTACGAATGTGTGTGTCGTGTCCGTGGGCTCTCGCGAGCGCAGAATCATGCTTCTTTATCCGAGCACCGGCAAATTCTAGCCTTGTAATATATGTACAAGAAGAATATTTGTTTGAGACCCATTAAGGAGTGGAATGAAAGAAATGTGAAATAGATAGCAAAGGCAGACGAGAAGGGAAAGGGAGAGATGTCGTTGCCTACGAGTTATAGTTCCCTGAGCTTAGAGAGGTCTGCCCAACGCGAGCAAATATGGCGGAATCGAGCCTCTGTCGACGCGAATTGTTGCCCGACCCTCTAGTGCCATCAACGCCTGCTGGTTCAGATGCTTGGGGTTGTAGTCCACCATCGAGATCATCCGCCCGTTCGTGGCGTATGGCAGTTTCGACGTGGCAACTGAGGGTGAAGGTGGCGGGTTTCCTCCCTCCACATCGTAGACTGAGGAAACAGGTCGCCGCTGGTATGTCTCGGCTGGGAGAAAAGGGGGGATCGGGGGGATCGGGGGTGGAGGATAGTATTCAGGGGACAGGCCAGCTTCTGACTGTCGGGCTGTATGTACCGAGACAGTCGCCCATGATTGTTTCCGTGTATGACCTGAATCAATGGGCGGGAGGTTGATTTGTGGGGGTCGGATTTTAAGAGGTGAAGGGATTGCGCTGCTCCTTAGACCGTCTAGGTTGGCTGTATAGACCTTTTGGCTCAGGAAGACACCTGCCTGGGTGAGTTCGGCATAATCTTCCTCTGAACTGGGATAGTCCTCTTCATAGGCCCTGTTGTTCGGGAAGGGGTCTACCTGTATAATTTCAGCGTATTCTCCTGAACTGGCACAGCCTTCCATTCGAGCTGTGTTGCTCCGAAATGGCTCCTGAAATCTAGGATCTTCTTCCTCCGAATCGGGATATTCTTCAACATGGGGAGATAGATAGACTGGTACTACCCAGCTTCGACGAGATGTAGTGCTGCCGAGGTGTTCATCTAAGATTCCTGCGGCAGTGTGCTGGGGAAAGTGCAGCGGGTTTGGATCAAAAATCAGATCATCTTTCTCAGATCGCAGGGATGGAGACTTTGTTCGCTCAGAGTGTCCCGATGTTTGATCCGCCTGCTCCAGCGCTGCAGCAACCAGGGGCTTCAAATGGCGAGCGTCGTTCCGAATTCTATTCTGCCGACGTTCGTCATAGTGACGTGCCCATTGCTTGAGAACTCGCAGAAGCTTTGGTCTGCGCTTCTTCTTCTTCGATCCAGCAGTCTTCTCTTTCTCTACCATCTCCCGCGCCCAGACTCCGGCGAAGAGATCAGCCAGCATCGACCGATCCCCGCCCACCGCAGCACAAATACAGGCCGCGCATGTTGTCTTCCTTGCAGCGTTCTGGCCTAGAAGATTCTTGATCC